ACCTTGATCCGTCTTATGTGTGCAGTACGGATACGCGAGAGCAAGGCAGAAGACATCGAGAGTCAAGTCTTTTTTTTTTTTTTGGCAAGGGCTGGTTGTCTGGGAGTACCAAATGTTCCATCGTACGAGGGTTTGTAAAAAAGAAAGAAAAAAAAATGTGTATCTGTTGGTGGTCTTCTGCCGATCTTGTACGAGTAAGAGACAAGTCCAAGAGATTTCCAAGCTGTCAGCCAAGCTCGACAAAAAGCTTGTCCCAGAAACATCCCTGACTGTTGGGATGTGCCAAGTCGGTACTGGGCTAATAGCCAATGCGACCCTCCACCAACAACGGACTTTAGAATGTCAGGCTGAGATGAGGCCAGCCAGCCAGCAAGCACGCGTAAGATGGGCAATTTGCCGTTCGTACCGACAGATTCTTGTCCCTCGTGGTTGAGTAGCAATGAGGTTGGTTGCATGCACTACATAAAGAGGAATCGAATTTTCTGCATATCAAGATTTGTTTGTTTGTCTGGTCAATTTCCACAGAGACAGAACACGAGGGTCTAGATTCGGTGCGTCGTAGAATGTACTCTGGCACGAGGTTCCACCACGTAGAACCGACACCCAAGTCGGGTAGTAGCAAACACGTCCCCCGAAGTACATCTCCATCAAGATCTACGATAGGAGATGTCAGATTCATCAGGGCAAGATGTTCTTCTCCGAGGAATACAAAGACTGCACTCCAAAGAGCCCCAAAACGTAGGGGCTTGCCTTCAACGGCTTCGGCTATCGTGACAGCCGTAGCTCATATCGGATCAATGGAAGCAGTCTCTTTTTGACCTAGTTTGGTATTTCTTTAGTTAAGCTTCCTTGGAAGTCTTGGTTCTAGAGGGATGGAGGGACGCCACGCACATGGCAAACCGCGTATGGAGGTGTGATGGGTGAGGGGAAAAGTCTGGCTGTTTAGAGATGGGAGCTAAGAGATGGTTAGCGTAAGAGATAAAGTTCCGTGAGAAAAAGAGATTGTTATTGTCGCGATGGTGGTTGGTAGGGAAGAGTAATCTCTGACCCCAGACTCGTTTTGCGGGGGAATACTGGCCCACTACAAATTTGGGCTGATTCCTGCGCTTGTGTGTCTTTTCTACAGGGGCCTTTAGTGGATGGATGCCCCGAGGGGGTTGGGACCAGGGCTTGTTCGCCACTGTTTTAGAACGACATGTTGGTGGACAAGATGGGACACATTCAACTCCATCGACCGGTCGACTCCCGAAATGGCCCCATCTAATAAAGAATCTGGGGAACGGAAGATGAAGGGATTTGAGTAAATAGATTCCGGGGAAGCCTGTTTGAATAGAATACGGGGTGCATTTTGACATACGATCTCAATGTCAGCGTCAAAGGCTGTACCTAGATCAAGTATATGGTGATGGCTTCACTTGACTGGTGCAATTATTTGGAGGCATCGCTATTGTTAGACCTCCGCACGTCCGGTTCCTTTGTCATATTATCCTCGGCTAAAGCCCAAAGCAACATTCTCCAAGTAGGTCTGTCTCTCTTCTCTTACCGCCTAAACTTGGAGAAAGGACAGTTCCCCAAAAGCAGAACCAGACTGACAAGATGGAGGGTAGAGTACAAAGTACAGTACAAGGGTTACCTACCCCCTTGTCGCAGTAGGCGCAGCACTAACTACTCTAACCAGGGACGTGTCGTTTCCCGGCTAAGATACCGGATGTTGCAATTTGTGTTTTTTATTGAGTGGGGGATAAGGACAAGGACATCAAATTCTGTTCATCACATGGCATTGGATGATAAACAGTTTCTTCTCTGGAAGTGAGTTAAGCTTGATAGCAGTATCCACTGATCCTCGACACCGGTATTTTATTAGAAGCCGAACACATACGGTACATATCTCGGATGCATAACATGAGGCCATATTATGAATCAATGGTCTGAGGATGAGTCAAGTACCGACAGAATCTCACTCTTAATCTCAATCTCATCTCTCTTGTCTCCATCACTCCGCATTCTTTACCCCAGACATTACTAAAAAGAACAGAAGCAAGGCAGTTGAGACGGGAAACAAAGTCCTCATTAGCTTGACTCTACTGACTCTTAGCTCACGTCTCTACTTTTTTCTCGGCCTTAACCGCCCCCAAAGCAAATAAATGACACCATCTTTAGCGCCATCCTATCAGCACTCGTCATGCCTTGAGGTGATGCTCCCAAAGCCACGTTTTTCTATGTCAGATCACCCACCATTTGTTTCCGCACTTTTTGCCTCTTGTCACTGTTTCATTCCGCACATGATAAGGCTAATTCTTCTTTACCTTCTTCTTTCTGCCTTCTGCTCGTCATCGGTTTGCCAGATTGCGTGTGCTCCAACATGCGTGTCGACGCTTTTGCTTGCTGATATGTCACTGCCAATAACAGTCTTTGTTCAAGAGACAACCCTCCAAATCGTGTCTGACACCTCATTATTCTTATCCACGTTTTTGACATGTGGAATCTGCAGATAAGCTGTAGACATGTAAATGTGTGCCATCCTGTTGGGTCTACACATCTTTGAAGACAGTTGCATCAGACCATTCTCCAACAATTATATGATCCCTCCAACGCCAATGCTTGGCCCTGCCTAATACTCCGAGCTATCCGTACTTTCTTCAAAGCCCAGACCGTTACCCTAGATTGCGGGGATCTTGGCGGAGAGTTTCTCCTCACTACTAAACAACATGGATCGGTGCAGACGTTATGCTTGGCGGGATGTTTATTAGTGATCGAAACTCTGTTGTGTTTAAACCGTCCAACTGCACTCCCGATGGACGTCGGGGAGCAAACTGTTCACGACCCCTTCCCACACACACCACTTCGGTCTTCATTGTCCAGACCCTCTTACCCCAGTTTCAGCTGTGGCAAGCCAACCTTGCAATTATGGGATCATGGTTGCCTTGTTTTAGTGCAAGCCACTACGAGCGGCTAAAGTTGACCTTTTGTTTGGAGTCAAGATACTAGTTTATGCTCAACACTACCCAGCTCTCTTGTGAAATAGACTTGGACAAATTACGTGGCTTTGGTCTTGAGAAAAATCTTATCGTCTTTACGACACCAACTCCTTTGACAATGTCTCTCACTCGGCGAAGCTCCGAACATGACTGGCGGGTCCCATCATTATGATTCCCGAGGGCTGAAGGACTCATCACCATACTAAAAACAGACTTCAGCAATGCCAGCCAAGCCTCTACTCTGTTGCTGCTGTAGACATACCCCATGAAATTGTTCGGAAACCTGGGGAAGTCTGGGGTATCCCTCGGGGCTTTGATGCACGCAGTGCATTGAAGGGTTACCCCAGATGCATGGACACTACCAGCTGCTCGGCGAAAGCCCGTATACCGAGAGCAAGAGCCACAATCATGCCATGAATCAGGGGCCAAGAAGATCGGTTGGAATCAGGAGCCCGTTTCGAATTTCCCTTTCTGGGTGAGTATCTGCACACCATTTATCAGGTTAGACTCGAAGATGTTGCAATCCATCTCGTTGAGGCTTTTGACTTGATATGTGACTCCTGATGACCGAGAAAAGGCTTGACTCTTTAACCAACATGGTTGGATTCAGTGAGATACTCCGAGCTTTGGGGTGAGTCCTAGTGGTCTTGAGACGGATCGCACGTTGTGTTCCTTTACTGATATGACTCCAACTTAATCGCAAGGGGTCAGAGCTTGAGGCCAATCCAAAGCATTACTCGAAATCATTATCTATCAGCAGAAGAATTCCCTCTTAAATGGAAAGTATCCTGAGTAATCATATCACTCAGATTGCCAAAAGCCGTAACTTGTGGCCTGTTTCATGCTTCGTCATCCTCAAACCCCATTGACACTTCGTTACACTAGTAGCTCAAATAATCGATAGGTTTATTATTAGCACTCTGAAAATCCATAAAACGCCTTTATTTAAACTTGATCAGTGATTTCTTCAGGGAGAACATGTTTCTGTGTTGGTTCGGCGGAGTGTTGGACCTGTGTCCTCGGACGAATGGGCCGCGGTTAGAGGAAGACAAACGGACCGAGGGAATCGATCAATCCTCTATTACCAGCAACTCCTTCTGGATCTTTTGTCCTAGATTTTCTTCTCTCTTTCTGTTTTTTGAACGTATGTTGTGCTGGGAAACCTCTGCTACTTTCATGAATCATGGTAGCGAATAAAGGCCAGCCGACTCGATCAAACGACACTACTTACACGCAACGCAATCCTCTCTACCCGACCTACTTCTGCACTGAGGGAGAACCTGGATTGAGTTTTCGGCTTACCGAAACGACGATATGATCCATGACCAGCCATTGTATATCAAGCCAAGTCGTTGCTCTTCCTCACTGTCGATATCCTATCGTGTCGATGCCACCTGATGTGCCGAGCGTACCTCCATATCTATCTTATATTGCACTTGAACGAGATCTTCTTGAATATTGAAAGAAAAATACTATCATTGTGTTTTCTGGGTCTTACAAAGGGCTATGAACATTCACTCACAACACTCGACCTTCGTCAGAGAATTCTATTGAACAGATAACAGCCCTGTATCGTCTCGATCCCGGCTCCTCATTGCCTCCGAGTTTACATATCGTTGTCCACGCCTGTCTGAAACACCGAGTCGCACCCACCCATCAATGATCTTTACCAAGTACTACCTCCTCAATGTCTTCTACAAGTCTGCCGAATCTTGGTTGCTCATGAGGTTGCGCAGAGCATGTATAAGATTCGGCAACACGGCACTCATCGCGTTACCGGCATCGACGATGACCATTTTTCAAAGTTGCATACAAAGATAATGGATAACCTTGATACGATACAACGTACAGACAACTGTAAGGATGAATGTAGCTGAAAGAGCAGTTGTGATACCCAGATGTGCTGATCTCGATGCGATAAGGACTTGTTCCTGTTCAGCTTGATTGGTATGCGAGCCCACAAGTGGTCTCCTAACGTAGATTTCTCTGTCTAAAATATGCAAATACAGTCCGCGTTTTTACCTAGTCAAACAAATTCAAATCTGAGTCGGATAGATCCGATGAACTTTCCGACCGCACGATTGTTGATGGCCGGACACGCGGGACAGGCTTGTCCGCGTTGCATACTTCGCATGAAGGATGGCCATGACAACGCACTGCCCATGGGTTCCGTGGCCTGATATTCCGTCCAGGCGCAGGCTGGCAGGCTAAGACTCGAAGACGTGAAGGACCGTCCGGTCTAAACAAACTCTGTTCGATTATCCCAACCAGGCCGAATGCACTATGATTCTCGCCGTCATAGGCTCTATCGTAGTCAACGAGATGCCATAGTACCCCGATGTCTTCTGACTTGACTTCGGTGTAGCTGCAGTCACCTGAACGGAAGATCTCTCTCACGGCTGTCGGTTCTGCGGCCGTGTTTGGGGCTGGCACTAAGCCATAGTCAACGAGCCAGACGGTTCTTTGCGTGGCCTTGAGCAAACGGCAGCATGTGTCCAAGACCTCGCCAAAAGACGCTTTTAGTTCTTTCCTTTGATAATGCAACTTTTGTGAATAGAAATTGTCCATTATAGAGCAATCGTAGTCCAGTGCGATATTTTCTCCGACGAAACCGACGAAGCTAGGCTTGACCTCGTGGCAGCGCCGGTTGTCGAAAACGGGAAGCTGAAAGATACCATTCGGGGCATGAAACCAATCGATATTTTCAATCATGTATAGATAACGAGAATCCAGATGGACAAGATCTCTCTCGTAACCTATAGTAATGTGTTTGACAACCCCGTCGTGGTCTGTGTACGACGCCGTGTGTGTGGCGTCTTCCCGGCCAAGACATTGACCGGGCATCGATGTGCGTTTTGGGTGATAGGGAGACTTGATATGTGACCACCATTCGTTCCCTTTGAATCGCCCCTCCATGGCATCGCGTGAATTCTTGCAAGCCGTCCAGAGACCACTGTCTGACAGGTAGATAGAATCATTAGGATTGCCTTCTACGTCATCCGGAGATACAGTCAATGAAGAGCAGGTAACAAGTCGCGAGGCCCCATCAGATAAGCGTTTGGTATTTTGTAAGCGTAAGTGCTTTCGATTTGTGTGTCTGAGAGGAAAGCCGGCAATGGAGAATCGATGGACATGGCGATCACCCGACGGGCGAACAGCAGCTTCCCAGATCAGGATTTGGATCTCTTTGGGGAAATGTAGGAACAACGGAAAAGTAGCTTCCATAATGCCGCAAAGGGATATGTGTAAATTTGTTCTCTAGGATCGATATCAGCACACGGGTCAGAGCAGGGGAGGCCGGACAGGTCAACTGACGGATGCTTGGTACTTCAATCGAATGGTTGACTAAAAAGCGGTGTTATCAGGTTGTGCCGAAGGATGAAGAAGTGAAAGCTTTTGTATGAGTCAGAATAAGGTTGTTTGCGAATTTTATTGTTGTATGAGTCTCAGCCGCAGAGTGAAAGATGAAGTCAGTATTAGACTTTGGAAATTCACATATAACCACCATGTAGGAAGTCCGGGTGGCTTCTGCCTGAACAGTTCGCTGAAGTCATCTGTCAGCAAATGCGTTGCTATGATTGGACAATGACTGGGTCATGTGTCAAGCAGTTCCCTTCTTTGCAAGGTAGACATCGAGGAGGGGTCTAAGTTGGGATACTACATAATAGCATCATAGAGACGACATTTTCTTGCCTTTTCTCAAGAGAGCTCTTTGTATAGATTGGTCAATTGCCACGATACCAAACTCGAGTCATTGTGAATAGATACAAGGAACATGATCCCATTCGGCCGGTGTTGTCGCATCCGAAGGTATCTTCCGCCGTGCCGCGCGGGAGCTTACTCGACCTTCCGACTTTAGTTGCTTGATTATGAACAATTAAAAGTACCTACATTTCCATTTATCAAAGGATCATCATGTGCAGGGAGGACGACGAATTAATAATTGACGAAGCACTCGTTTGGATGATATGATTGTTAATACAAATATCAAGCGCATATATATACGTTCACCCGGAGCCAGGACTGGGCATAAATATGAGCGTGCTTCTCCCTTTGATCATTCCACTTATCTCTAATTCAACTTTGGATGTTATGCTCTTCTTTTCAGCTAATACAACGATCGTATCCTTGCTTCACCTTTTCCCTAAATCACTCTACTTCAATAAAGAACATACACAGAATCAACATGGGCGATCAGGTCAGTCCATCTCACTCCGTCATCGACCCGAGTTATCTAGACTAACAACGTTCAAGGTAGATGAGATTAGGCTCAAGCCAACCAAAGATGGCTCGTTCATTCGCCCTACGAGTAGCTTTCGTCACTTGATCTCGAACAAACCAGGCTCTCAATTCCCACCCGAGAAGAACCGATACGTCCTCTATCTCAGTCCAGGCTGTCCTTGGGTACGTAGCATTCCATTTCTTGGCTTGATTTTCGCTCTAATAAATATAGTCTCACCGTGCCATGATCATCAGAAGTCTCAAAGGACTTGAAGACATGATTGATTTATACATGTGCTCGCTTCACATGGGCAAGGAAGGATGGATGTTTGAAGACAACCCAGAAGCAGCTAAATACGGATCTCTTCCCAAAGATCCTCTCTATGGTTTTGATACCCTTAAACAGCTGTATCTCAAGGCCAACCCAGATTACCAGGGAAGATATACCGTACCAGTGCTGTGGGATACAAAGACCCATACCATGGTGAGCAACGAGTCTAGCGACATTGTCAGGATGCTATCCACCGAGTTTGACCATCTCCTTCCCGAGGGGCGTCGCGAACTCAACAAGCCGGGAGGTGGACTGTACCCAGAACATCTACGACAAGAGATTGATGACCTGAACGAGTGGACTTACGAAGCCCTCAACAACGGCGTTTATAAAACGGGCTTCGCAATGTCGCAAGCTTCCTACGAAGAAAACGTCGACAAAGTCTTCAAGTCTCTCGATCGTCTGGAAAGAGTTCTTGACAAAGGCCCATTTCTGCTCGGCGATCATATCACTGAATCAGATATTCGTCTGTATCCGACCATTCTTCGCTTCGATGTCGCCTATGTCCCGATCTTCATGTGTAATTTGGGCACCATCCGAGACCACTATCCCAACTTGCACTTGTGGATGAGGAGACTTTACTGGGATGATAGTACCAGGACTTATGGGTCATTTAGAAATACGGCTTCTACCTGGATTGATCAGTACAAGATTTTGTATTCAAAGTCGAGACGTCGGGTCTTGGGGTTGAATGATCTCGACATTGTTCCCAAGGGGCCCTTGGTTTCGATTCACGAGCTGAAAGGTGGAGAAGCGTTAGAGAACTAAGAAGCTAAGGAAAGGCCAACACGAGATAATTTTTACATATTTCTTTTTCAGGAATGCAGAAGCAATATTGGCTTGAAACTGGATCATGTGGATACCCAGTGGAGGTGTGAATGAACCACACAGGTCAAATCTAGATAAATCCTGGTAGTGTCTCACAAACGCTCCTTTAGTTTCTTGATGGCAATACGTTCGCGTCTAAGTATTACCTGATTACTTTGAGAAAAATGACTGACTTTTGTCAACAAGAACGTTTTCTCGCTGTATATAAAAAGACCTAGACAGCTTCTAGTTTTGGATACGAGAGATCAATACCCTGTACCTTGACCTCCCAATCGCAATCATCGGGCTAATATGGTTGATCTTCAGCGTCGTATTCTCGGCCTTGTGGAGACTGTTCCCGCGGGTACATGAATGTATTTTGGGACGGGGTTTATCAGATAACCTCGGGCTTTTTGTGTAGTACTCTCTACTATTGCCTTTTCTAGTAGTTCAATACCACATAAGTGTGCAATTTCACTCCTCATATGATTTTTTAAATTTAGAGAGAAGCTTCTTTTCATGCTTGATTCAACAATTGAGAGTTTGGCCATATTGTTTGTCTACCCTACGGCATGTACAGACGAGTCAAGGTGAGTGCTCAGATCTCCTGCATTCCTCATTCTAGATTTGCCTCTGGATGTTCTAGCGTATCCATAAATAAGGATGTGACGTCTAGGCTACTGGCACTTTACTAAAAGTGGATAAGTCAAGCCTCTGAAGCCGTGTAGATGTTTTCATCCCGGTGTTTGTTTTATCTGAGCGTAACGCACGGAGTAGAAGATGGAATGCGCGCTTCTTTTGCATGACTTGTGTTCCAAGAACGGTTCTCAATGGATTCACAGCTTTTGCTAAGGCTGGTATGACAAGAGATGACAGGAGATGAGACGATGCTTGTTGGATATGACATTATTGACTATACTTTATCTCTCAGCTTGCCACTGTCACCATCAAACTCTTCCAGATCTAACTCATGACCCTATAACTAGATCACCATCTGATCCACGTTAGCAGGGAAACTACAGTGCTTTGACAAGTCTCGGCCGGCACTGACAAGCCGACGGCTAAAATTAGACGATTAAGCGGCATTGACTTGCAAGCATTAAGTTGAAATCAAGTCCTTACTATTGGCTCGCCTTGCGTTCTCGAGCTGACCCCTGACAGTGTTAGCGGATTTTGACCACAAAACCCACTCGTATTCCTTTTGGCCTGGACCCTTTCCTTGTTGATCACACGGCCTGTCCGTCTCTTTTAGACTACAGGGTGGAACTTTTCCATTCAGCATTTTCTCGTATAGCCCGAAATTGCCTGCCCAATATGAAACAGCCTAGATCTGAGGTCTTTGCGAATATGGGGAGAAATCTAGTATAAGACAGCTCACATATCTCAGTCAATGTAATGTTTCCTTTACCTATTCATCACTCACACTCGTTCTATCTTTTTGCCCATCATGAAAGGCCCTTCCACTGTCGCTATTGCTCTCGTTCCCTTCACAGCTGCTAAGCAGCTTGTCTGGCCTTCAAAGTTCGATTACCTTGAGGATCTCCAGTACAACCAGGGTGGATACAACAAGTTTGGATTCGCTGATGGTAAGTCACCACAAATAGTTCTTATTAAACATGCTAACAGTATGCAGCTCTGGTAACCTGCAGCTTTGGTAACAGCCAGCCCGGACGGCAAAACTCTGCCGAATGGATTCGAACAGCTTTCCACGACGCCGTCACACACGATGCCAAGGCTGGTACCGGTGGTCTTGACGCTTCCATCTTCTGGGAGACTACCCGTGCTGAGAACCCTGGTGATGCTTGGAACAACACCTTCAGCTTCTTCAGCGGCTTCCACAACCAGCGTGCCACTGCTGCCGATCTCATCGCTCTCGGCACCGTTGTTGCCACCAAGGGATGCTCCGGCCCTGACGTCCCATTCCGAGCCGGCCGCACCGATGCCGGCAAGCCTGGACCCTCCGGTGTCCCTGAGCCTTCCACCAACTTGAAGGAGACCTTTGCCGCTTTCCAAAAGGCTGGCTTCACCAAGGAGGACATGACTGCCATGGTTGCTTGTGGTCACGCTCTCGGTGGTGTTCACAGTGTTGACTTTCCTGATGTCACTGGCATCAAGGCTGACCCCAACAATGACACATCCGTCCCCTTCCAGAAGGATGTCTCTAGCTTCCACAACGGTGTCGTCACCGAGTACCTGGACGGTACTACCAAGAACCCTCTCGTTGTTGCCAAGAACAACACCCTCAACTCCGACAAGCGCATCTTCGACAATGACCGTGCTACCATGAAGAAGCTTGCTACCAAGCAGGGCTTCAACACCATGTGCGCCGATGTCTTTGCTCGCATGATTGACACCGTCCCCAAGAGCGTGCAGCTCAGCGACGTCATCTCTCCCTACGATGTCAAGCCTTACGTTAACGAGCTGTCCCTCAACAGCAAGGGCCAGATCGTCTTCAAGGGTGCCATCCGCCTCATGACCACCAACAACATCCGAGACGGCGAAGATCTCATCGTCCAGCTTGTCTACATGGGCCACGACGGCAAGAAGACCACTGTTCCCACAACCAAGGCTATGTGGCAGGCTGGCAGCTCTTTCGGCTCCGGTCAGATCTTTGTCAACTTTGAGTTCGATACCACCATCAACGCCAAGACTGGTATCACCAAGTTTTGGATCAAGGAGACCAAGAAGTCCACCAAGGTCAGCAAGTCCCATGACAACCAGGGCACCCACGGTTACAAGGTCGACGACACCGTCTTGTACCAGATCCATGACTCTTGTCTTACCGCTGAGAAGTTGCCCAACGCTCCCATGACTGTCACCGCCGTTGTTCGAGACAGCCAGGCCAAGAACGCTTTGACCCTCAAGGTTGCCGACAAGCTTCCCCAGAAGGGAACCCTGGTCCCTAAACTTCAGACCCAGGTTGTTCCCTTCAAGGCCACTGGCAAGAAGCAGAATGGTTACACTGCATTCAAGGCCTCGACCAAGGTCCACGATTACAGCATTTGGTTCGATATCTCTCTTGCTGGAAACGCTGCTGCTGGCGTTCAGTTCCAGGGAGCACTGCCCTTGACTGCTTGCTCTTAGACATGTTATACCCAAAGGTACATATAGACTTGATAGAATTGGAGTTTGGGGGTTCCCATTAGCGATTTGCATGATGACTTCTATGTCTTAATAATACCCAAATTGTTATAACTTGTTTTTAATACCGCTGTGTGACATGTGAGACGTCGTGTTTAAATATCATTTCTTGTTTGTAGTTCTTAGTGATTCTCAAAGCCTAATACTGACTTCATCCCTCACCCAGTCAACATACAATAAAGTTAATACAAAAACCTTGTTCTCGCACATGCAAAAGCGCTTCAGGTAGCTTCCACGTCCTTGAACACATACATACAACCTGTTACTCGCCAATCAACCAACGAGCTTTCTTTGACTGATGTAAATCCCATAATTTAATTTTGTTGGTCTCCAAGTTAAGCCCGAGCTTGCTCAATTTACTCCAAATTTCCAACAAAGGATCCATACAGATCAAAAAGTTAAAGTCTTAAATCAATGTTTCTTAATAACTGACTTTCCCAACAAGAAGTTACAAGAAGCTTCTTCCTCTCTCTCAAGGCTATGAAAGCCCGTCTCCCCCCGTCCTTTCAGTTTTATTTTCTTCCTTTCTTCTTCATCCGAGTCTAAGGGCATTATCCATCTCTGTGAGGCGATTAGCTGAGAGTGGATTTTTGCTAATTGAAAGCTATTTAGCTGACTGCTCCTACTTAGGTCCACCTAGGTAGGCAATATTTTGGAACACTTTTCCTTTGGAATATTTTCTTTCATTACGATCGGTCATATATGGACTGGTGTGGAGAAGGAAGTGCAACGCATCATCGAGCACCCTCCGAGCCGCCCGATACCAACCGAACTGTCAGCTAATGAACCGGACGAACTGACCGTCTGTTGATTGACTGATTGTTGGGTTGTTATTGGGCAGTTTCGAGGGTGCTCGATGGTGCGTTGCGGGAGGAAGAAGCATCTAAATCCAATGATAATTTGCTATTGTAAAAGATTCTTGGAGAGATCAGCAGAGACACCAGCAATATCTTCAAGTCAGACTGATAAAGCTGGATCTTGGTGTTTGTCTACACGGCACATACTAACAAAGCACTGGCCAAGGAAGCAATAGGAGTCGGAGACCCCGAATTTGACGAGACAGATGTGGGTTATTCGACAGAACCAGTATATTGCAGCTCTCATGGTTTCGTATATTTCTTGGTTGGTAGTTTTGTCGTATAAGGAAGAAGACAGTGTCCGCCATTGTCTTGTTGATTTACACACCTTTTTTCTGATATAGAGTTTTGTTGAAATCTCGTCTGAAAGTATGGCCTTGTGGCCCTATGATATCGTTTTACTACCGAATTTACTGTTTCAGGGCTTCTCTTTTCTTCATTCCAAAGTCTCAAGAGATGCAAATGGTGTCGTATATTCTCAACAAAAGTGTGATCCTACCAGCCCGCCACGCCATGTCACCGGTACGGGTAGTTTCTTCTCAAACAAAAGGCAGTTGTGGTCTTGTGAGCTATTTGTCTCAAGGCCGAACGGAGGACTGTGTTCATGTTCCGTGCGTCCAGATCGAATGGAGTAGAGTGATGCGGCTGGCGAGCGGAATGTCCAGGTTTCCTCTAGAACTGAAGGAAGGCTTGAAACTAAAGCCACCAGAGTTAGAGTTTGTCTCTGCCCATCGATGCTGTGTTTTATGGAGAGGTCATTGAGCCTTCTGCGCAACCTTCTGTCCCGCCTGAGGCTCGTTGTAGAAACCCTTGTAGAAAACAAAAGTCATGACCGGGAATAGGATAGCCGTCCACAACCACTGTATAGTGGTAAAGGAAACTCTACCAAACAACATCTGTTAGAAACATTCGGCCAAGTGCAACGGAATAATCAATGAAGGTGTACGCCACTCACTGCTGGTGTGCCATCTTGAATGGCGTTGGTGGTGATGCTGAAAGGTTCTGAAGAAGGAGAGAGGAAAGGATGAGAAAAGGATTTTGAAGGAAGAAGAAATATTGAGAGGCGGGCTTTTGTGATCCTTTTAAACGCTGAAAGATACGTGTGAATGATCAAGTTGCTCCATTTTCAGGAGGTGTAAATTCAATATGTGTTGAGTCGGAAAAATTAGGACCGAAATCATAAATGAGTGAGGTACACCAAATAAACTCAAACAAACGTCCCAATCGTGTCTCGGGTGGTAGAAAGTTGATAAGGAGCAGCCCTTACTTACCGTCACTTGGATGAAGGATGTTGAGAAGACAGAAGAGATATCAACAGGAGTTCACGAAGCTTAGAGGGAGACGGAGACAACGCACCAAATCGTATACAACGCTGGCAACGACTCGGCTTTTGAGATGCAAATTGTCCTCGCCCTACGGTACATGACCGACCAAGAACAAGGTGAGTTTGTTGATGGACAGAACTTCTCGGCCACAAAATCACCGCTTCCTTTTGGCTGGTCTGGCGAGCACATCAATAAAACTACCACCAAGGTCTAAAGCACGGACGTGGGAGAGAAGAATTTCCATTCATTGTGACGATTGCAAGGAATCATTTCAGTCCCGACATGGACTCGAATGAAGAACTAAGTTTCATACAATGAGCCATTCCAATCAACTACCCGATTCAGGTCGGGGTTGAAAAGGGGAGGGGGCTGTGATTGTCGAGTTAGATCGACCAAAGGGACCCTCAATGGGGGTATTCGTCGAAGAGTCCGATAAGGCCCATCAAAGACGAAAGACGGAGCCTAAGGAAAATAAGACATGGTCAGAAGAAAAGACGATAAACCAGCCAAACTACCGAGGGTATCGGGCTATGCGCAGCCTCCAAGGGCAGTACAAGGTGCCTTGTCTCCGCGGTTTACAAGAAGTAATCTTTTGGGACTACACCAAAAGCAAGAAAGAAAGAAGAAAATACCAATTAAGAATTCTAGCTTTGTCCAGGATCTTGATAGTCATGTTTGCCTTCAGACGTCCATCTAACTGGGGTCCTTGTCGATACTTGCGTGAATCGTGTGCAGAATTCAGACCAGCAAGTGTACAGTACAAGTAATCGGTCCCATATTTTTCACTGGGCGTATGACTTCCCTGTACATGTCAAGCCAGTCCTGTCCTGATAGGTCGTTTAGTCCGTTTCTGGTTGACTTTGATGAGGGGACAAAGGATAATATACCTCCCCCACCCTCACCTTTGAGAGAATAACTACGTGGCGGTCTTGAGCTACTGCCACCTCTGTATCAGGGCCCGCGACCAAGGACATTTAAACCAAAGGTAAGTTTTGTGGCCATTGCTGACTCAGAGGCGTTGTTTTTGGCGTCTCATTGTGAGCGCCTTATGTTAGAAGGTGGACCAATTTGATTTTGAGTCTGGGTAGAAATGGGCACACACTTGACATCGTTCAAAGCTGACCACACTGAACCCAGGGCTGTGCCATGAACTTGGACAAGTTAATGCTCCCGACGATCGCGGCCACCAATTGCTTACAAATATGAACACAAAGCACTGGATCATCGAAGAGTACAAGAATCACTACGGCAGCTACTATCCTGAATAGTGGCATGAAGGGAAATCTGCCCCCTACGTCTTCGCTTATGGCCAGTCCAAACGGATCAACGAAGATGAAATCAAAGAAACACTATCCCGGATACTCAATGCATTTACTGTACGCGGCCTTACTCGAACTTAAAAGAATGAAGGCGTCAGGCGCAATGTCCTATTCATCATCTGGACGTGGGACCTCGAGTGTGAAACTCTGGCAAAACTTGATCCAGACTCAAGTACATTTTGGGTAGCTGTAGAATCCCGCCCTTCGGTGGATTGATTTTCAGACGTGACCGTCGTGGTCCTCTAGGTTCGCGGTAATACGTTTCCATAGACTGGCAAAATCTCAGAACTGGTATCTTGTTGATATAATTGCAGTAGAAGGATGAAAATGGATGAGCTTCCACAGAGACAGTGTGATAGTCGTCTGAAAGTTGGATTTGGGCATTGGAGCGCTGGAGCAACAGCGGGTTGCACGGCGGCCCTCCGTGCGGACTTGGCCAAGATCCCGGCATCAGCTTGATGGCGCCTTGGATTTGTGAACTAGAAACAAATCCCAGGGTATGTGGAAGAAATGAAATGGATTAGTTGGCAGAACCAACTTGGATGTAATACGTTCGACACAATCTTCACTTTGGGCTGGTCTGTTGGCAATCTTTCAATGATGATCCACCATTTATCCATGTCGCTCTGCATATTTCATCTGGTTCCGGTCCAGTAGCCCATTTCCATGAGCGTCCCCGCAACGTGGGAGACTTTTGTGTTACCCATCTTCTCCTATGATCTGATAACGGCATCGACACGAGGTCTGTAGGCGAATACTTTTTGCCCCATGATTGCTGTCGAATATAATAATATCATCTAACTGCCACATCTCGGTTGATTCCTTCTGGGGCTGGTTTCCTGGACCAAGAACGCTTAATATGGAAGATCATACCATATAGCAATGGCAAACATCCAGCATGACTGGGGCAAACCGCGCGTTTATAGAAGAGAAAAACAAGATCCCAAGATCTGAAGGACACTTTTTTGATTCAGGCGTTCCACAAGGACGCCAATAAGCTGCAAAGTCGTTGTAAACTTTATCCTTGACAGTTTGGACCTTGTCTTTTAAGCTTTCTTGTTTGTCCTCTCGACCGTCTCGGATCGCTTTGTCGAGTTTCGCCTGTGTAGAACGCTGGGCCATCATTCCCTTTGTCAGAGGCCCGAGAATGACAAGGCGGATCATCGACACCGCCCGAATGTTTATGGACCCACTACGGAGCCCAGTACGGACAAATGCTGGATCATGCTATTTAGCGAAGCAATTATACTGGTATCTGGACCACAATATTATAAAGCTCCAGTCCATGTCTTGACCATGTACCGTCTGGTACCGTTGTTGGTGTTTTGTGGCTGAGCCAGCCGCGCCTCTGCACAGGTCGACTGTATTTGTGGCCCGAGCGCCTTAATACCAAGAAAGTTGGCGATCAAAACTCTAGGCGAACAGCATCCCAAACTTAAAACCTTGTTTCCTTCTCATTGATTTTTTCTCAAGTCAAATTAATTTATTTCTGTTAATCATGAATCTTTTTACTCGTCTCCGGAGCAATACAAAGGGTAAAAACGCAGAACAGACACCGGACCAATCAACTATCGATCCACACCAATGGAAACTCCCATCCACCTACGTAACATCTGGAGCAGGACCAACAACGATTCCCGATCCGAAAGTCTTTGCCAATGTATTCTCTATCCCAACCGAATTTGAGTCTGTTGGAGTTGAGACACTTTTGGCATATCCCGATGCCAGCCATGCTGCTGTTCATCTCGCCTTGCTTGAGTGTTTTCGTAACTTGAGAGCCAGCGCCAGAGCCCTTGACGTCAGCGTCGTTCAACCACCATCGTACAATGAAAAGTCTACAGCAAAGTCATCTGCAGAAACTGCACCACTGCCGGAATCTCAAAGATGGGATTTTCTCATCAAGTTGGCTGTCACACGCTTCATGGCTTGGTGGGATAACATTGACATGGTGTTGAATCACGCCAGTGTCTATTCTCATCATGCTGGTAGCCATGTGGCCCTTCAACTCACAAAAGATTACCTTCCACCTCTGGATATACTTCTTGTGTGGTATTCCTTGATGCTGAACACGAGTGCTTACGATGCTGCATGTGAAGCTCATGATGGAAATGCCGCGCGTCTCAAGAACCTCTGCTTTCCCTGGCCGGCTGTACGTGATGTGATTGATATGGACAAAATGGAATATGAATTACCCCGCGCTGCCCAGAATCTCTTCAGGAATCTATCATCGCAGTCCTGCGACATTCTTACATATCTCGACAGTCCTCCAGCATACACTGATCCAGGGAAATTATTATTCAAAACAGATCTGTTCAGTGAGGTCAAGAAGCACGACAGCTTCATCAATGAATCTCATCAACGACTATGGATACGCTCTCCCGCTTTGCATGGATCATTGGGTCGTGCGGGTGGGGAGTATCTAGACTTTCACTTGCGAGAGCCTAATGCTGTTGAGGAGGATATGTTGGAAAGTTTGTCTTTTGGCGTCCAACTATTTTGGAAAACACATCGGCTATTTCCTAGGCAGTACAAAGCCTTTCTGGTGGAGATTAAAAAGAACAAAGCAGAACCCAACTCAAAGGATGATTTGAAAATAATTTTGGACGGGGAAGATGAGCCACTCGAATCCAGCCAGTGCTGTTGCTGCTGGATCTGCGAACGAATTCGAGACGATGTGTCAGAATTCTATCACACCCAATCATCGACTTCGCCATACTCTCCATCGACAGCTGCGCCACCAGATACGGTTCAGAAACAACTTTCATCACTTTCTTCCGAGCAACTGCGCCAAATACAAGACGATTTGGGTTTTTACCTCGCCGTCGAAGATGCTCGCAAACGCAAAGTTCCTCTACCCACAAGGCCACCGACTGCAGCTGAGAAAGATGCAGATAAGATAGCTAAACAGAGACAAAAGGAGATTGGATATTTACCAGGACTGAATGAATACGTTGAGGTTTTACCAGATGGGACACGAAAGATACGGCAGAGAAAAGGAAAGGGAAATAGATATTACTACATGATGGCATTGTAGGATTAGAATTCACTATTTCGATGTTATGCTGGTTTATTCCGTTTGTGCAGAGCATAGTGGGTAGTAGAAAAGTTGACGTCCCAAGTCTTAGGGTACAAAAATAAGTACTCTAAGAACTATGGTCTAAGGACCATAAAACAACCTACTAATTTCGTCTCTTATGCTTCCAGTGGTCAATTTTCCCTCATACCCTGAGGAGAGTCTCTGGTGCATGCAACAAGATTGATAATGTCAGCCTCAATCTCCACATTGTTTGACCTGCCAGAACGGTCAATAGTTTGATAAGTTAAATACTTAGAGTTTGCCACTAAAATGGGCCGCCAAAGTCGAGATGACCGAGATCGTGAGTTACGGAAACAAATACGGATCACTTGGTGGCCAAAGCGTAGTTGCGGATCAGATTCGTGATACGCGGTGGAATGACAAGCCGTGTTTAGACGGGGTGATCCAACTTTAAACTCACTAGTAGAGCATTTGCGAATTAAGTAGTCGACACCATGGCTACAAATTGAATTGTGAGAAGTGCGTAGTGGATAAATAAATTATGGTTATAGCCTACACAGCCTCTGATAAACGCCCGTAGTATTCACTAATCTTGGCCGGGGGGATGTTTTTACGGGCGGTGACATTTTGTGGCTTGCGAGAGACATAAACGTAAGTTTACGGGCGTTCAAAACTCCGGGGTTAACAGAATGCCTGCATCTTCTCGTTTAAATATCCTGACCAGAAGATAAACGATGGATTGGTATAGATTAATAGCATTTTAATTCTGTGTTTGAGAAGCAACATTGTAGAGCATGACGAACTGAAGTTTCATGTTGGTACCCAAAGCACTAACTAGCCTAGTACTAATGGAGGTTCCCGGGCCCTGAGACATGCGGTAAAGTTTAAAGATTGTTACCAACTGATTTACGAGTCATTTCCATTGAACCAGGCCGTTTGTGAGCTCACTCTCAATCAATTTTGTGCTTCTTCACATGAATGAATGTCATTTTGAGACACCGTCTGACCACCTACCACATGCTGCAGACAGCAACATTTACTTGTTTATCCACAAACTTTAAATAGCGGACCCCCTGATCAGGGGGAGCTTTCAGCTTGTCCTCTGATGACATTCACAGCTTCCGTCTTTGTATTTAATGTTTATAAAATAATGACAACTCATGTTTTTGAGGAAACAATAGACGGGCCAAGTACATAATAGTTTCAGCTTGGCATTGTGGTAGTTCATCAGCCAAGACAGATCATCTTCAGGGGGCGCTTGGCGCGGGCTATCTTTTACCTAGACTCAGGAGGTCAATGTGACGCGGGAGAACAAGGTGACCCGAAGCCGTGCCATTGGAAACCGAGGAATGTAGAGATTTTCCTGACTGCCGGCTTGGCTTGAAGTCAGTATGTCAATGGCAATATCATTCTAGACCATTGCCTTACTTACAAATTGACAACCACGTTTTGTCATCCCTCTAAACTACCTCCGTACCTAGACGGCCTGTTACTGACCCGACGGTATGGCAACCTGAATCATGGCTCGGCGTACTCCTCAGTCTTTGGCCTCGACACTAGCGGAAGCATCCATGCGATACCAAATGCAGGGGGACCATCATGACGATTTATTAACTGCTCTTGGTACACTCATTAATATACGAATACCCGAAAATGACGCGCTGTCTTGCAAATGATCTTCATAATTAGGGTAACATTTCCAGGCTGATGGCTTCCCACCATTTCCCTCTCTCTTTTTTTTCCTTGCTTCAACGTTTCATCAGATCTTATCGCCAAGACCTGCCAATCCTTGATTCCAGGCTCCCCCAGGAGACACACGAAATGAGATCTGCCCGACAACCGAGACATAATTAATTCCGACTTTTATTTCTTTTTCTTTTCAATCACAACAAACTTCAACTTGACAGTGCTTCTCTGGTCATGACCCTTACAGTTCCAACAATACCTTAATATGGCGGTTCTTGGATCTGGCGAAACGGGGCCCATGCAGGGTGTGTCCCTCGCCGTCAACATGACCATCGCCGGCCTCTTCGCCATAGCCCTTTACAACTGCGCCGAGATTCTCATCTCCCTCATCACCCGCTTCAAGCGCCACGACGGTCTTTATTTCTGGAGCATGATGGTCGCCACTTTCGGAATCATCCTCCACTCCATCGTTGTGTTGTTGCGATACTACAGCTTGGGCCCCAATTTCCTACTCTGCGTCTTGACCTGCATTGGATGGTACGGAATGGTCACCGGTCAATCTGTCGTTCTCTACTCAAGACTACATCTCATCGTCGAAGATAAATCCAAAACGCGATGGGTGTTATACATGATTATTATTAATTTTTTTATACTACATGTCCCCACGACGGTTCTTTTCCTCGGCAGCAACACCGCGCATTCGAGCCACTTTATCGGAGCTTTCAACGTCTACGAACGCATTCAATTAGCGGGTTTCTGCATACAAGAAACGATAATATCAGGACTGTACATCTGGGAAACAGCGCGCGGTCTAAAACCCATCTTTGCCGTCCGAAAAGCCATGGAGCGAAAAATCATACGATACCTCGTTATTGTCAACGTCCTCGTTATTCTCCTCGACCTCAGCCTCATAGTTACGCAGTATATGTCCCACTTCAACATACAAACAACCTACAAACCCGTCGTGTACAGCATCAAGCTCAAGATGGAGTTCGTGGTGCTCAACAAGCTGCTTCTGCTGGTGCAGCACAGCGATTGCAATTGCATGCACATGATGGGCGAACCCGAAAACACAGCAGCGCCGGATCCTTCGCAGACAGAATGTCAATCGGTCGAACGAACGCCTTCTACTAGCGACATGCCGATGCAATTGAACGCCGTGCACAAGTTCGACGGCGACGTACCACCGCGATTGGATTACAGCAATAGGACAAAGTCACTACAATTCTTGACACCATACTGTGAGTTTTGACCGCTTCATTCTGTTGAATTGTTCTAACACAAATTTAGGAGGCTTTCTTCCGACATAAAACAAAGTTTACACACGACGCCTCGCCCGCATAAGTTCGGCAGCCACCTGAGCAAAAGCCTTGACCGCTCAAATGGCGTTTTCCACTGCCGGAGCTTTCGACGTCGCCCGGCACCTACAAGGTTCAATGGCGGCAAGAATTACAAAGCCTGGTCAATTGAGGCTGTTTCATACCTTGCTCTCGTCATAGGCGCTTGGGTTGTGGCTATCGACACTTGATCTAGGTCAACGCTTGGACACAATTATGTCAGTCTTCACTGACCACCTATTTTTATATGTTATCCGTTGGAATTCCCACGAGAGATGACGCCTCACGATATGAAGCGCGTCTTGAAGGAATGCAAATAACATCGGCGACACAAAACATTTACATCATTGGGAGGAGTTCAGGAAACATTATTTTGAAGGGGAACTACGGTACCCTCGTCCTTTGGAATAGCAATACTTTGATACCCTTTGTCATTACACATATCTTTTCTTTATAGGCAGCTTAGCCCTGCAAAAGCCCTTATTTTTCCAAGCTCAACTGAAATGTTCCCTTATCTTGTTATCCTTTGCAAAGTCTGTGATTGCAATACTGAATTGTTGATCATGGTCTTCAGCCACCCGTCTCCAGAGTTTCGGCAGTTTCTCAGCGGGCGGTTGAAGCTCCTCCCCAATAATGCACATGCATGGACTGCTTCTCTTGCGTACCATGCTGAATACTCACCTACAACGCCAACATTGATTTGCATCCTTTTTAAACAGGTCATGTGTGATGCTGCTCGTCTTGCGGCGCAGAGGAGATGGTGGGCGTAACCTGGGTCGATCGGACCTCTAAACTCGTTGATGTTGGACGTCGCGAACCAAGTTCTCGGTTTTACCCTCGGTGCGCCCCATTCTTCGTAACCCCGTAATTTCGTAATTTCCCCAATCAGTGTTAGGTGCGTTGATGGTGGAAGGAACAGCTAACCACTGTCCAGACGGGGTGACGACCCAGTAAGCCGATCTCGTAGTTTTCCAACTTTGGCCAACTTGCAGACAGTACTGTCTCTGACATCCCCATCATTTTCAAATCAAAACTTCCCTTTGCCGAGAACCTAATAAAATCCTCTCGTTGCGAAATGTTGAAGAGTGCTTGGCTGAGAGGGTCGTGTTGTTCGTTTGATGGTATGATACTTGCAGAAACATATGAATGATCTCGAGGAATGAGTCTGGCGTAGTAGACCTCGAAATCAACCATGGTGTGTGGCACTAAAGATAATGATTGTGAAAAGCCTGTGTGGTTCAATAAATGCAAGAAAGTATGGAGTCATGTGTGGTAACTCACCTTCTCTCAACTTGATTCTCAACGCCGGGTTTCGTGTCTCCATGTCGCTGAGATGCATTTCAACCTTTCGAAGATGTGGCATCTTGCTGGCGACTATATAGGCTGCCTCTGGGGCGATAAACAGACTCCAGGAAACAAGATCAAAATGACATGAAGCTACCATCGGTAAATCAGGTAGTTCATGCTCCCCGACACCCAAGTCGAAATATCGAGGATTTACCCGATCCTCCTCAATGCATTCAGCTTCGTTCGTAGGAGAGCAGTATTCCATAAGGATTAGAAATCCAAGACGGAGATCAATATATGGCATCCCATTTTCTCATTCGGGGGCCATTTTCGATATCCGAAAGAGTGCTTGAATTGTTGATGTACAGAACTTGTCACGCCTTTTTTCTTCCAGAAATGTGATGGGAACAGCAATGTTGCGAACATAATTTAGGCGTCGCTGAGTAAGAATAACTTGCTTCTCTGCTTCATCTATTCTGTTTCGTGTGAGAACAAGTGTGTGGAATGCAAAAGGCTCGAAGGCGAGCTGCCAGTCGCGAGATACTGCGGCATACGGGGACAGAGAGCTCTCTTGTAGGATCACGTGTTTGTTTCGTAGTTACCAGCCATCGAAGACCTTGTCAAGTTCAATCTGAGGTCCAGATGTTGCGGCTGCTGACGCGATCAAAGAAAGGATTTCCTTCGGTACTCGGTCCATCTCGAAGGAAGGGTCATTTTGGTATCCGGGTATGTACTATGATGAATCTCCCAATTACATCGGCGCTGTGATTTTGCACAGTCATAACGTGCATCACTCTTCTTGAATTCGTCGAAAATAGATTTAATAGTCTTTACTTCAGAACTTGAGAAAGAATAGGTATGAATTATATCATGTGCTAAGTAGCCCTGGGGCTGTGTTCAGGGACCGTTCTCTGCCTATCAATATGAGACACAACCCTAATATCATCCATACATCCATCCATCTCTACAAGAGTGCAGCCAATGCGGATGTTTACAATCCCTAGGTACCAGGAGAGCATACATAACAATGTATGGAATATAATATAACGACAAACCTATCTTATCTATGATAAATCGGTCAGATTTTCAACGGAAACCAACAGTTCCCCAACCTGCATGTGGTTACACGAGACCATAGCCTCAGATATTAAAAGCAAATTGAGAAGAGGCATTGAGGCTATGTGTCTTAGTCTGCATAATATTGCCCATCAGCCTCAGACATGTCAATACCTTTCTATCATTGGTGGCCTGATTTCAGATAAAAGCTGCATTTTCAAAATCAGGCTCTGGAACATATTTTCGACTTTACATCATTTCATTCTCGCCGTTCTTCACGGCGTGTTCTCAGATTCAAACTGAACAAGTTATGGCAGGCTCCAACTCGTCTTTAGTCACTCAACCATTCAACATTTCGGTTGTGACTAGTAATGGAACTGACCAACTCAAGACAGTCGTTGCTCCATCGTGGGTTAGTACACCTAATGTGCGAGGGACATCGGACATATTGCAAAGCTGTGTCTTGACACTCGTCGCTTGTATTTACACGGCTCTGCACCTCGATGTTCCTAAGAAAACGACGTGGCAACACTTGTTATGGCAAAAGTTCAAATGGGTTGTCATCACCCTCTTCGCGCCTGAAGTAGCGGTCTTTGTAGCTGCAACGCAACTACGCTATGCTTGGCACCTCAGATCAGCGCTTCGAAAGATTCAGAAGGAACAGCAAGAGTCATCTAAGTGGACACCTGATGCAGACGTATGTATGACTTGACCTAATTGCCTTAGTATCACAGTTAATTAACTTTTAAGTTCGATATCAACCTTAAATATGCGTTTTTCATCGTTATGGGGGCTGTTCGCTTCGACGTCCATGATATCTTCTCATTTTCAGATCTTGACGCATCTCACCGCGACCACTTCAAGGAGACTGGGCTAGACCGGCGCTCTGTTAGATCCGCCCCTGCATCCATAATATGGCTCGCTGAACGTGGTCATTGGATAAAAATCCGAAAGCAAGATATTGACGATAAAAGCAAAGCCGACACAATCCAGAAGTCGCTTGTGCTTATACAAGTTCTTTGGATGGTCACACAATGCATAGCGAGACGCATAAGCAATCTGCCTCTATCTTTATTGGAGATCCATACGATCGTACATGTTGTTTGTGCCGTTCTTCTTTACATTTTCTGGTTTGAGGTATCTTGTTCCCTTTTCGCTCCTCGGATGGCTCCTGTGCTGATCGAAATTTAGAAACCACTGAATGTCCAGGAAGCTATCATCACATCAACAGAAGAGTTCAGAGGCGAGCTTGCTACTATGCTACAGAAGCACTTTTATGCCGATATGTCATACAAGATGGCGCTTTTCCAACCGAAGGAGAATGAGGAACAGCCTCCTCCAATAGATACCAATGGGCTACAAATGAAGTGGATTGAATCTCGATCAGGAGAGACAATGAGAGAGGGTCATATCTTGCCATCGGGCCTTGCTCTGTCTGCAGCAAAGGTGAAGAAGCCCTATAAAGTCTCCACTTACTATCTTGATCCACAAGGCGCGAACACGGGCATCTCGTTCAATCTAGAACCTGAATTTCTGGCCCGCTGGAATGCTATCTTTGGCAGATACCCGTACGAAGATAGGGTGAAATTTGCTCGAGTGTCTCAAAGAATCGTTATGCAGTCTATTCATCGACGCTACGAACCGCAAGAACTCGCCTCTGTGCAAAAGATTATTTATCTCCCAGTAGTGGAAGAACTAGAACCCCGCGGGTGGGTTACTGATTGGGAGAGACTATTTTGGGAGACCGAGTCAATTCTCCATATACACTGGGATAAATCAGAAACAAGTAGTAAGAAAAGTTGGAAAGAGTCAATCAGTAAATCGGACATGACCTTCACATCCTGGGAATTTATCACACTCGCCATATTCCTTACTGGCCTGTATGGTGGTGTTCATTTGACAATTTGGGGACAGGCGTTCCCTTCCCGTGTGGAAGAAATCATGTGGAAGGCTAGCTGCCTGGTTCTGGTTTCTTTTGTTCCTGCTGTCTTCCTTCTTTTCTTTGCTATTTTTGCCCTCTTGGACAAGATGGACGAGTGGGAACAAGGAAACGATGGTATGGTCCAGATGATGATCGAGATATCCGATGTACTAACCAAACCACTGTTTATACTACTGTTTATGCTTGTCGCTTCAACCCTTTGTCTGACATATATATCAGGGCGAGTTTTTATTATTGTTGAGTCTTTCCTTTGTTTACTTCGGTCACCTGTTGGTGTTTTTGTGTCTCCCGAATGGTTGGAGCTCTTCCCGCACTTTTGATTCCCATCATGTGTCTATCAGTATAGTTGTACTTCATTATATCACCAGATCGAAGGGTTACTACCTTGTTCACTGAGTTTCAAGAGGAGTATGAGAACTACTGAACCCAAATGACATCCATGCTAGCCAAACGATCCATGATACTCGGCAACCGTGTAACTCATGACAGATTTCTAGGTAAACTCTAGACGCATGTCATCAGATATAGGCCAGTTCTGTCATGAGGATATGTACCACAGCTAATCATAAACGAGCATCGGCGTTGATAGATCGGTCTAACGGGTTGCGAAGTTGGAAAGACTACGTAATGGTACACCAATTTAAGCAAATGTCAGCTGCCACAGTTCAAATGCATGTCATTGCAGAACTGAATCGGCGAGAAGAAACGCTCGGGCCACAAGCACAGTCAACTGTGCTTGTGGTCAGAGCAAGTGCACGTCCAACTCAATCAACAACCTTTGCGGTAGCAGCGCTTCAGGCTATCAGAAAAATTAACCGCTGGAAGCATAAGAGATGAAATTAGTAGGTTACTTTACGCTCCTTAGACTATAGTTCCTAGACTACTTATTTTTATATCCTAAGACTTAGGAGGCTATTTTTCCTGCTACTGGGTAGCAACGCTTCTATTTTCGCTTCACCGTTCAAATCTTGTTAAGCGATCAGCATGGACATTATTCATGGGAAGACATAATGCGTAAATTAACATCATGAGATCAATAAAACATTAGTAATTAAGCTATATATAGACGCTCATAGAGAGCCATTATGAATCGAAATCTCAGTTTTAGTTGGTGCAAGCCGCCGCACCCTTGCTTGTCTTCGTCGCCCAATTAGTCTTTGTCTCCCTCACCACCGATGTGCTCATCTTAGACACGGTGCTCCTCACAGTCACGGTGCTAGAGGGCCTCAATGTAGACTTGACAGTCGTCCAATTTGTGACTATGTCCTGATCCAGAGTCACAGCAGATGTCTGCTTAACCGTGCTTGTCGTGGTAACCTTGACAGTTCCCGAAGGTAGAGTTGTGGTGTATGTCTTGTGGATAGTGACTGTGCTTGCGGGAATGGTGGATGTCTTCTTCTCTGTGACGACTGAAGTTGAAGCAACAACGACAGTAGTTGTAGAGGCTTTGAGGGTTGTGGTCTTGCCGGTTTCCTTAGTGGAGACGACTGTGGTAGTTGATGTCGATCCTGGAATGGTGGATGTGGCGTATCTTGTTGCCACCGAAGTAGACACATCAATGACAGTCGCTGGCTTGAGAGTGCTTGTCTTTCCAATTGTCTTTGTTGTGGTGACCTTGGTCGTAGTTGTGCTAGCGGGAACAGCCATGGTGGAAGTCTTGACGTTGGTAGTGAATGTAGAGAAAAGAGTGACAGTAACTGTAGAAAGACCGGCTGCGCGAGCTTCAAGGTTGATTGATCCGAGATCAAGATCGCGACGAGTGAGACCTGAGGCTAGATTGACAGAAGGATTACCAAAAACAACAGCAGCTCGAGGCTTGATAGCCGTTTCTATACCCAAGTCGCGCTTGTCCTGTGTGGGGATGCACTTGAGCGTAGTAGTCTTGCTGACAGTCTTGACAGACGTTGTTACGACAGTAGACACGACTGTGGTTGCCTTCAAGGATGTCGTGGTGACACTACCAGTGCCAACTGTCACAGTCGTCGTACTCTTGACGGTGAGGGCCTTGGGGGTCGTGGTCTTGCTGATGACAACAGTCGTTCTCTCAACGACAGTCTCAGTCACCGACTTGGGCGTGACCGTAACAGCTGTAGTCGTTAAAGTTGCGGTGACAGCCTTGGCGGATGATGTGACCCAGGAAGTAACGGTCGCATCAACGATTTGGGTGGAGGTTGATGTAACGGCAGCAGGCGTGATGGTCTTGCCAACATCCACAATCTCGGTGGACTTGACCGTGACAACCTTGTCGGCTTGTGTAACGAGAGCCGCTTCCGTAACGGTTGTCTTCTCGATCGTGGTCTTCGTTGTGGGATCAGGCGTGATTGTGGTTCCAATGTCTTCGGTAAAGGTTGTCTTCTCAGTGACAACAACATCAGCACTCGTGGTGGTAGTGAACAGAGTCTGGGATGATGTGACGGTCTGAGTAGTATAGACAGTTGTCGAACTGATAGTCTGGGTTGCGGCAACAACTGCATCGAAAGGTGTCGCGTGCACGAGGGTCATGTTGATCCAACTCGTCGAAGGGAAAAAGGTCCCAATTTGAAATTGCGCAACTTCTTCGTTTGACAACTGTTTAGCGAAAGAAGCACGGTTGCCGGATGAAGCTCCGGGTCCAGAATTGTCAAATTCGCCAAAAATAACATTCTCGGTTCTAGGATCTGCCTTGGTCCATGCAGTCCAGCCCACAGCTGCTATATCTGCACTCAGCTCAGTTTGGATGTACGCAACGCGGGCCCATTGATCCCACGGTCGGCCCAGGTAGATAGTCGAGTAGGAAGCTCCGTCTGCGGGGGCAACAGTGCATTGATCGAACACGAAGCCGTTGGGGCCGGTGTTAGTTCCCTTCTTGTTCGCTGTCAATGCAATCTTGTCCTTGTTAGGTGCGATAGTAGTTTTTAAGAAATATCCAGCTCCGGAACCCCAGATCATGTCAATGTTGCCGGTGATGATTGAGTTGTATGTGAAAAGATTGCCATTGACCAAGAGAGCGTCCTGGTTTCCGTATACCTGGCAACCATAGAGCGAAGCAAATTTGCTGCTCTTGACCGCAAATCCGAGACTGGCGTAGCTATGAACCTGTTAGAATACGTTTGTGCATCTGGATTACCTCTACTTACTTGGTGGCTGTGCCAAATGTGTTCATGAAGTTGATGTTGACAGCCTGGAAATAGTTTCCAGTGGCGTAGAAAGTGGCAGAGTCAGAGTTGGACGCATCCGCCTGCGTATCGATGCCCTTGTCGTATGTGATCGTGACCTGATTCTTGGTGTAGTCATCGGGCGATTCCGAATATCCAATGAAGAATGTAGTTCCTGATCGGCTGAGAACGATTTGCTCCTTGTATGTACCAGGATAGATGAACACAGTTGGGGTAACCTTGTTGGAGGCGGGAAGAGCATCGATCGCAGCTTGGATCGTGCTGTAGGTGGTGACCCCGTCGATGGCTTCCTTGGACACAATGTAGGCACCAGGAGGCGGGGTCTTGCCGCTGTAAACAGCGTTAGGATCAGGCACAGGAACGACTGGTGTGCTGGACTTTGGAGTCACGATTGAGTCCCAGAAAGTCTTGTCAATCCAATCGGTACTATCCATAACCGATTCGAGAGCGTAGTCATCTTTGGTGAGAAGAGTAGCGAAGCCAAATGCCTCACGCGCCGCCGAGTTCTTCTCCCAGCTTCCAGGTCCTTCGTTGGCATACTCCGCGAAAGTGACATGATCCGTACGAGGATCAGTCGTGGACCAGATCTTCCAACCAGCCGGCTGAATTGATCCATCTAAGTAACTGTTCTTGATCACGACAAGAGCATAAGCACTGTAAGGGCGACCAAGATACACCTGTCCGGTCAGATCAGCCGTGGCTGAAGCAGCCTCTGTGAAAAGACATTGGTCAAAAATGTAGCCGCCGATCGCGTTCGCGTCCTTGCGGCTCTGCGCAGTGATGGCTGACTTAGCACGCTTGGCAGCAAGGGTACAGCCCTTGAAGTAGGCCTTGCTGTAACCCCAGACAAAGTCGATCGCTCCCTCAATATAACTGCTTTCGTAGTACTGGTAGCCCGCTGTAGCCCCGGTGAGAACTGTGAAGAGTCAGTAACGGATATAATGGTTGGAGTAGAGCTACACTGACGAGTGTCCTGCCATCCAATGAAAGAACAGCCATAGAAGCCAATTTTGTCACCGTAAACACTGGCAGCGAGAGTGACATAACTAGGCGTCGCACCATCAAGGTTATCAGTGTTGATGAACTTTACATTGTAAAAGGCGATCTTGGTGCTGGCTGTTGCAATTGTCGCTGTGTCTGCGTTGCTGCGACCTGCCGGAATTGTTCCTGCGACCGAAAGTCCCTTGGACTGGGTGATAGTGACTTGGTTGCTAGTGTATGTCTTTCCGGGCTCGGTCTCAGTGTATCCGATAATGGTGATGGGGCCAGGTCGGTTGATCGACGGAACCTGCTCCTCGTATGTACCGGGGTAAACGAAGATGACTTGAGAGGTCGAATCCTTAGGAAGGCTCTTCAGTGCGTCGGTGAGACTTGAGTATGAGCCCGACTTTTCTCCATCAACAGACACAAGGACTGCATCTTTGGGAGGTGTTGTTCCGTCTGAAGGATGAGATGGCCAGGTAACCTCAGGTTCAGGTTCAGCAGCGCTGGAGTCGTCGATCGTGTAGCTGGGCGCAAGGTTGTAAGCCTTCATGTCAAGCCAGCCTGTGCTGCCGATGAAAGAACCCAGCGAGTAAGCCGCAGCTTGGGACTCTGTAAGCTTTGTCGCGAAGCTTGCGCGGGATGAGGTCCAGTTGCCGGGGCCAACGTTGTTGTACTCTCCAAAGAACACATCCTGCCAAGTGTTAGCATGTTTCAATCATAAGAGTCATCGTGTGGGTGCGATCGAATGCGCGTCATTTCAATCCTCAGGGAGTGATTGGTAGCATACTTACAGAGATCTGGGGGTTACTTGTAGACCAAGTTGACCAGCCTGCCTTAGATATATGTTTATCAAGGAAAGAGTTCATATACACGACCAACGCGTATTGAGACCAAGGGCGACCAAGAGATGTTGTGCCGAAGGTAGAGCCATAGCTATCAGTGTATGTCACCTTGCAGGTATCAAACACGAAGCCACCAGCCCACGAAGAAGACTTGCGGTTCTGCGCGGTGATATAGGCATTGGGTGTGTTCGATGCAATGTAACACTGGTGGAAGTAGGCTTTGCTGTAACCCCAAATGAAGTCGACTGAACCCTCGAGATAACTGTTGGAAAACACTTGCACACCTTGGTTGACAAGAACGGAATCCTGGTAGCCAGAGAATGCACAACCGTATGCGGCCATGTTGTTGCCAAAGAAGTCTGCTGCGAGAGCGGCTGTGTCACGAGTTTGCGGGTAAGTGTTGGTGAAGTTGAGGTTGTACAACGAGAGTCCAGTTGATGGAGTGGTAGTCTTCCAGAAAAGGACAGGAGTCTCCTCGTTTCGTGACTCGCCGGTGCCATAGCCCAACTTGAACCAGATAAGGACCTGGTTCTGGGTGAAGTCATTCTCGAAGCTGGTCTCACCGCGAAGAGTGACTCGGCCACGACCTCTGTTGAGGTTGAGCTGCTCATTGTATGAACCAGCCTTGATGAAGACGGTGTAATCCTCACCATCATCAGGGATAGCCGCAAGGGCAGATGCGACGGTCTTGAACTGGTCTCCGGTGGGGGAGGGGGCGACAGTCAGAGTAGAGCCAACAGCTTCAGTGGTGGATGTAGCGGATGCAGTAGCAGTGGCAGAAGCCGATGTAGTGACCGCGTCCTTGGCATACTTGGAGTCGGGCCATCCTTGGAAAGGCACGATAGCGGCTTTGTCAATCCAAGCATCTCCTCCGAGGATAGAAGCAGCACTAAACGAAGAAGTGTCATCCACGATGGTGGCGGCAGAGATACGGGATGAAGAATCCCAACCAGGTCCAGTGTTGTTTCCTTCGGTGAATGTGCCAGAAAAGGTAGAAGGAGAAGCGACCTTCCATCCAGAAGGAGCGATGTGCGCATCAAAGAAGGAGTTTAAGAAAGCAACGTTTGATTTTATGCTATAATCTCGACCGAGGAAGATGCTACCTTCAGGCACAGAGTTGGCCTCAGGCACAACGGCGCAAAGGTCGAACACAAATTGTGATCCTCCGTATTGACCCTGGAATTTGTGAGCGGCGATGGCCTGACCTGGTGCCGTTCCCTTAGAAACGATGACAGAGTTGTAGACATAACCGGCGCCCTGACCCCAGACAAAGTCGGTAGTTCCTCGCAGAACTGAATGACTGACAAAGAAGCTACCGTAATCGAGATAGAGAGTTCCCTGCGATGAATTGATGTCACATCCGTAGAAGGCTACCTTGCCCTTGGCATAGACAGCTAGAGCGACATTGTTGGTAGTAGCCGCAAATGCATTCTCAAAGTTGATGTTGTAGAATGAGACGGCCTTGGTCTCGTACTTGCTAGCAGAGAAGGTAGCCGTTCCAGAAGATCCGCCACTGCTGGACAGGACACCGCTGCTGGAGGTGATGGTGACCTTGTTGTTCTTGGAAGAAGATCCATCGCTGCTTTGACCACGAACGACAGTGGCGCCCACTCGCTGGATGTTCACCTTCTCTTGGTATGTACCCGCGAGAATGTAGATGTACTGGGAAGTATCGTCGTTGGGAAGTTGAGCGACTGCAGATGCAATTGTATCATAAGAGGCACATGGGTTGGACTTGGGGCCGACGATGAAGGCTGTGCTGGGGACGGCAGAGGGTAAAACGCAGGATGATTGAGTGGGTTCTGCAGATGTCGTGGCATCTTCTGCTTCGGTGGTGGTTCCGACAGAGGCAGTGGCTGAAGAGGCGCCCGAGGATGTGATCAATGAAGTACCCGATGATGCAACAGATGAGACATCAGTGGTGGCCGGATCACTGGACTCGGTCGAAGAAACGTCGGTTGGAGCGGCAGTGGTTGTAGTTGCTTCTTCCTTAAAGTCCTTGGCGTTGCTGGCCTTGATGGAACTCAATACAGAAGCGTCAATCCAATCGACTGATGATACAGCCACACTAGGATAGGCACTCTTGAAGAGCGCGGAGACTTCATAGTCAGACAGATCCTTGGGGTCCGTGATTAAAGTGACGTATTTGGAGCGATCCGTAACATCACCAGTCGTGCCAAACTCGGCATAGCGGTTCAAGGGAGACTGTGTCTTGGCATCGACATAAACACCAGAAGCAGCCAGGAAACCTGAAGCAAAGCTGGAATCACGGTAGACGACCACAGAGCCATCGCCATTTCCTGCGGCGAGGAAGACGCGGGTGTTGGTGGCTCCGCTCTTCTTGACAACTTGGCAAGTGTCGAGTACGACGGTCGAGTTGTACATGGTGGTTCCAGATAGACCACCCTTGTTGTACACAAGCAGTCCGTTTGACTTGGTCGCTGTGATTGTTGTTCCGTAGACATATAGGGAAGGATAGTTGTAGATAACCTTGTCTTGAGCCTCCAGGTAGGAGTTGGCGATGATACCGGATGCATAACTGCCAGTAATAGCGGCGATACCGGCAGAGACGATTTCACAGTTGTAAAAGGCATTCTTGGAACCACGTAGGAATACAGCACCAACCGAGTTATCGGCCAGAGAGTTCAAAAACTTGATGCCCCTCCATGTAATGCCGGCGGCGGCGGTGCTAAATGAAAGAGCCGGGTTGGAGTTGCCACCATTGTCGATAACTACACCCGACGAACCGTCGCGCTTCTTGGATACCTCGCCCACAATGGTCACTGTGGGTGTGGCTGCGATTACGACGTTCTCGGTATATGTACCAGCGAGCACGGTAACGGTAGGGTAACCGCTTGTTTGAGCAGCCTTGATGGCATCGTTGATGGCTGTGTAATCTCCACTGCCATCGGCGGCTACCGTGAGTACTAGAGGAGAGTCAGTCGATGTTGAAACAACACTTTCTGATGTAGTTTTTGGGTCTGATGAAGCGAGTGTAGTTGAAGAAGGAAATTCGGTCAAGGAAAGTGATGCCTCGGAAGATTGAGTCTCCAGAGAAGATGTGAGGGTGCCACTTGTCTCAGAAGATGCTGCTTGCGCGCTCAACTCTGATGATGTCGTATCGCTTGCAAGACCCGACGATGCCGTGGCGGACTCAAGAGTAGAAGACTCTAATTCAAATGCGGCGGTAGTGGTGGTACCAGTGGTAGCGGTAGTATCAGCAACCGCAGCGGTGCTATCAGCAGCAGTAGTAGTACCAGAAGTGACGGTAGTATCAACAGCAGCGTTACCAGTGCCAGTCGTGGTATCGCCGACAGTGGTAGTCTCAGCAACAGAGGTAGCACCGGAATCAGTGGTGCTATCAGAAGCAGTAGTATCAACGCCAACAGTGGTATCGACAGCAGCGGTACCAGTAGCAACAGTAGTGTCGGCAACAGTGGTAGTCGAATCGTCGGTGGACGAGACTATTGTGGTTGTGTCCTCCCTTGAGATTTCCAAGTTGGCCTCGGTGGTCGAAAGTGATAAGCTATCGCTACTAGCTAAGTTCAAACTTGACTCCGAGACAGGTGTAGATGTAAATGTGTCGGCGCCAGTTGGTGTCTCGGTAGTCGACGAGATCTCAGTAGATGATCCACCAGCAGTGTTCCCATCTACATCACCGACTATGGCTATCGATGTCGCATCAGAAGTAGTAGCAGTAGAGATCAATGTTCCACTCGAGGCCAAGTCCACGGTGCTTTCAGATGCTACGGAGGTAGCATCGCCAGTCAAAGACGTAGCGAGGCCGATAAGCTCGGCCGTGGTTGTTGTTGAGTGGGTTGTCCCGATTGACGAGTCGGTAAACACAGGGCCACCCTGGGGATCCCTCCTGGGCTTGCATGCTGAAGATCGTCGAACAAGTGGATTGATTTGGGGTGTGAAGGGAGAAATGTTCAAAGAAGAACGAGCATCTCTCTTATTGAGATCGTCCAAATGAGTAACAGGAAGGGAAGATACAGTGGAAAGAGTGGAATGGCCAGAGGCAGAATTAATGAGAGAATGGGCAACGGAACCTTCTTTTGCAAGACTGCTTCCAACAAAGGGAAGCAGTAACCAGAGCAGTCTGGCCATGGTGAACCGTATTTCCTGGTGATCCAACACAACAGCACGAAAGGGACAACACGCAGTGATAACGAAAGAGAGAAGTACGTTGGCAAAGAGGTTACATTGTTGCAGGGGCTACGGGTACTGATATTAAATTAATGGTCACATCTCTTACAAAAGATCTTGACGCCTCGAACGTGAGAGAAAAGATCGTTGTCGTCAGCGTGTAAGTCCATGTAGTTCTGGATCCCTCGCTTCGCCCGCTGGCATAAATAGTTTCGGGGAAACGATAAAAGCTGAACCACAGACTATTGAATTTAAACAGAAGCTAGAAACCAACCAAGCGAATGAAACGTTGAAACACTTACAACGGTCAAGAGGCAACAGGGAAAAGACTCGGCCGTGATGGACTTAGCCCCGGAGAAACTCTGTCAAGACGGAGAAATATACCGGTTTGGGTAAGAAGTCAACGGTGAAGGGTCCCATCGTCTCATCTATTTTAGCCAGGGGGTTAAGACCAATCACATTTAACTGATGACTACTTTCAGGGTCAACCCAAACGGCTGGTAACTTTGGACATCCGCCAAGAGATCGCCAAGGGGTAGTTTATTAGGATGATCTTTCACATTGGAGGAGGGCCTGACGTATCTCTCCAGATATGGACTGCTCTCGGTATAGCGTGATAGAAGAAGACTACGAGATACCTTAGAGTTGAGTGTTCAACTGTTGGTCCTCTTGACCACATCCTCGGCAAACCATGATCAAATTGCAAGGATAAATGGTCATCTGGGCTAATTGTTAAGGCCAGGATCTGTGAATGGGCCGGCTCACAAACACGGCTACAGTGACATGACCAAAAAGCTTATCATGAGATAACAGGCCTCAGGGTGTCAAAAAGACTAACCGCGGGAAGCATAAGACGAAATCAGCAAGTCAGCTTATGCTACTTAGACTATGATTCTTAGGCTCTTTATTTTTATACCCTAAAGCTTAGGGCCAGCTTTTCTGGTACCCTTTAGCTAGGATAGCTAGTGTCGGTCCGCCACCGCCACTAGATCAGAAAAAGCAGATATCGCGAGATTGAGATTTTTGACAGCTGACGGACCACGTGGACTTCGCCTATCTATAGGTGTGGCGCTCTAGACAGAAATGGGAAAAGAAGAAGGGTACCCCTGTCTTTAGTTTGGTCTCAGTCAATTTCGTTCAGTCAGTCTCTGGACCATCATAAGCCGTGGCCCCAGGGTAGGTGACAAGTAAAAGTGAAGGCCTTTAGTAGCAAGCTTTAGATGAGAAGAATAATGCGGACGAAGATGTAGCGGAGCTCCCTTATTGTCATAATAACTGGCTTAGATATAATTCTCCGTGGCTATATACGTGCGTTGCTCATTACTATATCATCCCATGATAACCTGCCTCAAGTTATCTTCCTCATTACTTCCCGTTCGTTTGCACATCCCGCGAAACACACCATCCTTCTCCCACAATTCCCGCGGCGTACCGAACTCCACCATTCGCCCTCCATCAAGTACAAGAACCTTGTCAAAATCGGCAACGGTGCTCAATCGATGCGCAATAACAATCATTGTCCTGTCAGTAAACCAATCGCGGATACTCTTTTGTATTAGTACATCGGTGGCAATGTCAATAGCCGATGTCGCTTCATCTAGAACGATGACTTTCGAATCAGCGAGGAGAGCACAGGCGATGCAGAGGAGTTGCTGTTGGCCTTGTGAGAGGTTACTGCCGGACTCGGAGATCAGGCTTGATAGATCATTGAACATGCTGTTTTCAGGAGTATCGTCTTGACCGATGAGATGAACTCTCGTGAGAGCTTCGTAGAGTTGCACATCTGTGTATTCACCGAACGGATCCAGGTTCGAGCGGACAGTTCCGGAGAACAAGACAGGATGCTATGACAATGTTAGCGTCTGCAGTTTGACTGTCGCTGTCAACATACCTGTGGAATGATAGACATGCTTGATCTCAAGTCCGTCAACTTGAGCTTCGATATATCCACCCCATCAATAGTAATACTCCCAGATCTCGCTTCCAGAAACCGGAAAAGGGCCAAAGTCATTGAAGACTTGCCAGCTCCAGTACGACCAACCACACCCACACGTTCACCATGCTTGATCTTGAACGAAAGACCTTTTAACACTGGCGGTAGATCAAGCGCGTACGCAACCTCTAGGTCCTTCACTTCGACACTACCAGAGGTAGGCCAAGCAGCCGCCGGTCTTAACCCACCAAGGTATTCTGTCTCGATGTTCATGTACTCTACCACTCGCTCCATCGAGTTCACCTCCAACTCCATGTCTCCATAGGATCGGATCGTCCAACGAAGACTGTCGGAAAAGTCCAGAATGAACGATAGTGCCAGGCCAGCGAGGGCTGCATCAATTTGCTTGACAATAATTACAACACCGACGGTGATGCTGAAAAGAGCCGTAATTAGAGCCATGCGCAAACTCATCCATCGATTAGCCAAAGCGATGTAAAACGTAGTCATGGTCCAAGCATTCAGGTTATTGTGCATCTGCTCCAGGTACGTTTGAGTTCTTCGAAACGCCCGAATAGTCGAGATACCGGCAAGTGTTGTATTGAAGAGCTCAAACACGGGAGACTTGGCATTGCTTTCAAGACGTTTCAAAGGTCGACTAGCAACCAAGTATTTGTTACCGGTGACTGCGCCAATGGCTAAGAGCAAAACGGCTGGTGGAATGAGGTACGCAGATGCAAAGCAGGAAGCGATGCAGATACTGATGAGTCTTAGAAGATGCGAAACGAATTGACTCCACGTCATGGCGATACGCTCGTCAATGATGTTAAAGTCAGCCGTGAAGCGATTCAAGATGCGACCCGAGTGGACTGTGTCGAGCCATCGCATAGGAGCATGCATCACGGCGAAAAGCATCTTCTCGAAAAGGCTTCTACTGGCCCTGACAGCGAGAAAGTATGACGAAAGATATCTGAGAATACCCACAACTGCAGTGGCTAAAGAAATAGTGATGTAAATCTTCAGATAGAAGATGACGTTGGGATCTGGTGCAATCTGTTTCGAGTGATGGGAGAACAACTGTGTCGTCGAGAACGTAGACCCGGAAATGTGATGGGTGCTGGGGTTATCAGACGATGTGCTTGATTTGGCAGTCCAGATGCGAAGAACCCAGGCTCTCCCAAGAATTCCCGCTTGGTAGGCGAGATAAATGCCAATACACAATGCCCAAGGAAGTAAGCCGCCACTGCCCTTGATATACGCCAGATAAATACTTCTCTTGACGTTGCCTTTTTGACGTGTTTCATCTTGCATAAACTTCTTCGGGACAGCATCCGACTTGGAAGTCTCAGTATCTGATCCGTTCAAGATTAGAGTATCATCAGAGGTATCGATCAAGTCTACAGCGTCTTTAGTACCTGTGATTGGCACATCCGGTTGCTGGTGTGTTGAGAGTTTGGGAGGTCCAGAGTACAGCACTCCTCCGTCACCAAGTTCAACCACAAAGCTAGCACCAGGCATAACAAGACTCAAATGATGAGTAACGATGATCCGAGTACGTTCCTGACAAATATCATCAGTAAGACATCTATCGTAGATCCAAGCACCGACATGAGAGTCAACAGCGCTAAAGATATCCTCCATCAGGAGAATCTCTGCACGGGAGTACACAGCGCGCGCAAGTGTAACACGCGATTTCTGACCTCCACTCAGATTGACACCTTTCGATCCAATCTCGGTATTGTCACCGTCTTGAAGGGACTTAAGATCTTCTGATAGGGCACAGGCTTCGAGGACTTTGTCATATCTTGACTTATCCATCGGCAGCCCGAAAAGTATGTTGTCGCGAAGAGAGCAATTCTCGAGCCATGGAGTCTGACTGACATAGGCAATTGATCCTGGGACGATCCATTCACTGCCCTGGAATTGTTGTTTCTTGGGAATGTGGATTGAACCACTGAGTAGATCCGCTTCGCCCAAGATGGCAGAGAGTAGCAATGTTTTGCCTGTGCCAACCTTGCCAGAGACAACAGATAGAGCATGATTGGGGAAAAAGAGGCGGAGATCAGACAGTATGAAATCGCCGACTTCCGGGGCTCCGTTACTTGGCCAGGCGACTGAGGCATTGTGAAAGCTGATAGTATCGCTCAGCGTCAACTCAGTCTGCTTCTCAGGCTCGTCTAGATAAACGCTGATTCGCTTCAATGAGACCAAAGAGTCGAGTCCCAGGGTAAACAGCTCTGGCAGAGAACCAAGTGTCGTCTCAAGGGTATTGAATATCCCAATACTGACAAACGCAACCGAAGGCAATAGTGTACCATGAACAAGGACGTAGGTAGTCAGCGATGCAACAGCAAGCAAAATCGGGCTGATGACCCAGCATGCGAAAAGGCCACTATCAGCGAGGAAGAACTTCCACAAAGTCGCAAGCTCAGCGTTTCGTAGGGCAAGGATTCTTCGCTCCCATTGCGCTTCCAGAGCTGAGAATTTGATTTGACGCAAGCCAGTAAGGACTTCACTGACCTTGGATAGCTTGATGTCGCGATGTCTCATCAATGCTCGTGACTCGATGAGTACTTTACCAGAGAACCAGGTATTGAGAGGTAAAGTGAGGGCCCATGCCATGATACCCGCGGTGAGGGGAAGCCATCCTAGAATGAGAAGGAGGAAAATGGAAAAGACGATGAGTTTGACGACACCGGCTATGATGAGAAAGTGATACTGGAAGAAGTAACAGAGTCTCTCTGTGTCGATACCTACAAGGTTGACAATAGCTTGGTGAGACTTGAGGGAAGGTGTGTCTTCGTCAGAGGCCTCGTCAGTCTCGGATGCACATTCGTCGCCACCTGCGGTTCTGATGTTCTTGCGGAGTAGTACTTTGCCGAAGATTATGCCCGAGATTTGAGACCGGATTGGTAAGGCGAGGCTCTCGAGAGAGTACCAATACGCCCATCCTTCCATCCACTAGAAATGGTTAGTTGGCAATCGAGGGGTATCGGGCAAGACTTACCGAGTCCAATAAGTTGGACAATGCCATCAGTAAAACAAACACCATCAGTTGTATATTGTCCGCTCGTGCCGTTCCATCTTCAAGAACGTTGATGATCTTGAGCATGAACCAGAATGGAAGAATGCTCACAGCACAACGGACCAGAGTAACTGCCCACAGAAACAACAACCTGCCTTTATGAAGTGCTACAATTGAGCGGAAAAGTGAGTCTTGTCGTGTCAATTGATCCCATCGTTTCTTGAGGTCCTGGGATCTCAATCGTGAGTCCGCCTTGGGCACATCTTCTGTGTCTAGATCATCTCGCTGCGCAGCATGACGCAAAAGAGGCTGGACCCAAGTCCATGTCAAGCGCTCCAGGACAGAAACAGTCCATTGGCGATCAATTGCAACGTTTCTGTGGAAGACTTCTGGTCGTCTTGGAAGACAGGTGCTTGCGAAAGCTAATGCGACAGCGGAAAATGTGCTGATGATGGGGAGAATGATGGAAACAATAGGTAGTTGCTGAGAGTGCATGTACAAGTACCTAAGATGAGGCAATGACGATGCTATCAAGACTAGGGCAGTAAATAGTAGCCATACTCCCAGCTTTTGGGCTTCCACTGTTGAGTGTTGGAAGAAGACGCAGATGCCATGAATGAAAGCCAATGTCTATATGTGTTAGACCGAATGAGTCAATCCGGCAGGGGATAAACATACCCAAGCAGCAACAGTTATTGCAGGCTCAACGACCGACTCAACTCCATCATTGTGAAGTATGGATATCACGAGATTTGCAATACAAGTCCCAGCGCCAATGGCAGAGAATGCGATAATGAAGCTCTTGACGCCTCTATTCGTAAACTCTGCTAGAGATCTTGGCGATGCGCAGCCATCCTCATCTTGGTAAAACTGATCCTTCGCCTTACCATTTCTCGATTGGCGAAAAGCCGACTGCAGTGCATGGGAGCACGAGAGTAGCGACACAGCTAATGCAACGCTGCTCAAAGACAGTGGTAGAATTGTACTCATGGTTGACAATGTTGAAACATTGGAAGAGTAACTGATGAACTGTAAAATACGGGTATGTACAGACTCATGATGTAACTGCTAATAACGAGTCTACATCTTTACACGTTGAGCAGCCAGTCCATTGAGTTTGTTCTTGACTTTTAGCGTGTAACTCCCTGTAGAGATCGACGAAACTATCGAAAGGCGCCCGAGAGTTCGGTCCGTCTCCGCGAGACACGGCTTGAAGGACAGGGTTCAGCCGGACAATGCCGTCGAGGCCAGCCACACGTTAGATACGCAAATCAGAACGCTGAGACATACAGCGGAGAATACAGGCATGAGAATTATGTCATATTTGTCATGCTCTGGATAGGGTAAGAGACAAGAGAAATGATTTGTGTAACCAAGATTATCTCAACGCGTTCCATAGCAGCAATATTCTCCCTTGTTCGATATATCGAGCTACTATTCTGTTTGAGATGCAAGATTAGCTTCAATATGCAGGGCGCAGCGCAAAAAAAAAAGGAATATTCTGATGAGACTAAACACTGCAATCTGACTCGAAACAATCTGTCTGTCCCTACTACTTTCTCATCACAGAGCAAAGCCATGATCCTCCTGAAGACACAGCGACGATGCGTCCTCCACTAGCTCTCCATGTTCCAAGCCCCAATAGCTTACCATTGGCAACATGATATGTGCCTACCAAAGGATATTGCACCATTCCCACTGAGGCACGTAGGACAAGGTTGTAATTGATGGGGGTGATGCGTCGCTGTACAACACACGATACCCCAGGAATGATATTGGCCGAGTTGAGATCCCGGAGACGGGCAGTCCATTCATCGCCTGTCAAATCATCGCCAAAGATGATTCCATCTCCCTTGCCACTGCGTATAGGCTTGAGGATGTATCCCTGGCGGGACTGAGGGCCTGCTTGCATGAGAGTGTCCAATTCCTTGGAACCAGGGAGAATTGTGTCCACGATGTTGCTTTCAAGAACCTCAGCTTGAATCTCTGTCAGAACGCCACGGGCCATCAGAGTGGGCAATTCTTGTCGTATGATACCCAGCATGCGTTTGTCGTGTACAAGCAGTACAGTACGCATGTCATTGAAGCATCGGAGGCTGATCTGTCGTAACACGTCGAGGCCCAATGCATCAAGTTCCCGCTGGTGCAGTTCCAGTCCGACCTGGTGAATCTCTTCCCAGACCTCTCCATTTTTAGCTTTGAATCTCCAGCTGTTGACCGCCGGCTCATCAATACCCTTTACGACGCAGCAAAGTCGGTATCCAATCTGACTGCGTGCGTCTGGGAGTAATCTCAGCTGTTCCGGGGTAATAAGTCTTGGCTTGATACCAAAGCGACGCTCAACAGCATCAATAAACATGTGAATATCAATACCCTTTTCGTCGCCCTTAAGGAGATGCAGGGGATAGCTTGGATCGAATAAGCTGAACAACCCCCCCTGTAAGATCTACACACACATAAAGTCCTGTCAGAATTCAAGAGTAGTACAGAGCATGGGTGTTGCAATGTCTCACCTCATTTGGATCAGTAGCTCCAATTAGACCTGTTTCTTCAACCCGCACATTCCGATTGATAGCTTCTTGGCCATACGCTTCGTGCATGAAGCCATTGAAGGAGAACCTTGCATTTATCTCGGTGATGCAGTAGTTCTCTTGGCGCTTAGCCGTCTCTTCAACAAGGAAATCAGGGCGCCATGAGCCAAGACGCTGAGAGAATGGAGCCAGGTTGCCGATCTCAACCTGTGTCTCGATCCACTATGATCCGTTAAAATGTCTTCTCGTGTGTAACTCAGAAACACTTACTTGTAGTAGCTCCTCTTCTCTGGGCTCCAATGGCATGCGTTCGGGGAACCGCGCATCTGTGTCACTCCACCATCGTTGCACAATATCTGTGATGGCTGTTGTCAAAGCCTCGTGCAGGTCCCTCATCTGCTGCTGGTGATGTTCACCGACGAGAACAGGACGTGGACAGCCAGAGGCGTAGGAGCCATTGTGCCAGAGGTTGGCAGGACATAGCTTGAGGACTGATTCTTGTAGAAAGGCTTCCTCTCGAGCAAAGCTGGCTGTATCGATGTTGTGACTTGTGATTGGCGCAACATCATCAGGACCAGGGCCGACGACAATGTGCGTGAGCTGTTGAGTATGCATTTTGGCTTCTGGGATCTCGGGATTAAGGTTTCAAGGTGGGTTGACGACAGCAAGGAAGAGAGGATCATTGTGAGGCTATTTATGTAAGAAACGATAAACAGTAGACCTGACTGCCAACCCCAGCACATTGACATTACACCCATCCCGTAGTTAGAGCCACATGAAGAAAGCCTAATGGGTGGTTGTCATCGGACTTCCCTGTCCCCTAGTGGATATTGCTAAGACCGGTCATCTCAAATGGGAGTGGGCGAGGCAAGAAGTGATTCAGGTCGGATCTTACCAGGATGTGCAGCCCTTGCAAGACAGAGATTTCCTCAACAGACCAAGAAACAAGAAGATGTTCGCGGGCCCGCCTTTCATGGGCGATGTTAATAAGTCTGAAGCCCCATCGAGGCCTTAGTCACTTGGCTCATCTTCATCAATCCACACATCATGTATTGCTTCTCAAGTACTTCTCGTTTACTACGATCCTTCACATCAAAACCTTCCTCCCAATTAGCCCGTGGTCTTGCTACGTTGGCTTCACAACACACACTTCAAGTTTTGGAAGCCCCATCTCTTTCTTATGCCCAGCACCGCGATCATGTCGACCGTGTATCCTCCCAACTTGAGCGTACGAGAATGCTCAAGATCAGACTTGGCTTCTCTGATGACTCAAGTTCCTATTTGAAGCAGCTTCTCGTCAGTCTTCACAAACATCACAACCATCATCTACCTATATCGCATAGTGCGAGGCAGGGCTGGTTTTGGGATGTCCGTCCCAGCAAAACGATGTTCCAGGCTGGCGATCATCAGGTATGCTCATATATACACGAATTGACTTCATATTCTGACTCATACAGGCTCGATCGGAAACAATGTCAGAATTTCCTTGGCACACAGACTGCAGGTTTGCTGATCCCATGTTTTGGTTGATACTGTCCATGGCTAAACCTCACTCGCCAGCTACGAAGATCCATTGCCACGATATTTCGCCCTCCAAGTCCTTCAGCATGATCGTTACGGAGGCGGCACTCTATCCGTCATGAACGTTGAGAAGCTCAACGAACTACTCTCACCAGAAAGCAAGGCGGCTCTCATGTCTGCCGAATTCCGCATTGAGATTCCGCCAGAGTTCATCAAGGAAGCCGACAGAAAACACATTACTGGAAGTATCCTCAAGTCAAACGGCGAGTCCACCATGATTCGTTTCAGGGAGGATATCGTCACACCATTAACGGACCGAGCGAGATTCGCACTGAAAGAGCTCAGGGAGGCGCTCATGCAGCAGGAGGTTCAGGCACACACAACCGTGCATCTCAAATCGTCGGATTTGCCGAAGGGTTCCATCATTCTAATGGACAACCGTCGCTGGCTGCATTCTCGGAATGACATCAAGGACCCAGAGCGTCATCTTCGAAGGGTGAGATGGGATGCATGTGCTTTCAATAATTAAGAGACAATGATGCAATGTATTGGATAGATAGCTTAGTTGGTGTTTAATCGTGCATACCGGATGCACCGTATTGAATGAATTTGTCAATATCATTCTGTAGACTTTCGTATTACAGCTTATTACTTTGTGACGTGCATAGACTTCAAGCCACGCCACGACAGTAGGTTCCTGGTTTGAGACACCAGTATTTTGTCCGTAGTCAAGCTTCGTAAGCAGCAGTTATTGTCAATTCCAGTACCTCTCGAGTCCGTTCCTCACAAGCACCTCATTTCTCCGAACCCCAATTGTCTCGGTACTCCATCAAGCCGTGTCTCTAAACTCAAGACCTTGTCCCTGTCCAGCCTCGTCCCCTTCGACCCGACCCGCTTTAGCCCTGGCGATCTTTCAGCTGGCAACTTGCTGATGATCTCATGCGGGATCCATGCTAGCACGTCCATACTACCGGTAAGGCACGCCTTTAATGACCCCATTCGATGCCGTTATAAAATTTGCTGCCATGATTAGTTAGTTGAGCCCGCTCAAGCCGCTTGAAGTTGGTATGCTTACCTCCCTCGGTCTCTTGCGAGGGCGGATCATATCTCATCATTTGAGACATTCTAGGGTTGTACACATTAGTCAACTGCTCAACAGTATTTTGGGGCGGACGTCAGAGACATCGTTCGAACCAGTCGGTCTTCTGCTCTGCCCCCCGTGTTGTCAAGGTTGGCTCTGTGTGTGTCTTGCCCTTTCATGTTTATACACGCGTATAAGACCTACATCTTACTTAGTTAGACTACAACTGCACGCATTACTCCAGCAGGCGAGTGTCACATCATTTTTTTCCTACCCAATTGATCCAATAACCAAGATGGAGTCAAGCATTCTGTACTCATTGACTGACGTGCTGTCTGTCGCCAAGACGCATCCTTTCTACTCTGATGCGAAATATCCACCAAATGATGAAGTTATTCGCATTACCCACGAGAAGGCTTCTGCCCAAAACTCTCAATCCAGCTACTTGAGTAGAAGTTTGATCAAGCCTCTCTTTAATCTTCTCCCTTTTACACAGCGGGAGACGTCTTCATTGACGCCAGAAGAAGCTGAACTAAAAGCACGACCTTTACTTCACAAGCACGATCTGTAAGTAGCGCGATGCACAGATCAACCCCTTCTAACACTCTCAGATACGACGTAATTGAGAGGCTAGTCAACGATGTTAGCCCAGAAAACACATACCGTCACAATGTCTATACAAGTGTCACTGGCGGTGGCAGTACTCTATCAAGACCATTGTTCTTTGCGACTGACGCAATAGAGAATCGTCGTCATAGAGCTTACTTTGGGGAGTTCTTGAATAAGACCGGTCTCATCGAGAGTGGTGACTGGGTCGTCACGATACACTGCGGAGGCAGTCTCTACAGGCATGTCAATGCGCAAGATCGGACGCGCGATACTAACGAGACATAGATCGCTGGACCTAACTCTAGAGACCATGGAGAACGCCGGTGCATCCGTTCTCGCAGCTGGGAGTTATAGCAAGCCCTCCGAAACTGTCGATCTGTTGAAACAGTTTAATGTAAATGTCCTCACGGGGTAAGCTTTACTTCCCATCACCACTGTTTTGAGGTCGGGGTGCTGACTCTTGTAGCGATGGGAGTCAGATCATGGCGGTGATCCATTACATCTCAACCTTGAAAGAGGACAGAGACAAGATAAAACTGAACAAGGTCATCTACACTTCTGAAGTACTCACTGTGGCGCAAAAGGCACACATCTACAACGTCCTTGGCCCCGTCAAGATCTGTTCTGTATTGGGTAGCGCAGAAGCTGGTCCCTACGGAGTAAGTACGCCAGAACTGACTCCTTCTGAGCCAGGCACGATATATAACGATTTCATTATCGACACGCGCATGACGCTGATTGAGATTCTGCCAATTGACTACGCCGAGAACAAAGACATCCCTGTCCCAGATCTTCTCCCCGAAGGAGAAACAGGTGTAATTGCACAAACTGTACTAACACGTCTTCGCAATCCTGTCGTACGGTATGTCACCGGCGATGTGGGCTCCCTCCACCCTCTCCCCGAACAAACACGCTCCCAGATCCCTCAATCTGATCAACCCTACCTCCGCATCCTCCGTCTACACGGTCGCGACCGACGCTTCAGCTTCATGTGGGATGGCTTCGATACCCGGTTTGACAACCTAGCCACTCTGCTCTCTGAGGAACAGTACGGAGTTCTCCAGTGGCAGGTCATTCTGAGTAAAATGGAACCATCATTGGAGGCGTTTCTAGAAATTCGTCTTCTGTGTAAGCAGGACGAAACTTGTAGGCAAGCTGCCCTTGCTCGCTTGAACACGTTTCTCAATATCTATCCTCCCAACGCGCACAAGTTCAAGGTTACCTTTGTTGAGGGTCTTAGTGGGTTTGAGTTGAGTAAGACGGGGCAGAAGGTGATCAAGTTTATTGATCGGTCTGGGTAATTTTGAGGCTCAATGATTTATGTCGATTCATGTCTTATGTATAATAATAATCCGCCTTTTTTTTTTAAAATCTTGATCATCCCATGATAAGATTTTATCAGATTCTAGACACGTTCACTGCTGAGTCATCGGAACCCACACCCAAGGCAGCAACGACAATTCTTTTCCTTAGCCCCTAAGTTAGTCGAGTTATAAATATCATCTAATATCTCGTCTTCTAAAAGAGTGAAATCCAATTTTCTTTAGTATCTTCAATCCCTCATTATGTCTCAAAATCAGCCTGTGTATATAAGTCTCCCTGGTGGGATGCAATCAGAACGACGATCTTCATCGGCTTCGGAAAGATCGACACAAGCATCATTGGCCTATGAGAATACGTCTTCACAAACTTCAAACCATATGTCTCAAGACGATGAAGAAGATGACGAGCAAAGCGAAGCAGGTTCGGAGGACCTCCCCATAAGAGAACCAGCCTACACCACCCAAGAACTGGTCGCCATCATTCTGGACTTTTACAACTTCCTTACAACTCTTCACTTTGATGCTGCAAATCTCAAAACAGCTCCCCCAGAAGGATGGCCGAGCCTCACACCTGAAGTTCTATCAATCTTAGACAAATCCGAATACATTCTCGACCTCATCCGTCACATCCCTTACTTCAAACAGTCTTTCTGGTCCATTGGCTTCCTCTACAAGTCCCAGCTGTGCGACATCCCAGAGTACACGCTCAAGGACTTTGAGGAAGAGATGTGGTGGACGGAAGACTATGAATTTGTTTCAACAAGAGGTGAAGCAGACGGAAGACACTTTATCCGTCTTGCCGAAGGAAGAGAAAGCGGTGGCCGTATGGTATGGCTAAACGCCAAGGATGGCGAGATTGTTGACTGCGATATAAGAGGCGATCCTGAAGATCCGGTAGATATCCAGGTTTATTTCAACAGCCTCAAGGAAAGATATCGAAAGCTTGAATTGTTTCCCGGTCCTCCTAGTATTGTTACTCAAGAATACGAGGAAATGCCCGAGTGTGACGAAACAATCACGGAAGCAGAATTTCTAGAGCAGGGGCCAGAAATTTCTATTGTTGAGAACGTCGATTTTGGTAGGAAGCTTTATCGTCGATTCGGATGGCCTGATGCTTTTCAAAGGGAAGAATGCTGGAAGGAAGTCGAGAGGCTACAAGATGAGATGAACGATATGGATGACAGTATTTGGGAAGGGACTCCTTTGTACGGTCGACAATGAAGTATATAAGAGATACCTTGGTCAGCAGTTAGATATCTGTTGTTGAGCTTTGTCTTCCTGCACATAGATCAAGGTTGGATTATATCGTGGATAACAATCCACTTGAAGGATCTAAACCGATTGTCCTCTATAAGTCAGAATGCAACAAAGAAAATTTAAAGGCATATTCACTTTCTCATAATCCCTCAATTATATAAACGCAAGCGATAGTTCTTCTCCTTATCAATTAGCAGTCTAGGTAGCAGTAGAATCATTAGCCTCTAAAATTTTAGGGTATAGAAATAAGTAGTGTGAGAACTACAGGTTAAAGATTATAAAATGGCATATTGATTTTATCTCTTTTACTTCCAGTACTTAATTTATCTAACACCCCAGGGATACATCTGGTCTTCAAGGTATGGAAAATAAACCGAATAATAAGTCCGATGTGATAGTAGAGAGCTAGCCTGCTAATTTTGTCTTTTTTTGATTCCTATTACCAGCCATTGAGTTTCTGCCTACTTCGCTTACCACTATGCCCAGGCACCAGCCGCTTATATCCACTTGGTGCCATCTTCTAACTAGTTGGCGAACCAACAGCTTGCGTTGGTCGTTCAGGGGTTAAAATAAATATATAACTAAATCATGTCGTGGAGAAACATGTCGACAGTTGTCCTCAACAGTATTATTGTTAGCAATCATGTCTTCCTATCCAGGCCTCGAAAGTCTTCCTGCCGAGATTCAACTCGGCATCTTTTCTCAACTTCCGCACCATAGTCTCACTCAATTGGCTCGTACCTCCAAGCATTTTAGCAACATCGTTATACCTCTGATTTGGACCGATCTTGAATTTCATAGTACTATTTACCATAAGACCTCATCTGAACTGAACGTTCCTCCTCCTGTTCGCAGTCCCGCCAGCCGAAAATATTTTCCAGCAATGAGATACAACAGCGGGTCAAGAGAAGCAGAGGCTTTCTTCAACACACTGCAGACTCTGCATGTGGAAAATCCAGCCCGTCTGGAGCACGTTGCAAAGCGTATCAAGCACATATGCACTGGCGTTGACCCCCAGTGGTTGCCACGGACTCGAGATTATGAAACAATCTACCCGAACGCTATTCGAGTCTGGGAGCTTCTGCCTTATATGACTAACCTTGAGTCTCTGGAAATCCACGGAAGCTCGTTGTATGGCGGTGGCAGGACAGGAGACCCATTGGAGCAACTTCAAGGTCCTACCCCTAGACTTCGATTTGCGAAGCTTTCTGGCTATGTACCCCGAGCCGTGGCTGAATGGGTTCTCAAGGCTGGTGACACTCTTGAGCGTTTGGAACTTGGCATGTTGGACCGTCCAATTTCCTCGTCCCATGATTCAGATCCCCACTTCGCCCCTCTTCCTCATGAAAAGCTCAAGAAAGAAAAAGATGACGATGAGGATAGCGAGGCGGATTCAGATGATGACGATGACGATGAATCGGACTGGGGTAGTCTTAGGGGTGAGGCTGTTATCCCTCGTCCGTTGGGTGGGTTTTTGACATCCTTTCAAGATCAAGGCAACGAGCTGAAGTTGCCTAAACTCACGCATCTCTACCTTTATCAGCCTTCTGAATCGGATTATGAGGACAGCTTGGACCAGTATACATGGTCCAAGCGAGCTGAAAAAGCCTGCCACAGTGATTGGCGCCAGATCCTCCAAGCTTCCCTACCAACACTCAAAACGCTTGTCCTCGAGCAGCGTCCTGCAGCCGACTACATCGAGAACGACGGTCTAACAGAGATGGAATGGATGGAGAATCGAATTACACCAGCAGCTAGTCAAAACCTGCTCGAGATGGTCGGGGCAGTATTGGAGGCGGATAAAAGCCAAGGATCGCTGCAGTGTGTGTACTTGTATGGCATTTTCGTCGGATTGCTCGAAGAAGACGAAGGGATGCCTGATCCGGCGGAACCTTCAGGTCGTTTTATGCAGTTCTTGCAAGGTTGTGGTGTTGAGTGTGAAGCCAGAGTCGGGCAGTGGTGTTTCTTTGACGACGACAGTGGTCAGGCGACGTGGGACGCTTGCTGTGACAGTGAAGATGAAATGGAGGATGGAGATGAGTCGATGAGGTGGGACGATGTATTATGCATTGTCTAGTTAGTAGCAGACGAAATAGCCTCCTAAGTCTTGGTGTATAAAAATAAGTATTCTAAGAACTATACCTAGTCTAAGGGGCATAAAGTGGCCTTTCTCTGATACCTTGATGGCGCTCTGGTCTTCTGGTTGTTAAGGAAAGGCTTTGTCGCATACGCCCGCTGCGATGTGAGGGTGTCGCCACCAAGCACTTCACCTAATAGTGGCGTTCTTGCCTTCTAATTCCTTTGTTCTTTCCCTCGCTACCAACCTACTCAACCCTAGTCATATGAACAAAGAGATTTTACTATTTAGGCGATTGATGCTGACGTTTGGAAATCACTTTACTTTTTCAATCAGCTTCAACAACTTGACCCAACATTCAACATCTAGAGCTTTACTTGTCTTGTCTATCACAAATCCGTCGACCACCATTTTCAACAACGTCGCACTGGTCATCACAGCCATCCTCAGGGCATCAGAAAAATTAACTCCTAGAAGCCTAAGAGACGAAATCAGTAGGTCATCTTATGCTCCTTAGTCTATAATTTTTAGACTACTTATTTCTATACCCTAAGACTGAGGAGGGCCAATTTTTCTGCTACCTACTAGGCAGAAACTCAATGTCTGGTGATAGGAACCACAGAGGACAAAATTAGCAGGCCACATTGAGCCGAGTGATTGTCATTACCCCACTATCTTCAATCACGTCACAACTTCACCCTTCAGCCACCTCCATATCAACTGTGATGTGGAAGTTGCGAAAAGATGCCAACCTGAATCTCGGCAGAAAAACAGACCCTCAAATCGTTGGTACGTCAATAGGTTAATTCAAAGATAACACCGAGTGGATATAAGTAGCTGGTGTCTAGGAATAGTGGCGAGCCAAGTCGGCAAAACCCCAATGTCAAGCGATCTCGGCAAAAACCCAATAGCTGCCGAGATTGAACAAATAACGATAGGCCATAAATAAAGCCATTCATACCATTACCCCCACCTATCATCAACTTCGCCTTCTCAACTATCTTCACAATTCGACAACCATCACAATGTCCTCCTTCGCCGTCGTAAAAGACATCGACCACCTCGTCCTAACCTGCCACGACATCCAAGTCACTATAACATGGTACACGAAGTACCTAGGCATGAAATCCGAAACCTTTGGTCCCGAATCAGCTCCTCGTCATGCTCTCAAGTTTGGCACACACAAGATCAATCTTCACCAGCGCGGTAAAGAATTCGAACCAAAGGCTAGAACGGCTTTGCCTGGGACTGCTGATTTGTGCTTTATTCTTGAAGAGGGAACGGATCTGCAAGGACTGATCACGGAATTTGAGAAGGAGGGTATCAAGGTCCTTGAGGGGGGTGAGGTTGTTCCCAGGACTGGTGCTATGGGGGGGATTAGGAGTATTTATGTTCGGGATCCGGATGGGAACTTGATTGAGTGGGTTTACTTAACACATTCCATGACCTGGTCTAACCTTTGGCAGGTTATCTTATTACGCCGCATGATAGCCTCATCAATACTTTCGAATCACTTTGTACATCAGAGCGATAGTCGGCTGATCTTCCATATCCTCTATTCAAGATCTGTCATAAACAAGTACAGGCCACATAATTCGTTTACACATCTAGTTATTTTCAATCATAGTCTTGAGCTCAGCAAACTTGACAGGCTTCGGCAGAAACAAATCCACTCCCGCAGATATCGCATCAAGCCTTGCATCAGCGCTCGCCAGACCCGTCAACGCAAACACCGTCGTCCGAGGAACTTTGTATTTCGCCTCGATCTTCCGGATCCTTTTTGTCGCCTCGATGCCGTTCATGACGGGCATGCTGATATCCATGAGGATGTAATCAAAATGCTTCTTGATGGGGCCTCGAGTTTCGCCATCCCCTATGGTTGATTTCGTAAACGTTTCGACTGCCTCTTCTCCGTTCTCGGCTTCCTCGTAGGTGAAACCGCACTTCTTCATGAACATGGTCAACAGGTTGAGGTTGATCTTGTTGTCGTCAACTAGCAGCACGTGAGCCGTGTTGGGCATTTCTGCTTTGTTTGGTTTTTGTGACTCCCTTGCTGGCTTGTCATTCTGCTCGATGTCGCCGTCCTGCTTTTGACCATCCGGTTGGCCGTATTCCTGCTGTTCGCGAGCGTTGTTTCCCATCTTCTTCTCTTCCTTCTTGTGATTGTTCCTCGGCCCGTCCTTTTTGCTGTCGTTATTGTGATTTTTTGTTTGCTTCTGTTGTTGATCCTTTTGACTCTTCTTCTCGCCTACGTAGCCATCCTCTTTGGATTCCGACTGGTTTTGCTCATCTTCAGGGAGCGGTGTCGTAGTTGTATGCGCATGATCTGACTCGCTGTTCTCGTCTCGGTGCAACGTCGAGTTCATACGCTCTGCCACGTCTCTCCCTTTCAGAGTTCCATGTCTACCTCTTTTCTTGTTATCGGTGTGAGCACTGTGGACTAGATCGCCATCATATTTGTCATCATTCGCTTCATTGATCCTTTGCAAGCATCGGTTAAACACTTGTGCAAGTTTTCTAGGACCGCATCTAATATTTTGTTAGTACCAGTAATCGAAATTCGTTTTTCAAAACTTACGGTTGTGGAATTACTTCAACCACATTTGACAACTTGGCCAAGGCTGTTGTCTGAGCTCTCGATATCTTTGCCGCCTCCTCCTCGTTCAAGCTGATGATGATGATGGGCGTCTTCTTATTCCTTGGACCCTCCCTTAATGTTTCTTGGAAGCGCTTTTCCAGTGTTTTGGCGGACGGTGGCTCGCAGTACAGGTAAAAGTCGGCTTCTGGGGGGTTGGTGTCGAATTCTCTCGCCGCCTTCATGTTGAACCAGCTTGAAAAGATCTCAATCAAGGCCTCATTGCGCACCTCGACTTGTTTGGTGATAATATCCGATTTGAATTCTCCACTTGCTTCCAAGAGTACCAAGGACTGTCCTTGGAGCTTTTGCTTCATCGTGTCCATAGGCTTTTCTGACTTGGATCCTTCTTCGGGAACAGGGTCCAGACGCAGCCGGACTTCAATCTCGGTACCTCTGCCCTGTTCTGACTTGACCTCGAGAGCTCCTCCAAGCGAATCCACAATCTGCTTGACGATACTCAATCCTAAGCCAGTACCGGGCTGGAAGGAGTCTTCCTGGCTGAAGGGAACAAAAAGTCGGTTCTGTTGGAATTCTTCGGACATGCCTTTCCCGGTATCAGTAACCCGGATCATGACGTCAATCCTTGAGTCGTCACTAATATCTTGGGCTCGTACGGAAACGCAGACGAATCCTTCTGCAGTATATTTCAGAGCGTTGGCGAACAGATTCATAACAATTCTTCGAAGGGCACCAGGTTGCGTTCTGACCATCCAAGATGTTCTCGGGGTGATATCCAAAAGAATTGATACGGGATGCTCGGTTCCAAGGCCATCGGCCCCTTGTTCTGCTGCCCCTGCCATCGCTTCGCCTCCGGGATTTGCCGATTTTTTGGGGAGTTTCTTGAAATTGTGACCGGTGGCAACAGCATCAACAACCTCCTCGACAAGGACGGATAGGTCTACCGCCGCAGTCATATTCAAGCTTTCCATTGAATCCGACGATAAGCTAATAATCTTGGCGTGCTTTCCCTTCCTCGTTTGCCCGCTTCCAAGGTTATTTATCTTGCTAAAGTCGAGCACGTGGTTCAGCGTGTCGAGAAGTGTCTTTCCACAGGTCGCAATTGAGTTGACTAGGCCGACTTCGTATGAATCGGACACGGCGTCCTTGAGAAACTCGGCGGCACCCAAAATACCGTGCAAAGGACTTCGTAATTCGTGACTCATGCTCGCAATAAACGTAGTTTTTGCCGCTTCATTCTTCCTGGTATTAATGCGCCCGACTTGACTCGTGATGCTGTTACCAAAGGCGCGAAGGTAGGATAAGTCTTCATCCAAGTTCATCATGCGGCCCGGCGCTGATGTCCAAAGGAAGCACCCACCCATTAGTTTATCCTCGACGTAGTCAAAGAGGGGAAGAAAGACAATAGACTTGGCTCCGGGTATCTTCTTGAGCAACTCCTTGTGGTCCATCGTGTCCTTGCTCTTATTCTTGTGGCGTTTGTGCCTTCCGGCTGTCGGGACGGAACTCGCATCGCTCGCACTATCATCATCGGAAGAGAGACCGGCCCCTTCCTCTGTAAATGTGAAAGCTTTTCCTTTGGGGAAACGAGAGAAATATTTTTCTAGAGTTCCAATTGAGAAAGACGGGCCTGTCTCGAGATCCAAAGGCTGAGCCTTGTCAGCAAGCGAATAGGCAAGCAACTTACATGGCCTAGAGGTTGGTGATGCTTCAGAGTCGGAGCTTTCTGTACTGAAACCATCAGGCTCCGCCGCGACCCGTGTCGGCGAGTCTTCAGAACTCGTGTTATCGTTGTGCTCCACTTGAACGGTTTTGCTCATATGTTGGATGTTGGAGGCTGTGGCGCCAAAGAGAACAACACCGTCCGCCAATATTGAGGATCGCAAGTTGTCGGCTGCTCGATGATACATCCTGGATAAGCCGTCCGTTTTCGGCTTGGTCTTGCGGGATGGCGATGTCTCTTTCTGTGACTTCCTGGTAGAGTCAGGGTCGACTTTGCGCATATTGTTGTGGAGTGACGATCGTCGCGTGGCTGAAATTGACATGCCTGGTGGTCGCTTGATCGAAGGGCGTTGAGGTTGTTCATTCTTTGACAGGACGGGATCGTCGCTCGAACATCCTTCAATAAAAGTAGCCAAACCACGAACGATGCGTTCACCTTTGAACCTGTCAACACGATCACGCGCCCATTCGAGATGCTCAGTAATCGCTTGCGCAACGCTCTGCATAAACTTGACGTCTTCTACGGTCAAGCCATCGCGCGGTCGTTCGTCCGATACGGCGTATGCTCCGATCTTGTAACCCTTCCTCGAAAAGATGGGCACGCCGGCGTAGAAGCGCACTCCCGGTTCGGACTGGACGTATACTCGGGACTTGAAACGATCGTCGAGGCGGCAGTCGGGTACGATTAGACCAGAGGCTGTGTATGTCGTTCCATCTGGGTCACGACCGGTACAGGAGTTGTTTAAACAATGTTCGCAAACGGCATCTGGGCGGGAGAGGATCGATGTTCCTACTGGGAGAAGTTAGCAGGCGTGACGTATATCTTCAGGCAGGGATGTTACTCACACCACAGTTCACTGTTGTAATCGGAAATGCTGGAGGTTTGTGTCTTGTCGGTAGGATTGTCTGCCAATGTTCCCAGTCGCAAATTGCGCGTGGCTTCAGCGAGGATGTACTGGTTGTTCGTATCGATGAGCGAGACCATAGCACGCTTCACGTTGAGTCGGAATACAGCCAGTTGGGCAAAGGCAGAGAGTGCCTTGTCGGATGAAGGCTGAGGCGCATTTGCGTCATTGATTTGGGAGGGCGCAGAGATTCCATCGACATTTCGAGCGACTTTGAGAGAAGAGCCTTGTGCTATTTGCCAGCTCTGGAAGTAACTCTGCACCTCGCGTTCGCGTTGCAGCTCTGCAGAGCTTGACATTGTATTGTGGAATGCGCTGTCATGTCATGCCAGGTTTGGATACTAAAGAAAATGGAATGCTCTGGCAGACAAGAATTAGGTGGTAGGTTGGTGATGGGAGTGTGATGAACAGAAATTACTGTTAGGCGGTTCCCCTCTAGAGAATCTAGGTACCATTGCGTCATAGTTGCCCCCGAGCGTCAGCGTCATTGGAAGGTTGTCAAAACAGATTTTAAGCCTAGAGCCTTTCTAGAATAGGTACTTCCTTCTACGCCCAAATGAGGTCACGCCAGGACAAGACAGGAAAGAAAGGACAGGAACAGCGATCGAAAATACAGGGTCAAACATCGATTAGCGGTCAAGTTGGCGATTTGGGGACGTGATCGGGCAACCAGGTTTTTTACTTTCTTTTCTTTTCCCCTTTCGCTGCCTCAGCCCATAATCCCTCATCCCAGCCATCAAATGTCAAGCTTCGCCAAGAAAAATAAGCTGCTTGAATGTGGGGGTTCCAGACTTTATTAGATATTAGTAGATCTACAGTAATCTTGCAGTTTATTTGTTTATTAATTAAGCCCAAATATCTTGGTACGTACGATGTCCAATTGAGTTTCAAGACATGGACTGTAGAACCGACAATCTGGTTCAACCAACCCACTACAATACCGTTATTGTACGCGCAGCCAAAGATTTCGGAAACATTGTACTCCGAAAACTCCGGTCCGCTGATTTCCTATTTGGGCCATCACAACCAAAAGTCCCAGGAGCATCTCCTTGGAGATGGCAAGATACCACCCACTGCTTACTATTAAGGATTCAATCCAATGGAATATCTCGATATGATAGAATTAATAAGCGTCGTGTTGCCCAAATAGATAAATAGGTGTCAGACACTCCCGATCCACACACCATCATTATCATCCACCTCCAACAATCATTGCAGTCTTCACCATGTCTTCCACCAAACACACAGCACGATCAATTCTCGACGCATTCTACGATGCCGAGCGCATTTACATGGCCGCATCACCCGAAGAGCGCGATTTTAGCGGCATGGCAGCAACGCTCTCACCAGAAGTGAAACTCAGACAAACATCAGGCCTACCCTACGCCGGTGATTACGTCGGGCCTGAAGGATTCCGAAAATGGGCAGAAGACATGGCCAGCTATTTCGACAAACTCGATGTGCAGAACCCCGAGATTTTTGAACGCGAGGGTTCGAACCGCATCATCTCGCTCAGCTACCTCTATCTTAGAGTTCGCAAGACTGGGGAAGAGTTGAAGTACCCTATGTGCCAGGTCATGACGGTTGATTTGGAAGCTGGCGTTATCAAGAGCATTATGCCGTTTCATTGGGATTTATATGCGTTAAACAAGGCTATCGGTCACACACCTGAGATATAATCACCGTATCAGAAGAAGCACCAGCTAGAGAAGAGACAAGCTATCTTTAATCAAACCAAAGGAATTCAACATCGTGTACTTTTGAAATCATCGATGCTCCGCAATGACTTTATCGCAATACTCTGCAAACTCAGCAGCCGTACCCGTGCCTCCTTGTTCCTTCGACTTGAGATTCTCCAATAAATCTGGCCTCGGAGAAGGATGAAATCGACCCCAAGGCCAAATAAACCTCCCTCCATCCTCGATCTGTAGATCTGGCGAAAGGCCTGCCCAGAGGTTGGTGTACGCACCAAACTTGGCATGATAAAGAAGCACCGAGACGGCATAACGAACCACCAACGGCATATGGCGCAGAAGAGAAGTTTGAAGGTTCCCAGGATTATGGCACACGCTGAGAACGCCCTGAGATCCGATCTGGTCTGCCAACACGCTCGCGAGATACCAGTTTCCGGACTTTGAATTTGTGTAGTTGACTTGAGGGTCTGAAGATGGTGTGATGACGTCTTTCATGTTGACTCCTCCCTTTGGAAGGGCGACGTCGGTTACGATAGATGCTGTCCAGACAACGCGCACTGAAGCAGGCGGTTTGTCCTTGGCGGTTTGAGTTAGAAGAGGTACGAGAAGTTGTGTAAAGTACCACGGCCCGATGGCATTCGTGGCTATGCTGAGTTCATATCCTTGCGCCGAAACTGAGCCTGGAGGAGGCATAGACACGCCCGCGTTGTTGAATAAAACATCAAGCCGTGATTCTTTGGTTGCGAATTCTTCCGCAGCCGACTTGACAGATTCGAGATCGTCGAGGGATATCTTGAGGAAGGCCAGCTTCCCGGATGATCCAGGGCAATGCTCTTTCAATTGCGCGATGGATTGTTCACCTTTCTCTTGGGACCTGCCTGCGATATAAACTGATCCGCCAGCTTCGTATAGCATGCGGCACAGCTCAAAGCCAATGCCGGAGTAACCGCCTGTAACGATAAAGACACGTCCATCTTGTGGTTCAAGATTTTCCTCGGTGAATTGAGGTTTTGGCGGGAACATGAGAGAATACGTGTTTCCCATGGCGAGCGTTCTCTTTGGTGGTCTGCTGGGTTGTGGTTGATGAATGGTGGAGAATTTCGGATGGGAGGAGAACTGAAGGGCGGGGATATAGGCAGAATTGGTAGGAGTGACGCATCACAAATCTTAGCAACGTTACGGTTGATACAATGGACAGCAACTGATTGTGAGCCTGGTGGAGAAAGTTGGCCTTCTAAATCTTAGAGTAAAAAATAAATAACCTACAACCATAGCCTAAATGGCATAAGGCGACCTGCTAATTTCGTCCATTGTGCCTAAGCGGCCACCTTTTCTGGTATCCTGAGGCAGGGATATAGATAGAGACAGGTATTTGCACGATACCAGTTAAGAGACTCGCGCCACACATCTCTCACCAAGCATATTCGCGATATGTGATGCCAACTTCTCAACCATAGCCAAACCTGGATCATGGTCAGGATTAACTTCTGCAACCGTCAAACCAACAACTTTGTCGCTTGCAAGCAGCACTCTCAACGCCCTCATCATCTGCTCAAATTCAACACCTGTGAAATTCGGCACATTCGCCAACGGAAATGTCCCCGGGTCAATAGAATCAACGTCCAAGTGTACCATAATCATATCCACCTTGCTCTCGAGATACTCCAATGTTTCTCTTGCACGCTGTTCTGGTTCTTTCGCCACGGATGCTGAGCTGACAACTTTGTAGTTGTTGTCAAAAATGTATTGGAAATGCTCAGGTTTGTTTCCTGGTAGAGACATGTTTGTGCCGAAAAGGACGGTGTTGGAAGAATCACAGACTGGTTCACCTGACGGACGAGAGAATTGCTCCATGCGTGGTAATGCACCTGGTAGCCGAACTAGATGCGCCATGTTCATACCAGCAAAAGTCCCAATGGAATCGGGATCCTTCGGAGAAGTAAGATCGGTATCGGCGTCGATGTAAATCAAACCAACGCGCTTAGGAGGTGCATGTTTCCAAAATGCGGACATAATAGCCGGAAGCATACAACACTCGCCGCCAATGATGAGTTGGAAATCTTGTTTACGCGCAAGGCTATCGCTAACAGCATGCTCGACAGATTCGCAGACTGAGATGTTAATATCCTCGTTCCGTACACCACCCGGGCTAAAGGTTGCCGCTGTGTAAGTCGCTGGCAAATACAAGGCACCGATTTCCAAGACAGGCGGCACACCAGCTTCCTTGAGTTTGCTGACGATTCCGACGTCTTGGAATGCTTTAGGTGCTTTGGATTTGCCCGGGATGATAGAGCCGCAATCTGCAGGGACATAAATAATAGATACATCTGAGGTTGCCATGCCGATGGGTTAAGCTTCGGTTATGCTTGAAAAGAGTTTATATTACCTCAATCTTTAGTAGAGGAAAGCCGGAAAAGGCGTCCTTTTCATTCTGCTTATGGTATCCAGTTCTCATGTGACGTAAGTGTTGTCAGTGGCAGGGCTTGGAAACATGATTTGTCCGTCAGCAATGTCGGCAAACAACAGAGTAGGATTACACTTGCCTTTGAAATTCGACATTTCGAAGCAAATATTTTGTAACAATTTTCTGAGATGACATGTCACGAAAGCCATGGGCAGTAATTAAAGTGCTGTAAAAGCGTAACTTTTTGATTGAAATCAACTATATACATGAATTATCTTAATCGTTCCTATTAATCCAACATGACAGTCATTGTAACCTAATCATGGATGATATCCTTTCGTTCACACAGCTTATACACTATTGGAGTTCTATCTCCAAGTAAAGTTCGGGACATTAATATGTCGCTTAGATACCGGCACCGAGGCCAGCGAGGAGAGCGACAACGGGGGTGAGGAGAGGAGCGAGAACACCAGTTCCGAGACCGGCAAGGAGAGGAGAGAGAGCAGCAATGAGGCCGGGGAGGATGGCGGCAACGAGGCCAATGACGAGAGTGAGAACCTTGGCGAGGATCTGGAAGACGGAGTGGAGGACAGAGATGAGCTGGGGCTGGAGACCAGTGACAGTGACGATGGTCTTGACAGCAGTGAGGACCTCGGAGACGAGAACAACAACGAGGTTGAGAACCTTGTCGACATCGCCGTCAGCGACAGGGAGACCAGCAGCGCCGGTAAGCTTGGTGACGATCTGGGTGAGCTCAAAGTTGACACCCTCAAGACCGGGGATAGCCTTGTCAGCACCCTCAGACTTGGTGAGGTCACCAGCCTTGACCTTGTCGGCAATACCGCTGAAGCCAGAGGTCTTACTCTTGATGTTGGAAGCACCGCTCTGGAGAACGGAGAGGAGCTGAGCGGGGCTGGAGATGTCTCGCTTGATGGGAGAAGCAGAGCCCTTGGTGGACTCGTCGACGATCTGATCAACACCAGCAATCTTGAGGATGTTCTCAAGGTTCTGGACAGCGCCGCGGACCTCTTGGGTGTCGGGAGTAGGGTTGACACCAGCGGGCTGGGCAACGGGAGAGGCAATGGCCGAAGCGGCGAGAGCGAAAAGGGAGAAGAAAGTGGCCTTCATTTTGAATGATGTTGTTGAGGAAGAGAGAAGTGGTTTTGAGTGTAGAGTGTGTGTGAGTTGATGATGAGATTGATGGATGATGAGAACTGATTTGAAGCAGAGAATAGACGTCCTTATATACACGAATTTGTCTATTACTTTGATTTTTATCTTCTTTTTTTTTCCAAACTATACAGGTCGATCACCTACAGGGAAATTGCTTAGAGTCCCTGGATGTCAGTGATGATGTCGATCACTCTCAAAGACTCGAGTCGTGAGAACTTAGCTTTGCGTCCAAGAGTCCACATAGTGGCCCCCTTTGGCGTCTTCTCCACGACATATCCATTTTCAACTCCCGGGCCTTTCTTTTAGTGGTTATGCTACTTATCAAAGCTAGTGGGTAGCAGAAAAGTTGTCTCTCTTAGTCTTATGGTAGAAAAATAAGTAATCTCAAAACTATAGTCTAAGGAGCATAAACTGACCTGATAATTTATTCCCTTATGCTTCAAGTGGTCAATGTTTCTAATACCCTGAGGCAAAGGTTTATAATTTGTTGAGACTATAATGTCTTGTTGATAAACGATTTTAGACTTTGGGTGATATTCACTGCAGGTGTCTCTTGGTCTTGCATATCTTACTTTTTTGGATAATCTTGTTTAACCCTTTGAGAAAATAGTACTTCATATGTGCTCGTAGTAGATATTTGATCATCAACGCTATCGAATAGTCAATCTCAGGTTGTATCTCTCCTTGTCGATGTCATCGTCCTTCCCCTGCGCTAATCCCCCGACCCATTTTTCCGGGATATTTCGTACGGGATTAACAGTGGGGATAAAGGCAGCCCAGCTCCAGTGGACCAGGTTCTATGCTGCCGGCTGTCGATCATAACTAAAACCTGTCATATCCAGCAAGTCTTGCTTCTTCTCATCTGGTAGTTCGATCTACAACTGGGTCCGATTAATACTAATTTCTTACAAGTCTTCTAGGGGCTCCAGATGTCTTGTTTGTTGGCATAACAGGGTTAAAACATAGGGAGAGTTTTCAGGTCCGATGTTGTGACGATTATTACTTGTTTTGGGGATTTGCAATCGATGCTACTGCAGGTGTGCCATCTATTCTCACCAGAAGATTGCATTAGTTTCGATATGCTCAGATTCGTGGTGGGATGAATACCGAATCGAGGCTGAGATGTCACCAATATCTAATACTGGAATGTCCACGGCTACACTGATCCATCATCTCTCATTTCAGTGAATAGCCACCTTGTTTCATCATCATGCTAAGCATTCACTGCCAAGGTCCTATATTCCATTCCCATAACGTCTTCAGCCTCTAAGGCTCAGTAGTCTTGCTTTACCTTTCTCTACTGGAGGACAAGTCCGTGTCCCCGGTGCTTGGACCGTCTCCACGTGTCCGTGGCCCTATAGCAAGCAAACAGCCCTAGCAAACACTACTATGGGCCATTATTGTAGCTGATCGGCAGTTGAGATCGTCACATCATAAAGGATCCGGTTGGTGAAGCTATGGCTTCTTCCCTGGAATGGGAAATCAGCTCGTCCATAATATGCTGATCTTAACGATACTTGAGGGGGCTCCCACTTTAACATGAGCTAAGAAGCACAGGTAAGGCAGCGACCTTTTTTGTATGTACTCTGCTCAACAAAGAGGTACAATAGAAGACGGAGAAGGTACAAACACCGCCATATGACGAAATTCAGCGCTTTTACCAGGAGAGTGGATGCTGGAACTGAGATTGCCGACTGACGATTAATCAATACAACAGAGAAAGTACGTACAGTATGATTGACTCAGGCCAAGATCTGTGTTCCACTGTATTTGATTCAGTTTTTGCTTTCAATGTTGTGTTGCTCGATGTTTGTGACCAAACGAAGCATGTGAATCTCATAATGTATTTGTCTTCTCATTCACAAATCTTGGATAATTTGTGAGAAAATACGCAAATGGTCTTGAGCTAATCCTCTTTCTATGTTGCCATTTTAAATTGTCTTTTGACTTCTTAGATCTAACTAGCAGCCAAATATCTCCAAGATGCGTCACAGACATAGGGTAGCAATACAATACCAGAAACACCATTCTTACAAATTCAACATGTTCCCATATAATTTCGGGCATTGACAATAACTAGTGACGCCTTTCAAATATCCATAATCAACTAAGCTATCTATTCTCTACTGCAAAGTCAATCAAAGCACTATACTAATAGAGAGTTCAGGTAAAGGCGTTGACCTACCACACTCAACGTGACACAAACTCTATCTTGCATTCCAATTTAGGTGTTCCAAAGACCCTTATGGCGTAATTTGACTATAATTCTGCAGTATGATGATCATTGAAGCGCCACGCTGGTAGATTGTCCCAATGGGGAGTTCTAATTTAGGCCACCAAATCGAAGACGTAACTGCTTATTCCACCGAGATAATTGGTGATGCCGCGATAACTCCGCGGCCCCTCACCAATGACGGACTCAAGCCTCTTGGTGGCGCACACACAGACAGAGCAAAGCTCAGCTCAGCTGTATTAACTAACGTTAGGTACATAGAAAACTAACTAAAACGAGTAACTAACTCATTGTTTTTGTCCTCAATTAACCTACTTAGTCATAGCTATGGACCCTTTGAGATCTTGGTCCTAACCAATTGAACAGAAGACAGATTGGAGTCTTGGCTCCTGGGAGATCCCTTCGTTAATCTTGCAATGAGTAGATCATCTGGGTAGTGGATCGGAGGATCCCCGATACGTTGATCAATCAGAGTTGTCTGTTTATGTGAATGAAGATTTAGAGTCATGCATCTAGGGTTTCTCGAAACTCCGATGGAGGTGCGGAATGACAGCCCCTCAGAACAACATCAAGGGTCGCCGCAGACTACGAGTCTGCATTCTTCATGTCCCGAATTGCAAGTAATCAAGTATTTCTGAAGCTAGATGGCTGTTACATAATCGGACTGAACTTGAGCGGCAACTCCATCGCGTAAAGATACCCCAACTTGTACGCACCAGAGAACCAGCCCACCATTCGGATCCGATGAGAGCAACACGTCCATTGACTTGTACCCCAGGCAAGAAGCAAGAATATATACAAATAACGACAGGTCCAAACCCTTCCTAAAGCCCCTCGCCACCCCCTCAGCCTCTAAGCAGGCCTAATACCCTGTGGGTTCCAAAACATATCCTTCGGATCCAACTCCGCCTTGAGCTTCTTCAACTTTGGCAAACTCTTCCCGTAGTACCGCTTGACCGCCTCCTCATTACCCAGCTGCGTATCCAGATAGTTTGCATACATGCCCCAGTCGCCATTAGCCATGGTCTTGGTCACGCTCTCGCGGAACCGCTTAAGCACGGTGAACCCGTTGTTTGCGTGCGTGGCGTAGTTGCCGTGATCGGAGAACTCCCACAGAAGTAACTTGTCGCGGTGAGGGAAGGCGCTGTTGATCGGAAGGTCGGTGAAGACGGTTTTAGCGTTGGTGATTGCCGAGTTGGGACCGCCGAAGAGATCAATTAGGATGTACCATGTGTGTCGCGCGTCGGAGTCGTTGATGTTGTCGTACAAAGTCCTGGCGAAGGACTTGGCTTGGTTTCGGGTAAGGGCTTTTGTCATGAGGCTGGTGCTGTAAAATGTGCTGTGCTGTATAGATGTTAGCATCGGTCACTGGATGACAGACATGAGGTGACTTACTTGGTCGTAAGGACGTCTTTGATCAAGCGCTTGGCCACTGGCGTACTTGTTCAACATCTGGATCCATCCTCCCGTACTAGCCGTAGAGATCTGAGCACCCAAATCTCCCAGCAGAGGTTTCAGCGCCGTGTTCAAGTTTGCTCTGGTACCGTAATAAACACCCTGAATCGTCTGTCCCGACGGCCCTAGATAAATCTGCATGTTCAGTTCCTTTGGCGCCGTCACTGCAAACTTTTGAAACGCGAGTAGTCCTTCCACCGCATCATTCTCGGTCCAGTCCAGCTCGATGCTGAACGGCGTGACTCTTTCGGGCGCTGCAAATGTCTGGAAGTCGAGTTCGGCGACGATACCAAAGGAAGAACCTGCACCGCGGAGAGCCCACGTCAAGTCGTAATACTCCCAATCTGCTGCGTATCGAATTGTTCCGTTGGCGAGGACGATTGTTGCGCCGAGGAAGGTGTCTAGCGTAAGACCGTGGGTTCGCGAGGCAAAGCCGTAACCTCCGTGGAGAGCATGGCCAGCAATACCAACACTACAACTATTAGCCCAACGTCTCGTCTTTGCGAAAAACCTCTTACCCAGGGCACGATCCGTGAGGAATAGCTCTCTTGCCAAACCTGAACAAGTCAGTAGCGACATGTCCCAGCCTCGCACCAGCCTGAACATTGCAACTCATATCTTTGTTAAGGGTGACGGTATCCATATCATCCACGACAATAACCAAATGTCCATTCTCACCACCGTAGCCAAACGATCCATAGCTATGGCCGCCGCTCTTGGCACTGACGCGGACTTTTTTCTGGTCACCACACTTGACAGCGTCTGAGATGTGCTTGACAGTTGTGGGAAGGGCAATGGCTGCAGGAGTGTATGCTAGACGAAGATTGTACGGCTTGACTTCCTTGACCCATTGGGCTGAGTCGCGTGGGATGTAGGGGACTTTCTTTTGGGCGAGGCAGGCGTTGAGAGCGGCGGGGGTGTTTGACGATTGGGGGTATGGTGATGGAGAAGCATTCGAGAGGGCTAAGAATGCCCCAAGGCAGAGGAGGAGTAGTCGGAAGTTGAACATGATGCCGTCAGCTTTGCTAGCCACTGCTCTGATACCCCTTACGGCCGCTGGCAAGCGAGTTGTTCTTATAATCCATTTCTCATACTGTCTCGCAAGGATCATCTTCAGCTTTCATGTCGATTGTATCTATATCAGGCCATCTCTTTACGAGGTGGAAATGAAACATGCACGATTCTGTGAAGCTGAAAAGCATGGCTCAAACAACAGGGTCAAGGGTAACATGATTGTCGAGGATGTAGAAAGATGTCAATTAGGTTCTCTGCAAGTGCCGTAAGTCACAATGCTCTCTTCTCAACCAGCCCAATTGACTCTGTATCAAAAGTTTACAACTCCTCCCTGGTCAAACAATGCCGCCAAGATCTATATCACCAAGATACTCTTCTCAGAATCTCTCAGCCAGACGTACCTGAACATCTCGATGATCCCCTGAGGCCATCCACCTGTGTAACACCAGCCCCATGATCGACAATGCGTCCTACCAATATTTCTCGTGCATACATATACACGTTTCCCCACATGCATATATAGCGCAAAGCCAACCTACACTTTATTCTCGTAGCGAAAACAAACCCCGACTTGTGATTTGCTGTAGGGAGAATCCGATGCCAGGAACCGAAGCCAATATGCACCTCTTCCCGATACTAGCACGAATCCGATTGCGACAGTCCAACGTGTGTGCGCTAAGAGAAAACAACCCTCTTTATTTCTGTACAGTTCTATTCTTGTCGCTTATATATATGTCCCACACTCTCTTCGTTCGACAAGACCGAGTTTCTTCTTGCAGTACACGAATAAGGCTTGAATGACTCCCACTTCTCCTGTTTAACGAGGCACTTCGACGTGTACTTTACATCGCAATTGGCTCTTGGTCAAGCACAAATGCAGCCAAGCTCGTCAAATCAGGGACTTGAATGGGTCATCACGTTCAGCTAATGCTCGACCTGCGCTTTGTTGGACTGCAGTTTGGCCGAGGGAGGGGCATCAGTAGCGGTTGATTACGAGTCTTTGGAGAGCCCGCACATAGAATTTGACTCATAGTGGTAATAGATGAATATAGTACCACTGGATCTCTGTGTCTTGTGAATGACTCCCCTCCGAGTCTCCGATCATTACAACACGCTCACCACATCTTCACGAGTTTCTTCTACCACAGTATTCGTCTGCTCCAATATACAACAGCTACTCACCCAAATCACGAGTAAAATCACTTGAGACGTATCCTGATTAATGATTACACTTAACTTTAACCCACATCCCTCATCATGCCCTCCCAATGTCTCTCTTCCCCACAACGTCAGCGTCAACACCATAACACAACCTACGCCACCAAGCAGTCATGAAACGCACACATCTAAATTCCCCATGTGAAACAATCTTCCCTTCTCCAGATGCCAAGTTGTAGATCCAATTAAAGTACATTCTTGACACCCATAACCGCAGCAACATTGCATCTGCAGTGCTGTTCGAGTAAAAAGCGTGCCATCTATTTAGAAATGGCGTCTGTGTAATTCCATGTGAATAAACTGCTGCCGCCTGTGTGTTGCAGATTCCCTAAGACCTTCAAGTCGGTGAATCACAATCTCTCCCTCAACCTCAAATCTCAACTATAAGAAGACCTCTTCTCTTCCTCCAATTCCTCACTCTTTCTTTCTTCACTCATCATCAACAACAACAACTTGCATTCTCTTCGTCTTCATACAACAACATTCTCGCTCCTTCAAACACTCCAAGTCTTTCTCTTACACTACACACTCTCTCAACTACACTCAAAGCAACTTCTTTTCAACATGTTCTCCAAGCTCATCCTCATCGTCCTTTCCGCTACCACCGCCCTCGCGGCTCCTCTTTACCCTCGAACCCTGGGTCAAATCACCTTCTACCATCCCGGCAAGGGTGCCTGCGAGGACAGCCACGGCGACGCCGACATGGTCGCTGCCATTGGCCGAGGTCTTTATGACTCTGGCGACTACTGCGGCAAGAACATCAAGCTTACTGGTGACGCCGGCGAAGTCATTGTCACCGTCGTTGAGTAAGTTCTTTTGTTTCCCTCTCTTCCAAACTCAAACTAACATTCTTTCTCAGCCGCTGCGAAGGCTGTGCCGATAACGATCTCGACGTTTCTCCCGCTGCTTTCGAAAAGGCCATGGGAGCCAAGAGCCAAGGGCGCGTCCAGGGAGAGTGGAACTGGGCCTAAACGACATTCACCATTCATTCTTTTTTTTTTCTACAGCATGATCACCAGAAAGCTCGGCTCTTTACATTCTTTTCTCGAACATTCGTAACGACGTCGAACATACGGGAGGCGATTTAACGAAGATGGCACAGGTGGCCTGTTTATGATGATGAACTTCAATTGTTAGCAAAGGGGGAGATCGAAAAGATAGAGAATGGATTCAATAAAGTTCTAACAACGCTTTAATTACCTCTTTTCTCAGTGACATGTCTGCTTAAGTGATTCTCTCTTAGGGGGTGGTAGAAAAGTGAGCCACCAAACTTTAGAGTGCAACAACAAAAACTCACTCACCAACATATGTCTTATGCTCAGTGGCTACACTTCCAGCACACAGAGGCACTCCAAAAAGAACTTAGTAATTGAATTGTGTGGATTGATTCTGTCAATCTATGCTAACTCGCTTTGACGCCCGACGTTATCATAAAACTCTGCCGGAATGCGCCCTTTTATCATAGCTCCATAAGTCCTGTGTCCAAGCCACCCAATCCATCCGCCAAGTAAAGCAAACCATAACGTTCCTGTGAAAGAAAAGGGAATCCAACGCCTGTTCGTGATGGGAATGTGTTCCTCGTCAATGACACATTGCTGTGGTGAGTCTACCCTGTTGGGGACTGTAAGTTCTATGCCATAATGAATCCAAATCTTCTATCCTTGCTTATTTCTAAGACCAAATGCAGGCAACCACTTTCTCCTGCTTCCTGTTGCGCCAGCCGCCCTTGGGCTTTCTGTCTGCTCCACTGTGTCTCTTTCGTTCACCGGGCATGGTGGTTTGGGTGTTCCTGGGGTGCCTGACTCTTGACTCATTCTCGAGTCGTCGGCCATGTCAATATCCATAGAGACATTTCTTCCCTGTCGCGATTTTCGCATGATTGGCGGCGGTGTTGCGCTGTCGCGGTCCTCCTCGAGCGCACCTGTCCGGCTCATCCAAGGTGGGAGTCCCGATGCGCCATTAGAGCTCGAGAATCCCCCATTAGGAGGTTCGGTTGGACCATGCTCCGATCTTGGAGTTGGGGTTGGGGCACCGCTCGGAGGTCCAGTAGACGACCTGCGGAAGAACTTGGTGAATTTGTTCTGGGTGGATTGTTGACCCGCGATCGGAGGGTAATGGTTCTTGTCGCCGGCAGACGGCCCCTGCGTCTGCATGTGTGCACCTGTCCTTATTTGAATATCGTCGCTGTTTCGTCTCTGGTGGCCCTTCTTACGGCCCCCCTTAGAGGCCTTAACATTGGCCAACGGTCGACTCAGGAAAGATGTCTTGCTCTGTTGCGCAACCTGCGGGTTCAAGCTCGATCTCCTATCAGGAGGTGGTGGAGGCATCGTTGATGAGAAAAGCTCTTGCTGAACTGGGAAAAGATCCCTAATCCTGTCGGGATCGAGTCCTGTGCTCGCGCCTCCTTGATGACCATTTCCAGCTCCAAACATAGCATCCATTGCCCATCCACCCTTGGTGGCTGCGCTAGGTGGAAAGCTAAAGAGATCGGGAGACGCTCGCCCGTTGTTCTTAATCGGTTTAGAACTTTGACGTATCCAAATGTCGATACTCGACTCGAGAGATTCCACGTCTGAGTCGTCATCAATGTCAGAATCCCAATCGTTGCCCCGTCGGTTCGAAATAGTAGTTTCGTCAGCGGACCGAGGGCGCTGAATGGATCTGCCCTGGTTCTCGCGATATACTCTATTGTTCAAGTCAATAATCTGAGCTGAAGCCTTGACTGCACGCATTGGAGGCTGCTCCAGACGAACACCTGAGTACGTTCCCAAGCTTCCGTCGTTTTCGGAAGCTTCTGATAACGCACTGTGGCTTGGTCTCGCTGTAGGAGGTCTAAGCAACGCCTCGTTAGAGTTGTCGAAGCGTCGCAGTGTAGAGGTAGAGACGGTGTCTGGTGTTGGAGGGAGGTTCTGGTCGTGGAGTCTAACACCACCAGGAGCCTCGGTCGTAACTCTTCGAAGTGAATCCCTCTTCTCCTGCTTAAGGCGCTGATGGCCTGGGGACATTGAAGCACGGCCAGTAAATCTTTCTGGTACATCTTGATCCTGACTTTGAGGTCGCGATCCCATCTTCGACGACGGGTGGTGTCGTTCGGCCCTCTGTCGCGGAGAGCTGTATTCGATGACGTTGTGGATTGAGTCGAAGTGCGGTTGGTGATTGGAAACAGAGTTCGATCGGATTGATCTGTTAGGTGAAGAATGGTGAGACTTGACAAAAGCTGTTTTTGGTCGGTTGATAGCACTGGCTCTAGCTGGAAGACTGGCGGAGCCATCAAAGGTTGTCGGTTCATCCTCTTCTTGAAGGCCGCTATCATCTTCCTTCGACCCATACACACTGACAAAGGAGCTTTCACTCAGGATGCTCAAACTCGGGCTGCGGCCAGTGTCGCCTTCGCCAGGGCCCTCGGGGACTTGCGCAAGACTGACAACGCTGCCCCTAGCTCCAAGATAAACATTGCGCAAGTTCTCTGTATTCTCGCTGTGGTCGGATATGAAACTAGGCATTCGGTTGATGATTCTACCGTCTCCCGTTCGCTTCGCCGAGACTGGTGTCTGTGTGGCAGGTCTAGGGTCTTCGTAGCAAGGATTGAAGTTGTGAGCTGAGTACTGGCCTTCGAATTGGATTTGTTCAATAATTGATCTTTCTTTGACGAACTCTTCGAGTCTAGCTTCGAGCGACACGATCATAGCGACCGCCTCCTCGATTGCTTTATCACGCTTCTCCATCTCCTGAGAGAGATGGTGGTTCAATTCGTCTGCTTGTGATTTTTCCATCTCGAGGGTCTCTACTTTATCTTCGAGTGCTGTTTGTCGTTCTCGACGATGGTACAGTTCTAGCTTGAGATCAAAGTTCTTCTTGTGAAGTGAAGAAATTACCTGCTCCATATCCATAACTCCCATGCCCTTTTTCTTGGACGTCTCAGTTGAAGCGGGAGAGTGAGATCGATGTTCAGAATCGACAACCCTAACAGGCGATCCGAGGCTTCGACTAAACTCCCCAGAAGAATTGGTTGTATGAGAGCGCGACCATGTTGACGACTTGTCGCTCTCCGCTTGACGAGACTCCCGCAACTTCTCTTGAAGGAATGAGGACATGGCAGGCTGTCGCGTAGATTCGCTGCTAGCTTCTCTGGTCAAACGAGACTTTCGGTCTGCTGTTCGCGGTGTGGCGCTAGATGTCCTTTCGCAAGTGGCATGATAGAATCGGTGAGCATGCGACGGGGCGGGGGACCCAGGAGGGTGTGAGTTGGAAGTATGTGCGGTATGCATTGAGGCCTTGGTGTTGTTGGTGCTTGTAGAAGATCGAGAGGCGGTTCTTTGTCCATATGAAGACCGCGAGACAGGCCGTTCCATATTTGAATGCGGAGGAAGCTGTATTAAGTTTTCTAGGCGATTAGGTGTCGGTTTTCAAGGTGGTGATTTGTTCGCACGCGCACGGCTTGCGAGGTGTAGTTTGTACAAAGCGGTCCAGGTCAGATTCGAGGGTAAAGCTGAATTGTCTGATTTCGCAAAAGTATCGCAATTAGGTCTTGGAGTAGAAAAGTGCCGGTGTGTATAGTATGTCGAGCAGGTCGCATGTCTTGGGAAACAGAGAGAGGACTGATTCACTTCATGGCGGGTTGCGCCCAATAGCTTTCGGGTATCGTTGCAGGAAGCGAATCAGGTGAGATATGATATGATGCAAATGAAACGATGCTTGGTGTTTTGTCTTTGAGCTTGTGGTCGGTCGGTTATAGGTGACTTGCAGCAAACAGCGGTCATGATCCAATGGCTAACAAAGTAACGACAATTTTCGTAAAGAAGTATGTACAATCTCGGTTCGTTTCCGTGTAGAAAGAGCAGGTAACACGATTAGGGTCTGGGGGAGACAAGAGCGCAGTATCAAACAGTTTGAGATTGAGTTTGAATAAGAGACGAGACGAGACAACCCAACTTTGGCGATCGAGTGACGATGGGAAGAAACGGCATTAAGTTGGGCTCGAATAAGTGAAGCCGACTTCGCTTAGAGTGGGGGAGAAAGGGACTTGTCGACTTGACGATGTCGCCTTGCGTCGGCGACGCAGGGAGAACCTTGAGTTGCCTAGTAGATAGACTACTTCAAGGGCCAAGGTCGTTCCCAATCGACAGGACAGGCAGGGTTACGCAGTGGATATCTCGATCCAATCTGCCTATTTTAGGAGGGCGAGCAATAGAAGAAAGAGAAGAAATTAGAATTGAGGTGGAAATCAAGGGTATGTTTAGGTATGGTTCCTTCTGCCACCGACATCCAAATGCAGGAATACTGGACAGTCTCTCATTCCAGAGCCTGGCACAGTAAAAAAAGGTACAGACAGAGCCGGGCAGGTACAGCCAAGCCTAAAAGTTAGGGCGCCCCCCGCATTAGCGTTGCAGCCTCCATCTCAGGCACCATTTCAGTGGAGGTTCCATTAACAGCCAACACCACAGTACGCGTCTCTGCTCTGTAGACTACGTGTGGACGTGTTTAAAGCGTGCCAGGGTCAAGAGACGGTGTCGCCGGGCTGAAGAGTGGGTGACAAGGGTCTCCCATCCCTGATTTATGCCCTTAAACTGACAATACCTAATCCCCTACCCTTCTCTGCCCTGTGCTGTTTGTTGACGATTCGGTTGTCAGAGCAAATCGGTCCATCCAATCTTTCGTATCTACTAAATCGATCGAGTATTTCTAGATGCCAGGTTATTATTATCTTCTCTTATTCTCCCAGCTGGACTGTCTTTAGTACCAATCATGCTCAGTTCCACAGACTTGGGGAGCATGGATCCCCCCGGCTCCCGGCGAGCGGCCCGTGCTCCGAGCAGCTATCAAAGTTACTTTTACAGTATCAAAACCCCCATGTCGTCACTTTTCTCTTTCCCTTGATAGGTAGGATAGATGTGATTGTGATTCATGTGATTGCTTTTTCGAAAGGAGCAAGAGTCAGAGTGGCTTGACAAGAAAAGAACAAACATGCAGCAGTAGGGTAGTTCTCCTTGCTTTGCTTTTGTAAAGTCAATTGAACCAATCCCTTAACATGAACCTCGTTCATTGCGCCGTTGAGTGCCCTCTTCTTCAATGTATGTTTCAGTTCTCAACAATGTCCTAGACATTCGACGATCCTAACCAAACCATTCAAGGGTCTTTTATCTCTGTCTCACCTGCACCCACTATCACCAACATAAGAAGCAAAACACCACAACTCATATCAGATCCTCGCACTATATTCCCACAAAGAGAAAAGAGAAAATATTTCTTACACTAATCAATACCTGCATTAAACAAGTCCGGCCCTGAACTTGGATGCATCGGTCCGTCTTAGCTTCAGACTCCAAGAGAATAAATCCCGTCCCGTCGCAACCTAAGCCCGCAAGAATCCCCACGTAAAACTTTAAACGGCCATGACGGAAACGGGTTCCAGAGTCTAGTCTAGGTCCAGAGGAAAAAAGACCAGACTCCGGTTTGCCGCTTCAGCCATTCCCGCTTTTACCGCCCACTGACGTTGATCGATACTGTACTCCGAGCACTCCAAGAAAAACATTGTTCTGTTTTCAAAACTGAGAACGCCTTCTCTTACGATTGTGCCCAAACGTTATACAGTTTCTCCTCTAAATGCAGCAGTAGTGGAACCCTTGGCTTTTAACGGCTGAGCTTTACATACTGATGCAGTTCAACTGTGCGAGCTTAAGTGGAAAGATTGTATATTTTGGAGCAAACAACTTCCACGCCGTCAATTGTGGCTTGATACACTGCTTTTGGACCGCCGAGATCTCAACTCTGGTGCCACTCGGCTGCAAAGAACCGCCGGTGCAATAAATGATCAGTCAACTACACCATCCACACGGTAGCTCATCTGATTCGATTCTTCTGACTTCTATACCGTGTTGTGGCTTTTGGCTTTCATTCTACCTCGGCTGATCAATTCAGAATTGAAGTTTGGTGCCTCACAGGTCGTCAGGACATGCCCAGATTCTAGCTGCAATGGCACATCGTCCCTTGCAGAAGATCTACAACATACAGACTGTCCAATCACTTGACAGGCTAGTCTCAAAAAGTTCCCGAACTGACAGCCATGAAATAAACGCGTGGTTATCTCTTTGTTCTGTTCAACGGCATGGCACGCCATCACACCAATCTGGAATCACAGGTCAGATGTGGCATTCCATAAGTTTTGCCACGCAGATACCCGATTATCATGCTTCTGCAAGCATCCTCTTCACTATGATCGTCTTGTTTGTAAGACCCCTCGAACAGAAGGGTTTGATGCCTCCTAGTATCGGACCTTGCATCGTGGCTGGACCTTGACATACGCGGTGAGATAAGGTAGTATTTGAACATCATCGTACGATACAGGACTCACCTTTACTCCGCTATTGGCGGGCTGCAGAGATCGACGGAGTGGGAATGTTCAACATTCATGGCTGGCGATGTTACTGCACAGACGTCAATCTCACAACTACCGAGACATCAGACCGCATATCTCAAACTTGATCGTCAATCAACTGGGCTTCAATAGAATTAGCTACATGTCACCCTTCTCGCTCCACAGGTGAAGGCAACATCGACTCATTGTGCCCGCGGCAATGTGTATGAAAACCTGGCGTTGTTAAAACTGCACATTGGTGATTTATCATTAACTGCTGACCTAACACTAATATGTTTTCTTGAATCGTATCTGGCTTGACTGTAAGGGGTGATTTTGCTCTTGGTTAGCCCTAGGCCAAATATTCTCGTGGCTGCTACCCTACGGGACACGGACGTTGTCACGAGCAGAAGGATAAGGGGGTTCCTAGACAATAAAGAGTCATGAGGCTCACGGAGTCGAAATGGGTAATGTTTGCTCTATCTGATTGATCTAGAGACAAGTATCTCAAATGGAGGAGGCATTGTCGTCTTATTGATATTTCGTCCCGGGTGCCTGATTTTATCATGGTTCGGCTTGGGTAGATCACGGTGTCACAATAACTTCAATCACCCGGTCCAGGTACATCAGCATGTGTTTGTTGACTGTTTAGCGATACACCATTGATATTCGTAAAAGAAAAGAGCAGTTATCTTGGCAGTATAACGTAGAAACGTGCCGGTAAAATATCTGGTAGCAAGATGCATTAAACTTATCACTGGTGAGGTCTCGGGCATAGCATGTATCTGTGACGCTACTAGCTCCATCATTAAAGAGGCCAGTTCAATCTCTAAAGATAACATCGCGTTCCTCTGCAAATGATCCAATGCAATATATATTCACGCTATAACAAAGCATTCCCAAAACGCCATGATCTTATACCACTCCCATCAGGCGATAATCTACAGCTCATCCTTCTTATCGAAAAACTGCTCCTCACTACCCTCAACCACCTCTTCCCCATCATCTCCCTTCGCTTTAGCAGCAGCCTCCTTTTCCTTCTTCAACTGAGCCTTATTCTTAGCAAGCTCATCCTCATCAGCATCAATATAACCTCGAAGCTCTTTCTCTCCTCCAGGAAGCTCCACAAGCTCAAGCTTCCATCCGTATTTTCCTGCCAGCTTCGTCATACGTTCTGTCATCTCTTTGACCACGGAGGGCTTGAGGTCCAGTTTCTCTAACTCTTCGTCTGAGAGAAGATTCATTTCGCCGCCGTCTTCTTTGCTCTTGCCTGATGCTACCACTTTGAGGAATCTCTCGGTGTCCGTGTTGGAGTTGGAGAAGTAGCTGCGTGGGGGTGGAAGCTTGGCTGGTGGTTTGCCTGCCTCGTCTGCGCCGGAGAGTACATTTCTAGCGCCTACAACGACACCGCCGATATTGACCGGCTCCTTCGCGGGGTTTTCAGGCGTTGCGTCTCCGGACTTGACACCTGTATCTTCCTGCTTCAGCGGCACCTGAGCTTCGCCCTGCGCCAAAGGTACCGTTTGGTCCAGTGAGGGAGGCTCGTTAAGTTCGCCCAAGATAAGCTTGCATCGGATGGGGTTTGCCCGGGTTTCTTCGGGTGGTAAGAAAGCAACATCGTTGCAGAGGCGCGGAGTATTGACGACCATCAAGTAAGCACAGATAGTGACTTCCTTAATCCAGCCAATCCTGTCTGCCTTCATGCCCGGTACACAATGGTACTGAACCTCAATCGTGCGTTCTCTTCCTGTCAAGTCGCAAATAGTTCCTCCTTCGAGCCTCTGGACGAGATACCGTTGGTCACCCTTGACCTGCAGTTCCGCTGGAGGAGGCGCTTCTTGGCCGTTCATTTTCGCCTTGTGCGCTGCATTGGCTGGAATGGCGGGGACTTTTCCGAGCGTGTAATCCATCGTATGAGGGTCCCGCTTAGGAGGTTGACCGTTTGGTATCGAGGGAAGGGCGTGGAACTGGACGATCTCGCGGTTATTACAGAAACTGTAACTCCACCATCCAGACATAAAGTAGAGGCATGAATCCTCCAGTTCTGAAAGAAGCTCCCATCCACTGGCTGTCGCACGACTAAGCTCACGAGCTTCTTCGGCCTTGGCAAGCTCGTTGGCCGTCTTATTCTCTGCTTCGGGCGATTGTAAAATAGGTATAGAACAAAGGTACTCGTTAGGTGGTACCTTCATGAGTTCGTACGTGTACGACGGGCCATCCTGGTCTTTGTTCTCGTGGTCGTCAGCTTCCCGAGCTTGACCTAATGTGGATTGCGCAAAGTCGGCAGAATATGTAGGATGTTGACTATCGAGTAATGAATGGGCGTCTTTCTCGGATATGTATTGATCATCGAATACGACTTCAAACTACAAACGTTGAGCATCAAGATAAAGGCACTGACCAGCGAGGGGCAGCTTACCTGAGGGTACGTCAACAAGTCCTCGTGAATGTTGAACCCCGGTGAACGAGCTCCAACAAGCTGGAGGGAAGCCAGCAGAATCAAATTGAAGCGGCGCATTATGCCGTGTTAAGCTGGAGATAGCTCACATAGAGCTTATACAATGGTCGCAATAAGGTTGCCAAATGCAACGGACTCTCTACTGGATACTAAGCGTTACTGGGAGAGGTGTCATGATGGACCAAGCTGTGGAGTTTAGCCTGGGTCCGTTATCAGTTGCCTGACCGATGTTTAACCGTTATCAGTCAAGATTCCTTCCGATGACTTGTTCCGGACACCGAAAAAGAAGGGTCCTTGCGCCGACAACTTCATCTGTCCACGGGCTATATTCTCCGGAGTCTAGGGGATGTAGAGGGGCCGAATATCGGTCATCCCGTCAAGGGGCGAGTTACATAACGTGTCCGTCGTTAATTACAACCCCGCCAGCGTAGAAAGTGCTTACCATTACATCACAGCTCATCTCTCCTCATCCCATGGGCAAAAGAAATTACTCTGAACAGGGACACAATACGAGAGAGTGTGCACAGCCTTGAGTCGTTTCAGAAACACAAGCACACGCTCAAGCACAAGCGTGCTTGTGTCGCAAAGTTGTTATGTTTATGGCAATGGCATTGTGTCGTGATGTGTGGCAAACGGGAATAACAACACCAGATGTTGATCAACACATGCCCTTCCTGGGAACATCCTCGCTTCGGGTGGGAATCGACGATCAGAAGAGCTTCTTTTACTGGAACACGTGTCCGATGGGGAAATAAAACGCGTTCCAATGTCGGGCTCATCCCAGTATCAAAGGGTTTTTGCCTTTTTTCCCTACTTCTTCTCCGCAGTATTCATCGTTTCATGTCAGGATCTCTCATGAACTTGTCGGGCCGTCAAGCTTGGACAATGATCAATACAGCCAAGTCCCAGCGAGATGAAATTGCTGTTGCTCAAATTTAGACATCTGTGACGTATTTTTCTTACTTTTGCGCGACGCCGAGTGCTCACAATGGCATGATATTGAGCATTGGTCTCACAAGGGTCCTGACTAGGCGTGATAGCGTCTTCTCGCTTGATACCGATTTTGGCCCAACGGTGCGCAAACCGATGACTACCGACAGGAGTTCGTGCACTCTATAGGATCGTCTGTTGTAATGCATCATCATCAGCCCTGGACAGTTCTTCACTCATGCGCTTGGACGAATGCATTAATCAGAGTCGGGGTCTCCTGGGCATATTACTTTTTGGTCCAGTGTTTTGGGTTAGCATCAACGCTACGGGAAAAGGTACGCGCAAGACACGGGCTGTGCGTTTGGACATTGATGTTGGATTCAGGGTAACCCGTTCGACAAAAGATCCCATCGCCAAAGCAAGTCAGTCTGTTCTAGACCACGGCAGATGAACTCAGAGACATTTGACTACTCATCACACGCTAACAAAACTCTCAACGAGCCGTTCGTCCGTGCCAAGTGTGTTAAGCATACTGATTGAGCGTTAGAGTTGACTCACTTTGAAGCGAGATGTTCAGGGGAGTTTGAATGGCTTCAAACCGTTGTAAGACTGTGGCTCAACTACGAGTTTGCGGCTCAGTTCGACTCATACAACAACAAGCATCAGGGTGCAATCAAAACAGGCAGCACGTGGTCAACTCAAGCAGCGGATCAACCCAAATTGCCAACGCATCATTCACTCCATTCGCGATGGGGAGTCATATCATTGCACGTGCACCAGCACGGTCACGAAGCTATCAATGGAACGGTTCCATCAATGATCTGCGTGATTGTGAAAGTTGATGCTGGGGTCGAGCCTGCATGATCACCGCAAGGAAAAGATTAAGCCAAGGAAAAAAAGAAAGCAATCGATAGCCAGGGCCAGATAGAAAGTGGAACTTGTAGGTCTAGAAACGAGTCCAATATCCATCGCAATCTTGCGGACAAATGGAAAAGAAATACTACGTAGTATGTGATTGAGTTCAACTATGTATGAGAACTGGACTAACAATACGGAATAGCTTCCGAGGACATAGGTTGCAGTTTCGAGATTGGCAGGCACAAGATAGAGTTGGAAGCAAACTATATCGCGGTTGGTTTATGGACGTGCGAGTTGCTACCCTTTGCTATGTTGGGAATAGAGTGGTTTGTCTGTATATAAATTGCGCCAAGCCTTTATCGAGTTCGAGTCAGAAGAAACCCGAAACCATCGATAGCGTGTGCTTCAAACTGCAAAAAGCCTGGGGGCCTGCATGACACTCAATACTCGGGCGATTGTCTGACCAAACGGAAGTGTGCAATGCGAGTTGGCAAATACCGGTCATGACGATCATAAGGTCTAGACTGCGGTGACGATGCTACGCAATTCGTCACGGTAGAAGATCATCATCATGGGGTGTAGGGAAGAGGACTTGGGTAACGTGGGCACCTGGTCCCAGTCTCTAGGTTACAATGAGGTTATTTGGACAAAAGCAAATATTGCAACGCGATACCTAAAGAAGAGGGTGTGATGTAGTTGAATTGCTTGATCTGGTGCAGTGGTATCTCTAATCTAATTAAGCCGTTGATGACTGTCTAGACGTTGGAGAATTAATTACCTAGGTTTGGTATCGAGTTAGGCTCAGTACGGTTAGGTACAGGTAAAGTGGCTGCTGTTAGAGTGATGGCGCCGTCCGCCTCACTCTATGCGACAGCGGGAACCAATCGAGATGGATGGTGGGTATGCCTGACCACGTTCGACAGCCAATAGATGGATGCCCCGTCTCAGTGATTGCCTCGTTTTGCGTAAAGAGGTGGGTGCTAGAAAGGAGATGGAGTGTTGCGTTTGGCAGGGATTCTACCCGTTGGAGAATTGAGACTAGCAGAGCTTCCTGGTGATGGCATCTCTTTTGTGAGAGCTCACATTTGTTTGAGTCTTGAGGGGATATGTGAGGTGAGAATATTTGTTATCGATTTATACGAATCCTCGAGGATGCTTTCAATCAATAACATTTTTTAGTCACTGCTGCTGTTTCATGCCAGTGTTCTTGTTCTCTCAGCTGAAATACGTATCTTTACTCTCTGCACCAGGAACAGGATTAATGTGCCACCGACGTTGAAGAACAGGGAAAATGGTGATCAGCGTCCCGCCGCCAACCGGCGGTTCATGGATTGCTCAGTGTTAGGGAGAGAGCTGATCTCGCGTACCGAGATAATCTCATTCAAATCTGGCTCCAACTCTGTACTCAGCTTAGTTAGTATCTACTGAAACGTTACTGCGTGATACTATAGCAGGGTTAAAATTAGTAACAGTAGAATGTATAATCTTAAACTTACTATGAAGCATTAACTATGTTTTGTCCGTGTTCATCAAACTAACGTTAATTACCATACCGTTAGGTTGGAGAGGTAAGGTACCTGCTTGATCGGGGATATCTTCAAACAAGCTAAAACAGAACAGACCAAGTCTTACAGCACATCACATCAAAGCATGGCGCACAGCAAGACAAGACACACACCAAGCTAAGCCCAACCAACAACCCAACTCTTTCTTGTCCGCGTCTTGTCCGGGAACTGACAGCAGCACCTGGCATCAAACGTGCAGCCGGTCAATCAGTCTAGCGGGTTAGCGCATGACATGTTCCCTTACAGCACAACACATTGTATTGCCCAAAAGACACTTCTTTTGATCGGATCCGCAACCCCATATCTGTGCCCGCTTTGGTGGGATGAAGGATGGGGGCCATAATGATTTGCTAGACTAGGATAGGATAAAGATGAGCCATGACATCTCGTAGCTCTGAGCGTAGCACAATCAATCTCCAAGGAAGAGGCACATCTTTCTTTGCTTTTTTCTCTCTCTTTCTACGTACCCTGTACCCAGCATCGAAAGGGTGATGCCGTCATGTCATGGCGTTTTGGGCTGTGACTGTTGCTTGTGCTGTATCACATTGCTTCTTTTCTCCTTGTCATATTTGTTTTCTTTTTCCTTCTGTTTCCTCAAAATAGTCATGAACTATGATGCTGTGCCGCTTTAACATTACGTAGACGTTTTTGTTTTGTTTCATGGGAATGAACAGGTTGAGGTGTCAGAAGATATGCGGCCGGTCGTCTTGCGTGTCTGTGAGTAAAAGTCCTAGACTAGAGTAGATCGTAGAGATCGAGCACAAGAGTAAATCATTTATTCTAAAGGTCTACTGGGCTATGCACCACTTGATGCAGCTGAGCCTCTTGGGTGCGTAAATGTCAAAGCCCATAGAGAATGCCTCGTTTCAAAGCATCTCGTGGACAGTTTGGATAGATGAGCTGCATGTACGTACGCGCAATTAGAAACGAGGATTCTAGTGGTCGCAGCAAGCTAGACCTGGCAACAGAGAGTCACAGACAAGCAATGTTGATCCAATCGCTTCGAACCCAAACGCAGGCCGGGCGTCAGCAAGTAACGATTCCAGGACAAGGGTTGCTTCGCTGGCCTTTCTATCTTTTTTTGGGCATGACACAACATACCCGGGTGTGCGTTTTATTAGTGGATGCGTTGAGCGGCTTTTCAGTGGTGGTTTAACCCGTTGGTTCAGTTCAACTGTACTGTAGTGCAGCAGGTGGGCCGCTGTAAATCAAAGTCAAACCACCTACCCCACGTTCGTTGTCAGAGGGCAAAACTCAAAGTACAGCACACAACAAGCGTCGTCAGTCATACTCCTTGCCCTTCTGATATTGGTGCTGATATTAGTGCTAATCCACTTAACCATTTTCACGTTTGTTTCAATCTCAACAACACGGCATATGTTAGTAGCATCATTAAACTCATCCCCACAAGCCTCTCTTTTTTGCGACAAGTCTCTTTTTTTGTGACAAGAACCAAGATTGGATCTTGTTTTTTTCTCACATCTTGTCTCTTTTCACCTCGTCAATCTTGACACCATCGATCAGGCCACATCGGGCACTATCGCATTAAATCATTTCTGCGAGTCTGCCTCAAGATGGCCCATTTAAGGAACTGCTTGTCTAATGCATCTCAATCGATAATCTATTTGGGCAGCTTGTCATCAAAACACACCACGACGACATCATCATCATACACCCTCCTCTACCAGAGATATACTCTTGTACAGAGTCACAACTGCCTGCATTTTCAGCCAGGCCAAGCCTAATTAGACCGCCCACCCACAGACGTCTTCAACTCACCATCCATACTTACCTTACACACCGCAGCTCGCAAATACCGCCCAGTTCCCACCACCCTTGAATATCCTTCCAAGGATCCCTGCATCATCCCCCTGTCAGGCCAGAGTGGGGAATTGGAAGCCTCATTCGCACGACTGGGCCGCGTTCCCTTCCATCCTGGCTCACCTATTAATCCTCCATCCCATCCGCATCTCGTTCACCTTCTTTTCTTCGTCGTCTGTCTCGACTCCCGCTATCCCACTTTTTAATCTTTCTCGCCTGTCGCAAACCCGAGACTTGTATTCATTACCATTCAATAGTTCGGTTCGCCTTGGCTTTTCACCTTTCCAAACTTCCAAGTCTATCTATCCATCAACCAACTCTCAGCTCAGCATCCACTCACTCGCCTTACTTACACCCGCCTATCTCAACACATCGGGCCTATCCCTATCAGATATACGATCCTACCATCTAAAGGTTATCTATCTACACTCCACAGAATGAATTTAGAAAACGTCACCACTGTCGAGGAGCTACAACGTCAGCTAGAAGCCGCCAACGCAAGAAATTCACAACTTGAGCATTTCGTCCAAAGTCAACTCAACGGAGACCCTACAGTTCTAAATCATGTCGCCCAGAACTTTGCTCAGGGTGGTTTCCAGATCCCAAGCAATGGTGTCTCAAATACACGAAGTGTCGGCCTCTCCCGTAGCAAGTCCACCATGGCATACCCCACACAAGTAAAGTCTGCCATTACGGTAATTCATCCCAACCAACTCTTATTCCATCTCCATCATCTAATCTCATCGTGCAGGAACGATTTCAAGCTCATAAGCGTGAGAGAAGAGCCTTTTCTCAACAGTCTAGCTCCGCACTACCCATGAGCCGCAGTGTTTCAAATCGTTCAGAGTCTCATATGCCTTTCTCACAAACGGGCAACCGCATTGCACCTTTGAGTTCATCCATGGACCGATTTACCTCACCTCAAAGCCAGTCTACCAACCTACCTCTTGAAGCCGCCTCAAATCAACTTCAAAGTGTCCAGGAGAACCAACCTATGCTCAACATCGGCATGGACCCCGAAGACTTCCTAAAACAGTGGCCCGAGACTCCACAAGCTCCTCAGCACTACGACTCATCGTTCTCGGGGATGGCTTACAACATGGTGACCGAAAACCCATATGCCACTTTGTCATCAAGTATTCCTTCCAGCTACCCTATGTCTTCGGCTTGCCCATCAATGATCTCTGGTCCATCCGCTGCCGAGGCCGCAAGCCCCTTGACCCGCCAGAACAGCTCCTACGACAACTACGGCGCTGGCATGGAGCGTATGGAATCTTCGCAGTCTCAGGCTGATGCCCTCTTCGCACCCGATCTGTCTCCTGCTTCTGTCAACATATACCCCACCGGCAAGCAGTATACCTCTGAGCAAGACCTCTTTGGTCTCGGTGCCAGTCTCACCTCTGCCAATGTTCAGCAGTATGTCGACTCCAACGGAAACACTTTGATGGCATCGCCCGAATCAACCGACATGGAGCGATCCATCTCCAACGCTAGCATGTCAAGCGTTCGATCAAACGCTTCCAACCTGGAACGCCGAGCCAAGGAAGCCCGCGAGCGAGTTCTCCAGGCAGCCAAGACCATCCAGCTCGCCCCCAAGCCCAAGGAGGAGCTTGCTAAGAGTGAAGCCAACTCTGCCGCTTCTAAGGATGCCAAGCTCCCCGTCAATAAGAGCAACTACCAGCGCCCTAAGCACCCCAAGGTCTACTGCACTCAGTGCACCGACCATCCTGATGGCTTCCGTGGTGACCATGAGCTTCGCCGACACGTCAACGCCAAGCACGAAGGCACTGTCAAGAAGTTCGTCTGCCGTGATCCCGCCTCTGTTGGTATCGATAGCAATGTCAAGGCTGTCAACCCCTTGTCCAAGTGCAAGGCATGCATATCCGGAAAGGAGTACGGCGCTTACTATAACGCCGCTGCTCATCTTAGACGCACTCACTTCAAGCCCAAGACTCCTCGCGGCAAGAAGGGTGCCAACTCCGATGAGAAGCGTGGTGGTAAGGGTGGTGGCGACTGGCCTCCCATGTCCGAACTCAAGGCTTGGTTCGTCGAGAAGAAAGTCAAAGTTGACTTTAACGAGTCCCCCATGACTGAGCAAGATGAGTCTGATGACATGGCTGAAGGTGAGATGGAGGGTTCCATGCCTCCTCAGATGGACATGTTCCAGGGCATTGGCAGCAATATGGCTCCTTTCAACATGGAGACTGGCTACGATCTTGCCGTCGATGGCATTGCTGATCCTGCCATCATGGCTAGTGTCAATGGCGAGCTTATCTCTGCTCCCATCTCATCTGCATCTGGCAACTTTGGTTACTCACCCTTCTCTAATGCCTCTCCCATTCACGGACTCCCTGACAATTATGCTTTCTCCGAGCATGCTACTTCCACCTATGGGTCCAATCTCTCTTCCAACACTATCACCCCTGCCACCTTTCAAGACATGTCCCATATGAGTATGGCTGACAATGGCCTATGGGTTTCCTAAATGCTCCGCAGTATGAGTAATGATCATGAAGCTCGATCTTGCATCGGTGCTATCCCCATTTCCACCGGTTCTGTGCTCCAATGTCGACCTCAACGTCGAGTCATTGTTGAGCACCTCATACCTAGAGGGATGACAACGCAAGAAAGAAGAGCACGAAAGAAAAAAAACTCGCGTCCGAGCCCGAGCCCGAGCCCAATTTGAGTCGATACGATAATGGCTCAGTTGGCTAAGATTACTTCTCGGTATTGTGCCGTTCTGGTGAACGCGCGCGTGCATCAACTTCTATACGAGCAAGGATGTGACAAACCTTGCTCATTTATTTTCACACATAATGATTTTCAGGAGCCTGTTATATGATTGTGGTTGTTTCTTTTCTCTTTTCTTTTCACTTCCCTTTTTTTCTTTACCGTCACGGCGTCGATGATTACACCTTTCTCTGGTTTATTTTCAGCGCGTCCCTTGGCAAACTAAACTGGTGGATACGTTTTCAAATCTGGCTGCTGGCCCTAGATGGGCGCAAGCCAAGCAGGATCGAACCGCCTTGAGCGGTACGAGACCTATACGTTTATTCTCAGCGCGATCGAAAGTGCTTCATCGCGTGACTACGATATATACTGGGCCGGGTCGGTATCTGGAAGGATAATTTTCCCAGGAGAGGAAAAAAAGAGGAGTAGTCGGTTGCATTTTTTATAACATCCGGTACATGACATGAGGATGAAGGGAGTTCGATGTTGCACATCTGAGCATGGCGTTTATTTGTTTGCCCGTTCGGACGGGTTCAGCGTTGAAACCTCGAGAGGCGCTGTTTATCCTCTGCTTTATTGAAGTCAGAACAAGAAGAGCATTTGATATTAGGTTGGGTTCGGTGTTTGGGGATATCGTTTCTAGTTGGGGTTTATAGAATTCTGAGGGCAATGCTGGGAAATGAGTGGGCTTGTCGCTTGGTTGGAAAATCACTGAGCGGGTGGTTTGATGAGAGTACCGTTTGCCTACAGATAGGAACCTCTGCTGGCGTCAAGACGTAGAGTCCGAGTCAGTAATAGATCGTGCTGAAAGATGCACGCATTTATCCCTACATTGTTTTGGGCTCATGTGAATGACTGGTGATTGATGTGTCTTTTAGTTGTAATTTATATCGTAGACGCGTAGACTCATGGGTATCTCATTTCTATCCTAACCAATATCCTCCATCACGTCTTCTTCACCTTATCAGTCCACTCCTTCGCCCCCTTAACACCCTCATGTCCCCTCCTAAACAACCCCCTCTCCCACTCCTCAAGCCCCCTCAAAAACTCCTCCCCAGCCGCTCCCACCATCCCCTCATCCGCCTTTCTCGCATGAAGTCCTACATCTCCCGCCCTAACAACAAAAGTCTTTCTCAGAACCTCTGCCACATCCTTCTCATCAAACAAATCCAGCATTCGCACACCCACACCGTAGAAATGTAAACTTTGGTCTCGTAGCGGTACAGCGCGCGGATCAGCTTTCAGCGCGGATAAAACAGCGGTGGATAAACACGGTGGGAGATTGAGAGTTAATGGTGCGTTGGATGTAGGTGTTGATGCTAGAGCGAGCATTTCGGCGAGCCAGAGGGGTAGAGTTAGAGGGGTATTGGCTTTGAGGCCTTGGGAGGAGTTGTCGAGATGGCCGAGGTAGGGGACATCGATTTCGAATTCGCATGGGACTTTCTGGGCGGTGTATTAGACTTTGGTCTGAGGTAGGTTTGGGGAGTTAGGTTACCTCTGCATCCGTGAGGATAGCGTCAATGTCGTAGTACGACATTTTGTGCTGAATCGTACAGTGACTTTTTCCTTTGTGGTTTGGAGGGGATTTAGGAGACGCGTAGAGAGGTTTTGGAAGTGTTGATTCTACGCGACGCGGGATGACATAATCTTTAGACAGTTGCTTACCCTGCACTGACCGAGCGTTTACGAATTAAACATTTCTATGAAGCGAAACTATCTAATGCCTATTTCAGGATATGTTTGAATTGACATCTAACCTGATCTGATTTGATAGATGTGGAATCAATTATCCAAGCCTGTAAAACTTGCGTCATTCATAAGTAACTTCGGTAATCCGAGATCGGCACTCGGAGAAATGGAAAAAAAAGTATTTTCGAGAGCCAGCTTCGAAATCTTTAGTTAATACAATGAATCGCATCATATTTAATTGATTCTTAGTATCGCTGTTCGGTCATGATAGAAAAGCCGAGATTAGTAAAGTAAACTTCATGATTCTGATACTGATGATGTTAGTTGAGTAAGTCCGTCATTATCGTCTTACAATAACAGCCAATGCTTCCCTTGAGATAATTAGCTAAAGAGAGAGATAAAATAAATAAAAGCAGATATACGATTATACAGTAGAATAAAGAATTTGTAGATATTGCTGTTGTTGTTAAATGCCTTCTTATTTCTCGTAGACATAAATCTTCACAAGCCAAGCCAGACTCATGGATGGAAGCTCTCGAGAATATGACGACAGATTGATCCAAGCTCCCACCTTCGGTAGTCCGACGTTGCCGTCCGGCTTCTCCCCCCCAGTAGCTCTCTTTAAACTGCCCCTCCTCCCAACCCTCTTTTAATTTTTTGACATCATCAACAAGATCTCAATCAATTGTAAGTTCAACCCGTCAATCTAACAAGCACCTTGTTTCTGTTTATCTCACCAATTCAATTGCTAATATCAACAGATAGCTTCAACCATGGCTTCCGCTCTTCTTCGATCAACTCCCGCCCTCCGCGCAGGCCTTCGCGCCCGCTCTACTCCCCTCGCGGCCATGGCCAGCACCAGCTTCGTCCGCGGCAAGGCCACTCTTCCCGATCTTCCTTGTACGTTCCATCATCTCAGTCTTCCAATTCCTAGCTAACAAATTCCCCAGACGACTACGGCGCTCTTGAGCCCTACATCTCTGGCCAGATCATGGAGCTCCACCACTCCAAGCACCACCAGACCTACGTTACCGGCTTCAACAACGCAGCCGACGCCCTCGCCGAGGCCAACCACAAGGGCGACGCCAAGGCTGCTGCCGCTCAGGCACCTCTTCTCAACTTCCACGGTGGTGGTCACGTCAACCACTCCCTGTTCTGGGAGAACCTTGCTCCCAACGGTAAGGGCGGTGGTGGTGAGCCCGAGGGCAAGCTTCTGACCTCCATCAACGAGGACTTTGGTTCTTTCGAGGCTTTCAAGAAGCAGACCAACGCTACCCTCGCCGGTATCCAGGGCTCCGGCTGGGCTTGGCTCGTCAAGGACAAGAACGCTGGTACTCTGTCCATCGTTACCCGACCTAACCAGGACCCCGTCACTGGCAACCTTGAGCCCCTCCTCGGTATTGACGCCTGGGAGCACGCCTATTACCTCCAGTACCAGAACCGGAAGGCGGAGTACTTCAGCGCCATCTGGGACGTCATCAACTGGGGCACTGTCGCCAAGCGATTTGAGAAATAAATCAATCCATGTTAGTAAAGTGAAGAGATTGAATGGGTAAATGTCAAAATAGCGATTGACTTTGCGCGACAAGATCGACCGATTGTTGACCGCGCGCACTTTGTTTGTTTGTCGAGATACCGAGTGTATAGTACGTTAGGTTCAATAAGAGAAACCTGAAGAGTAAATACACATAGTGACCGAACCTGGCTGTTCCATGCCCCAAAATCTTTCGCCTTGCCTTGTGCGCCCTTCCATCAGTGTTGAAGGGCCCGAACGCCTAGCATGCGCGTCGCATACTGTAAACTGTTCCAAAAATCAAGGTTGCTGACACCTGGCTATGCCTTGGTAGGCCGCCAGCTCTACCGGATATTCATCCACAAAGATCTGATCAGCATATTCATACCAATCGCTGTTTTCCTCCATGGTTCGGGCTTCGAAGAATTTCGCGTACTCCCACCACACTGGATAGTGTCCTGCACAGTCCCAACCGAGGATCCATGCAATCGTGTTGTTGGCCACGATGATGTTTCTGGGGCACAGGTTTCCATGCGTCAGAACTGAAGGATAGTCTGTACGAAACTGTCTCATAAGAGCCTTGGAAACCTGTGTGGGGACGGTTGAGTAAAGTGTAGACATCAGAAGCGCCATGAACTGCTGCTGATCTGGATCAACTCGTACTGCAAAGTACGTATGGTTCTGATGCTTGTCCAGAATCAACCCGTATGGCCCCGACTTGATAGACCCAAAAGTACCGCCTGGGGGCGCCTTTTCATGAGACCGCAACTTTTGGAGTATGTTGCGAAGTTGTCGGGCATACTGGTACTTCTCATGCTTGGACAGGCGGGGCCAGATATCCTCGAGCAACTCACCAACGATGGTCTGCGAGAGTTTCCCATCGTTGGAAGAGGTAGCCAGGTCTTGGGAAAACAGTGGAAGAGCTCGAGTGTGCGCGATGAGAGATAGTTTCTCATGCTGCACCAGCCCAGCTTGGGAGATACGGAACTGATGAGTCTTCGGCTTGACATTGTCCGTGCTCTACTTGGGGATATACTGCAAAGTGATGAACAAATCGCGGTTTCGAAGGAGCGATGTCAGGTATAGAGTATCGGAGTCTGGACGAGGAGCTGTGTATGTGTTAATGGATACCTGAGTTCGGCCTACGGCGCACCTCACCTGGACCAAGTGTCTCAACATCCGGGTAGTACCGTGAAGTACTGAGCTTCGGCTTCTTCTCTCTGTAACCATTTTCATGCTTTACCGTAGGACTGAAAGGACGCTTTGGTAGACTGGGATTGTTGGGATTGATGTTCTCTTGCAACCGTGGGAGGCCCGCGTCTGGCCAAGAGGTCGAGGCCACTCGCGAGCCTTCAGGTTGCTGGGAACTTCGAGGAATGCGCCGAGGCCGATTACCCAAGGCACCAGAGTTTGCCCCAGATCTAAGAGGACCCAGACCCGCGGTATAACCCCTTTCAGTCCTGACTTCAGGTGACGGAGTCCGGTTTCTTGCGTCTTCTGAGCTCATCCTAGTAAGCATCCGCGCTCGAGCAGGATTCATCGTTTCCACATCGATCGCTAGTGGAAGAAACTCTCCCGAGCCCGGAGGTGACATGATTGCAAGATTGATCCTCCCTAGACGGGATCTGTGGGTACTTGGCTTGATGGTGAAGAAAGAAAAGGAACGGGTCAGATGTTTGCGTCTGCTGAGGACTATTAAATGCTAGTGCAAACGAAGGAAACGCGTCAAACGACAACAGAAACAAAAGAAAGGATAACTCTGACTGGAAAAGACTCGAGAATTATGGCGCGGGAGAGATCTTGTGATTCGCGACCGCTCCTTCTGTAGCGAGTCGCGGTTTTCTGCAGACAGGATGCTGCTGCCTTGCACCTGCCCGGCAGTGACAACTCAGCACGTCTACTGCATCTTCCATTCACGAACTCAGGATTAATGCAACCCCTGAATATGACATGCAAATGGTAATACCCGTGACCAAGTTCAAGGCCCCAGACTGCAAACATTCGTACAGGAAATCACAGATGGTCCTTGACGTCGGCTACGAATACTGTATTTTACGGAAAAACATCGATCGCGGATAAATGCATGCGAGTCTGTATTATTTGATAGCTTTTTAAGTATATCTAATTAGAAGACGAGTGGAATTGGTCGCGAACATTCGACCAGATGCGTAATACATACATTTCTCTCAGCCATGGAACATCTCTAACGATTTTGTGATCGTAGACGAGTTACGTCTACTCCTTTTCGCCGTTTTCCTCTACCTTTCCATTCTCTACTCCCTCCTTGCGTTGAGTGAAGCGACGAGGCAAGCGGTTTTCACCTTCAGTGTAGGGATAACCAGCTTCTTCACGAGCCATGTCATTCACCCACTTCTCATCGCCGCGAAGGCCAGGGTTGGTACCGAGCTCCTGCCACTTGGCAGCCAGGTAGAACCAGCCCAAAGCATTACCGACAGTGCCAACCTCATCACTGACACCATTCTTGGCTTCTCGAGACATTTTAGCATGGAGTTCGTGGTCGGTGTATAGATCCAAGAGGTGTTTGGCGACGGTCTTGTAGTCACCAGGGGTAACAAGGTATCCATTGACATTGTCCTTGACCTGAAGGGGAATACCGCCTTCATTGGAAACGATAACAGGAACACCTGCATGAAGAGCTTCCGAAACCTTGATTTCGAAGCCCTCACGGGTTGATAGCTGAAGAATAACATGGGCGTTGGCGATGACCATGTTGAGAAGCTGATCATTAGCGTCAAGACGCATAACGCTGACGTCGTCGAGGAGATGAGGGTAGTGGTCTTCCAATTGAGTCATTGTTTGATCGAAAATAATGGCGCCATCTGGGTCGTCAATAGAGCCGTTGCCGCAACTACAATAATCAGTAAGACAAACTTTTCTCAGATCAAGTAACTTACACAACGAGCTGAGGAACGTCCGTGATGTTGGCCTCATCACAGAGGCGGCGGAACTCTGCGTATGAGTCAATGACGGTAGGAATTCCCTTGGCAGGGTCGAATCGTGCGACCTGAGCAATGTATTTGCCTGTAATCAGATTAATCAAATGTACTAGGAGTGTGTAATGTTGGCTTACGGTTAGGCCAGTCGAGTTCAGTCATTCGCTGGTTTCTGCACTGGGTGTTGTAGATGTGAGCATAGTAGCCCGTATCCCACTTGTTCATGTGCTTGTTCAGGCCATCGATCCAGTCAGTGGTAGCAGGGAGATAGACGACCTTCTCCTTGGGAACGGTATGAGGCACAAACTTGGGGATCGGGTGACTAATGAACATGTCGGCCTCTTTGATGTTACTCCAGAGATAGTTCCAGATGTCACTCTGGGGAGATCCGTCTACGGCAACGAGATCGCTTCGGATCTGGATGTGAGATCTGTAAAGGACGGGGCGATCAGGGGTGAGCCTCTTGATCATGGGGATAAGCCCAGGCATCTGGGGGTCATCGATCTGTGCCAATGTTAGTTACACGCTTCTCGCCTTCAGGCACGGTTGGGGTGCTGAGCAAGACTTACGAAAATGATGTCGGCACCACCCTCCTCTGGGGGCCTGAGGGGACCACCCTCAGAGAGCCAGTATCTCTTAGCATTGTCTTCAATCCAGTCGGAGATGGCACCCTTCTCTGCATCCGAGATGCGCTGGTCGGGGTGACTGACACCCTGAAGGATGTTGTGCTGGTTCTTGGTGATTCGGAAAACGCCAGGTCGTGGCTTGGGAACTAAAAGAAGTCAGTCGTCAGAAGATTCAAGGTTTTTGCTGGCTCAACATACCATACCAAGTCACGTCTACTCCCATGAGGCGACTGAGACGGACGAGAGCGTGACGCATGAGGGCAACACCACCACCCTGGGGAGTAGCGCTGAAAAATGCGAGCTTGGTCTTCTTCTCGCGCAGCTTGTTGGCGTAGAATTGTGTGGCGTTCCACGTAGCGAGGGAGCATGTGTCCTTGTGGTTTTGGATGTTTGTAAGGTGAACACGGAATCCGGCATCTGTCTGAACGATGCCTCGGTAGCCGACCTGCAGATGCGGTACGAGGGAAGGACCAAAGTTTCTGAATTGTATCGTCAATAGCTACTCGATAATGGTGATTGGGACAAAACTCACAGGATACACTTGCGGGCCATGGAATCAGCCTGCTCGTCGACGCGCTTGACATCCCAGAAGTTCTTCTCCTTGGCTTCATGGTCAGGTCGGAGAACGACAGGTACGATGTCAAGGTCAAGCCAAAGACGTGAGCACAGAGAAGGGCTCATATACTTGAGAGTGACAGGGAGACCGGCTCCAATGAACTTGACAAAGTTAACATGCTCGTATGTCTCGACCTCGTTGATGATGTGATCAGCAATGAGATCCTGTCCCTGGCGCATCTCCTCGTCGAGAGAAATGTGCTTGATTGAGAAATCATTAAGATAGACAGTATCGTGGATAGCAAGAGCAATAACGGCAGTATGATCATCGGCGAAAACGGCAGAGATACCGAGGTACAAAGTCTGTAGTTATGATGTTAGCGTTTCTGAAGATCAAAAGATCGGCAAAGGGTCTGATACAGGGGTCCCGACAACTAAAGTTGCGATGACGCAAGTTGTCATGACAGAGCATATATGACATAAGAGAAGAGACATCATGAAAAGAGGATTATCTCACCTGAAGAGGAGCATTGACATGGCCATCCTTCTCGACCATAAGGCTCATCTGCCTCTTGCGGTGCGAGGTGGCGCCCGTAGAAAACTTGCGAGAAGGCTTGGAACTCATGATGGCGGTTCTCACAAAATTTGGCGGGGTATCTGACACGAAGGAGGGGTAACAAATTTATTGGATGGTTGGAAAAATACAAACTGTCTCTGAAATGTCCGAGTACGACAGATGGATGCTGAAGTAAGAAGAAGAAGGAAGAACAAGACTGCGACCGAGAGGTAAGATATAGTCTTGGAACACCTCCTTGATCAGGTCAGACGAGCCAAAAGGCGGTCGTAGGTGAATCGAAAGAGTGGTGGAACTGTGCAAGGACGAGGGAGAGAGGTTGTTGGACAATGGCGAGAGACCCAAGATATGATCCTGGTAGGCTTTGGCCCCGTCAACGCGGACCTCTGCAGGAGAGGACTGGGGTATGATGTACTGTACTTGATGGTATCTTGTAAGACAAGAGAAAGCCGACAGGTCAGGTCAAGTCACAAGCTGGGGGCGGGGAGGGTTGCCGTGGATGAGCGTGGGGGAAATGGCCAATTGAGGACTCGGTGACAAGGTGAGAAGGAGATGAATGTTAAGGTGAGGAGATGAGTGGCGTGCTAAAAACGAACAAAGCTTGGATTGTGCTTTGATGATATCACGTTGTTGGAGTCGGTGTTTCGAAGACGCGAGGATTGAGGCAAGCAATGAGTTGATCGACAAGGATTGGTTTGAGGAGGAAAGGAGGAAGGCAGGCAGGCAGGTAGACCTCCAAGAAGTGATGTATGGAAGGAACAGCGGGCGTAGGAAACTGCAGATGCAAGTGTGTGGTACCTGCTGTTTGTTGTTGTGGCGACCCGTCTGCGTCAAACGAGTGCCAGTTGACAAGACTCCCTGGCAATATCTTATCTTGATGATTTAATATAGAGCAACAAATTCCCTGTTATCAACTTTTCACAAGAAAACGAGATCGAATTATCAAAGCCGAAAGGCCCAGGGTTACGGAAATGGGGGTCAGGTGAAGGAAGGCAACAAAGAGGTGGTCTGATATGCGTTATGAGATCATCAGGTTCTGTGAGAGCTGGGTTGTGAAGCTTGGGGGTCCCCGAAACAATGAGAGACCAAAGAAAGCTGTTGCAATTGAAGCTTTGAACTGAGATACAATTTAATAAATCTAAGCGCCGCCCAACGTGCCTGATGCAGGTACGGCGTCACAGTGCTGTTGTGGTGGAAAGTTTGGATGAAGTGACTGAGGGATGCGAGGAGGAGAGGAGAGATGAAATACGACGAGTGACGCCCTTGAGTGAACACAAGAGAGGTCGGCAAGGAATGCAGCCACAGCATCATTAGTTCAGCTTGGCTCTTGTTGCTTGCTTGCCATTGAGTTGCTGTTGTGTAATAAACTCCAATCTAAGCTGTGACCACTCCAAGCTAGTGACGGGAACAGATATCCAGGGTAAGCTATTTAAATTGTAGAGCTGTCATGGAAGAAGTTCCATGTCAAGTACGTGTTAGTGGCCTCTAATCCGAGGTACCCGAACAAGAGTACAGTAGCGCAGCTGAACCCCGCGCTGGAGATGGAACTAATTGCGTGAGCTTTTAGGGGATCGTCCCACAAGGCGGATCCTTTCCCCGGGGAAGACTTTGATGGATCCTGGACGATTACATCTCTGATGGAACTCTGAACTCGAGTGAATATGCAAGGTACTTAAATGCCCTTTCTAAACATGTGGTACCAAATGATAATCTACCTCCTGTATGCCTCCTCTCATTACTGGTGCTGGCAATATTCAAGTTAAAAAATATATATAAAAAAAGAACAAAAAGTCTCTCAACCCCTCATCTCAACAAGATTCTCACAACAAAACAAACACCAATATTTTAACAGCGACTGTCTCACCGAATATGCATAGCATTTAGTACGACCTTTGTACAGATCGTGGCTTATGAGTTCTTTCACCGTCTCGAAATTCGGTCAATCAACTGGTCTTGAACTCGTATCATGACATCTCTCAAGGTTTCATTCGAACTTCGATTATAGCTTATGGCCAGACATACCAAGCTATTGACTGTTCGATGCATCAAAGGTTCTCATCGTCGAACAGCGGTGAGTTGGTACTGCACCAATCACCCCACCATCGGTATTGTTTGTAGTGCCGCACTGCTACCACGCATCTTCTATTGGATCTGCAGTCGCCTCTGGATGTGTTGCACGAGGTCACTCAACAGATCCAGGACGAAGACGGACGGGCGAGTTTCCGAACGCCGTGCAGCCATGATATGCACTCCAACCCTCGAGTGTCACTTCAAAGTTGACCACAGATTAAGCGGTGGAACCTATTGAGTGTACCTGTACCAGAGGTTTTGGGTCGAATGCTGACTCATAATGCCATTCTCTGATATATCATTCTATCAATGGTCTTTGTTCCATGTTGTCGACAAACACAATTGATGGGAGGCATGTGCAACAGTCAAAAATTCTACCATCATGCCTGACGCAATACGCGAAGGATTGCAAATGATACGCTAACTGGGTTTATACGATACTACCACTCATCTTGGTTATATCCGCCGGGGTAATCCATCCAAGCGAGCCGAGTTCCGTCGATTGATCAAAGGAAGCCTTAAAAACGCAGCCTTTATCAATCTAAAGCCGATCAAAACATCTCCACAATATAAGATCGTCCTTCCGATCATGGGAAGTGGGCAGCGACAACCAGGGTAGGCACATTTGATAGCCGCGCGGCCTGTACAGAATTATTAGCTCTGCTGATGTGAGGCTGCTATTAAGATCAGAGGCATCCGTGACTCACAATACTTGTTCGTTTTACCTTCCGAAGTCTAATGATGACTTTTTCCTTCGCCTTGCAGCACCTTACAACTGGCGATCTCCAAAACTCCAACAGATCAAAATGATTCCAAAGGCTCCTCTCGGCCTTTTTGGCCTCTTTTTACTACAGTTCGCGAACGGTGACCAAAATGCAGAGCGAATAAAACCCGATCCCAAGTACGCAGAAGATCGAGCGTACATGGTTTTCAACGAGATTCATTCCGCTGGTCGATTATGGGGCTCATCTCTGTATCACAATGGGTTCGGATTCTTCCCAGCTACAGTACCTGCCGGTACTATGTTCTATCATGGTTCCCGACAAAACGTGACACCACCAGGGCTGGAGTGGTTGGCCTTTGATCTAGAGCATGCCGAAAACTTTGCGCGCTCGTTCAAATTTAAGCCAGGGAAAAGGCCTCCAGTTCCGGTTCCAGGCAAGGATAAACCTGGTCAAGAGGATGATGTACTTGAAGAAGGAGGCCTTCGTGAGGAATTACGGCGTCGCAGCGAGCGAATCTCAAAAGAACTCCATATTCGGGATAACGACGAAGACAGCGATATAAACGTTCGCGGTTATCTGCATTTGTATCAGACAACCCGTGAACTCAACCTTCTCTTACTCGACGGAATGAGCGCCGGCAAGACACACATGGGCACACTAGACTCTCAAGATCTTGTGCTCCGCGAGGACAAAGGCGACCATAAAAGGATGGACGAAAGGAATCGAGCGGATGATCTTTGCAAAATCGCAACTGAATGGGGCTTTGATGGATTTGTGCGGATGGAGATTGGCGTCGAAGTCATCAAATGTGACTTTAGCAAGGACTTGGACCTGGTCAACATGATGCGCACAAAATTGCGCGATGGTTTGATGGACAACAACGACTTGACCGCATTCCAGTGGGTGAGGACTGTTGCAGAGAGATACGACGATATTGGGGCCAACCGATTACGGATCGACTTTTCTTCCATGGTTTCTGGCCTTTTCTTTCCCATCAACATCTCAAACACCGACCCGGAGCGACCGGACCTCAAAAGACTCGGCGCAGCAACACTGGAAGAACTTGTAGATATCAAGGTATATCTGAAGGATGTACTGAGCCAGCCTCGCAGGTTCACCGTGAATTGGCAAGGTGCGGTTGATCTCATCGTGACCAGGTACAGTAAGAGGATTGCGCTCATGGCATATGAGCCACTACCCTCTCACCACTTCATCAATGAAGTTCGGGGTGCTACGATGACCTGGTATGACGCACCTTCGTTGCCCGACGATATTTCCTTGATGAAGAGAGGAGACACAAATAGAACTGCTGATGCCATCGAGGAATGCAAAACACATTATCTCAGGCCGGCTCTGCTAGTCAAGAGCAAATGGAGTGTGGAAGACAGGTTGATATACACATCTCTTGATACAGTTATGGGGGAAATTTGTAATACGCTGTATTCTGTCCGTGGTCGTTTACTGGGAGCGTCAGAAAGAGATGGCAAAGATGACGCGGAACTGGAAAAGGCAGTTCAGCATGGTCGAGCTGTGATGAAAGAACTGATGGGTGAGTTGGGATGGTCAACTTGGAAGAAGCCTCAGGCTTGCGCACCGGACGAAGTGTCTGTGATTGCTATGTGGCCGTTTGGAACCAAGGAAGATCATTGGAATCCTGGATGTCGCTCCATCGATACTGTCCAGAAACCCAATGGGTCATACTGGGACGCGTGGGCACCTGGCAACTGATGGACCATGTTACGTCTTGCTCCACCAAGACGCAGCTGTCAAAGTCTTGGTGATTATCAATCTCATAGCAATGATTTGAACGGTGACATTCCGCTATTACAAGTTTGACAGCGCAATCCCGTTACAGCCGTTCCGTTCCGTCCTCGAGAACCCGGGGTCATCCGAAGCTTGTTTCCAAATGTCAGCCCACTCTTTGTCACAAAATTGATTGCCCCAAACTCGTGCCATTAAAAATTTACAGATGGTAGGTGGCATTTCCGCTTCTCCGTGAGAGAGTGGAATCTTTCTTGGCTTTAATTGACATTTTCTCTCGGGTCAGTTTGTCAGTCCAATTAAGATGAGCCTTTTTGTAAAATGTTACACATCAGGCATTATCCCCACGACATACACGGGGCCTGTCGTGGGAATACCCGGAGCTTGGGTAGTATGTCTCTAAGCTTTAGGATAACGTTACAAGAATAAGCAACCCAAAGATTCAGTCTAAATAACATAAACAGAATTATTAATCTCGTCTCTTATGTCTAAATCCACCAGCTTGGAACCGAATTAAATGAAATGTATTGACAAGCGGTAGGTACTAAAAAAAGAAACATGGTCGCCAATTCCCGGTTCAGCCTTAGATCCCCCGCGGAGATGCTCTAACCATAAACCCCATCAGACCACTGACACGGCCATCAGCGCTGTACTAGGGACTACGAAATATTGTTTTCTTCGTTTTCGCATCGCATGATGATTATGGCGCTGGGAATCATGAGAATAACAGAATCATGTTTCTCCGCGCCTTCAATGCTTCTCCGGGGGACGATATAAAGTCGGCAGTATAGACACAATTAACCTACAACAGGCACAATAAACAAACAGCACATACAGAACAGACACCATACCGTCAGTACAGAAACACACAATGGCTCTCACAGCAGCACAAGTAGCTATCGTCAAGAGCACAGCTCCCATTCTCAAGGAGCATGGCAAGACCATCACTACCACATTTTACCGCAACATGCTCGGCGCCCATCCCGAGCTAAAGAACTACTTCTCCCTTCGCAACCAACAAACAGGCGCTCAACAAGCTGCTCTCGCAAACTCCGTCCTCGCCTACGCCACATATATCGATGATCTCGGCAAGCTGTCCCACGCCGTCGAGCGTATCGCCCAGAAGCACGTCTCCCTCTTCATCAAGGCCGAGCACTACCCCATCGTCGGCACTCATCTCATCGGTGCCATTGGTGAAGTCCTCGGTTCTGCTTTAACCACTGAGATCAAGGATGCTTGGGTTGCTGCGTATGGCCAGCTCGCAGACATCTTTATCCAGCGTGAGGGTCAGCTGTATGATGCTACAGGTGAATGGAACTCATGGCGCAAGTTCAAGATTGCCAAGAAGGAGGCTGAGAACGACTCTGTCACCAGCTTCTACCTTGAGCCTCTTGATGACAAGCCTCTTCCCAAGTTCCTTCCCGGACAATACGTCAGTCTGCAGATTCCTATTCCTGAGCTCGATGGTCTTCTCCAAAGCCGTCAGTTCAGTCTGAGCGAGGCCCCAGGATCCAACCACTACCGCATCAGTGTCAAGCTCCAGGGCCCAGAGGAGGAGCCTTCCATTGAAGATCTCTCCGCTGGCAAGGTCCCCGGTCTTGTCTCCACTAGACTGCACAAGCGATATAACGTTGGTGACGAGGTCGAGTTGAGCGCTCCCGCTGGAGAGTTCTTCCTCAACCCCGCCGACGCCTCAGCCGCGAAGAAGCCTCTTGTTCTCCTCTCGGCCGGTGTTGGAGCCACTCCTCTCATTTCCATCCTCGATTCCGTTCTCGAATCGGAGACTGCCTCGCGGCCTATCACATGGATCCATGGAGCTCGTTATTCCGGCTCGACATGCTTCGTGCCTCATGTTTTGGACTCGGCCAAGAAGCACGACAACATCACCGCCAAGATCTTCCTCGAGGATGTCAAAGAAGGCGACCAGTACGACTTTAAGGGCGAGATCGATCTTGCTCGTCTGCAAACGGACAAGCTTCTCCAGCTTGACAGCTCTGATGCTGAATACTTCATCTGCGGTCCTGAGGACTGGATGGTCAAGGTCAGGGCGTTCCTCGAGGAGAATGGAGTTCCCCGCGAGCGTCAGCACCTCGAGTTGTTCAAGACTGGTGACGTCTAGAATACTGTGAAAGCGTCATAGATTGTGTATTTTTATCAGATTGTGAATTGGTTTTGATTGGCATATTGAAGGCGTTGGGGACTGCTTCATGGGGAGGGTGTATTATTCGAGACGCTTGAATTGACCAAAGACTACATATACTAGATACCAGCCACTACCCTCATCTCAAACAAAAATAAAAAGTTATTTCCTTCATTTACTATCCTTTTAGCGGCCGTGTCTTGGTAAATAGCCGACCATGACCTGAAAGTCTCAGTGCATAAGGTAGCACAGTCAACAGTAAAACATGAATAGCAGTAACTTCTCATGGCTGTGAGACGTCTTACAGTATAGCCACGAGTAAAAGTAACGAGAGACAGTAGCAACAAATTACATGTTCCCAGGCAAGGCTCGAGTTACGACTGGACGCCACCAGTCAATGTCTCGCCTGTTTGTGGACGACGTTGATCCTTTTTTGGATACAGACATTCAACAATGAGGGGTGAAAGCTGTATGGTCGAGAGGGATTGCATGTATGGCTATAGAAAGGGATAGTTACGAATGGCAGGGCCATGGAGACGGGATGAGATGAGATCGGATGTAACCGATCGAAAGATGGGGTTGAAAGGGTAGGATCCTTGTTACGTACAGTACATCATCTGAGAGGAGAACTACGGGTAATGCAGAATGGCATGAGGTGACGTGATGGTCAATGAAGAGAGCGATACTGGGGATACATATGTGATCTGATATACAGTGCCGGTAGATCATGGTTCATCTTAGTACAAACACTAACAAGACTACTCAATCATCCCGAAATCTGATCCCCCAACAGGATTGCCATAATAGCATGAATCACTCGCCTTGCCAAAATAATTAATCTCATCAGTCCAGCCATCTGCAGCTCGCCCAATATCCTTCCAATGACATAAACTGATATACCGATTTTCAAGCCTCCTACCCAAAACTGCGGTGAGCGGGAAGGGAAAATTAAAAGGCAGAACACTAACGAGGCACGAAATAGTAGGGCTAACAGAGTGTGAAAAGAAAGGACGTGCTTCACGTTGCACGGCATGATAACCCTCGAGGTTGATGACGGAGTACAAGGCGTGCTGTTGTGATACATTGGAAGATGAAAAGTGACGAGACGCCACCGCTTGTTGACATTTGGATGGAAGAAATTGACAGATATGGTGAGAGTATTAAGAGTATTGTGTTGAGGTCTATTGATACCCAGTAACGAGTTAAGATTAAGAATTGAAACATGGTAACTTGTTCCCAATTCTCGTCCTCGTCCTCATCTTGGTCGATCCATGGGATCGGATTCCCTGACAAGGTCTCACGACAAGGGTACCGACATCATCGGAACCGCCTCACTGGCAAGATACAGGAGACTAGATGCAGCACGACACGCTCCTTAGACGAGTTGATGCATCAAGGGCTTTTTCCCTCGTTCCCTTCTTACTCCTGTCAATTTTTACCTGGTCAGAATTCACGAGAGCGGTTACTATGCCACACAGAAGCTACAGTATCGAGACGGTTCCTTGTTTTCTTTTTTTGATAGTATGCATTCATGGGCATTAAGCAACTTTCCTCCCTTCTATAAACAAATTCGGGATACCCCATGTCTTGACCACCCCCGATCTGTTTCCCCCTTTTCCTTCTCTCACTAAGGATAACATGGCCGAGACGGTGATTCGAAAAGCTTGTGATCGCTGTCACGCTCAGAAACTCAGCTGCAAACGATACAACGACGAGCCGTGTGAGCGCTGTGTAAGACTCAAGACGGAGTGCAAGTCAAGTCCATCTCTGAGATATAGGAAGAACCAGCAACAGCAGCAACTTGTGGAAAACAGTAACAACAACAACACTTCTCAACCAGCACTCAACTCGGCCTCGTCGACTGAACGCCGCTCTCCGAAACGACGACGGACCGACATCCAGGAAGATGCGAGTCTTGTCTCACCCGAAACGGGTACGTGCCCTCTTCCTTTCTCTTCTCTCTGTCATATTACCCAGTCTCTGTCTTTGTCTTGGATCCAACCGACTCACTTCACTGCCGAGAGGTATGGAAAGTAGCAGTGCCAATAGTACCCCATACAACCAGCCTGACGTCTAAGAGTCATGTCCCTGTCTCACCCGATCCCGTCGACAATTCGAGTTCCAGCGCCGCCGACTTTGCCTTTACCTTTGACCAACAGCTGGCCTTTTTCACAAACAACCCTCAGTATTTATCTCATCCCGAGTTCCCCATCGACAATCACCATCATCCTCCTGTCTTTTGGGAACAACCAGCAACGACGACCACCACTCCTACTCTTCTCCAACCTGAAGTACCAGTAGTAGTACCCCCTTATCATCATCATCAAGTTGCACCAGAGGGTGACGCCCTAAAAGTGCCTGTGCCCCTGACCAGTGCTGGTGAAAGCTGTGTACCTGAGCACAGCATCTCCTCTGACAAGCGCGCGTCACGACCGCGGCGCACAACAGCAACAAAGCAGAGGCCTAGAACCAGACTCAGGCCGAGGCAGATCACTCTCCGGCACGACGCTGACCTATTGCCTCTGCAGCAACCCGAGGCTCCCCGGATTCACTGGATGGCGCAGTTGTCTGACATCAACGCCCGGCTTCTGGACCTGGCGTCAGCTCTACCTTCTCCCCAGGATGGACCATTTTTAGGTCGTCCTGTTGATGAGGGGTTCAGAGGCCAGGGTTTTCCCATCGAGGACATGTTCAAGCTGACTCGTCGAGTCGCCGACATCCTCGAGGAGCCTCCCTCGAGTAACGAGAGCAACAAGATGCATCACTCCACCATCGATGGAAGTGACCCAGGCAACGCCATGTTCATCTTATCGACGTACGTTCGACTCTTGGACATGTATCAACGAGTGTTCAACCTCGTACACACAGAGCTTATATCCCCGCCCGATGCCAACACGATGTTTAGCTTCTGGGAACTACCCGACGTGACGGTCGGTTCGTTCGCCGTCGAGTCGTCACCCTTTCTGCAGATGTCTCTTACGATTCAACTAGCAGAGGAGTTTCTTTCTCGTCTCAGAGGCTCGACGGCGCGGTGGTTAGGGGCTGGGACGGCATCTTCTATGTTCTCGGGGGTTGTGGATGTTTCTTTCCAGGCGTTTCGCGATCGGGAGGAGGCTTTGGCGAAGCATTTGGTTGAGCTGCGGAGCGAGATAGAACCTTGGATAGATTCGTAAGAGATAGGAGTGACTGTCTTGTTTTTTGATAGGAGATAGGTGTCTTGTTCATCGATTGGGGGATGAGTGTCGATGGATGAGTGTGTATCGGTGAAGGGATGGTATAGGGGGCTTCGACTTGTTGACACAAAGCAAGAAAGAGTCAAGAAGCAATTCATTAATACATACCTGGGTTTACTCGAACAACGTTTCACATTCCTTTCAATAATGTTCACATAGTTCGTCGAGAAGCTCCTCCAAACCTCGAGGCAGAGCACCAGTTTCTCATTCTACAATCAGGAGCATCAACATGGACACGACACATGCACATTTACAAGACTTTCATTATTCCCATATACTCTCTATGGTAATCCTTTCTCCTGTCCTAACATTTCCATTCTCTCCCAAGTGGCAAATTCTTTACAGAAACTTCAGCATCTTTGAAGCCCAATTCATGCCCAACAGACCCAAAGATCTGGAACCGGCGAATATCAAATCGCTCCGTCTTCCAAGATAGGAATATGATCCTCAGGGACCAAGTAAACCAAATCTCTCTCGCCAACCTTCAAATCTCTCTCGTCTAGCTACCTAGGTACTTAGTTTCTATTCCCGTGAGGCCATGTCTGATCGCAAGCAGGCCTCCCGGGGATCTCAAGACGAGAGAAGAGAAAACAACTCTATATCGTCTTCGCAAATGAAGGTCAATCTCGCAATATACACTCCCTCCGATAGCCTTGTCATGCAGTAGTAGCAGTATACACCATACCAACTAGAGCGTATCAAAGTTCTCGGCAGGTTACAGTACCCATTTTCCCTTCTTTTGGTCCAGACCTTGGTCACGCCACGTTTAGAATAACTCAATAACTCTAGACAAGTCAATCCAGAGATAGAGAGCATTGAGAGGCTGAGATGAGGAGACTTGGGAAACCAACTACCACCACCCCCCGCTAGGGGAAGCCTTGCGATGCATCCGCCGCTACTACGGAGAGGTGCTCCATGGTGTTTGATTGGAAACGCGAGCTTCTGCTGGCCGTTTGATGAAAGGTGTAATGTGCCGATGCTACCTAGCACCGGTACACTAGCAAAGTGCTTTTGTCCTTTCACCTCGCAAGCCCTTGTAAACTCTGCCTAGGGGTACGCGTTTAGAGTTCGGGGCTTGGTGTCCCCCCCCCCCCATCCACCGTTGTCTCATCAAGGTTTTTATGTCTCGCCCGGTCGAACCACCATGAACTATATTCCCATACAACATCCGTTTTTTTATCATTCCGATACTTCAATTAAAAGAGAAAGCCAAAATAATAATCGGCGATATGCCGTGCGTTGAATCCTTGAATTGAGGTTTGATCGCCCTGCGCGCACGATATGCGACAGGGCTGTGCTAGTGCAGGGGTTATCATTACGAGCTTTTTCTACGACGGCATAGTACAAAACTACTGGAGATGTGTCAGTTTCACTTGACGTCCACAGTAAAAAAAGGAAAACGCTCAGACTTTACGACGTATTGATAGTAATGGTAGCAGTATTGTATTAGTTCACCAAACCTGCCGTTTGATCGTCACCAAGAGGCTTGTAAGTCAAGCATACATGCATCTAACAAGTACTGCCCACGGGCCGCCACGAGTAGTCGAGTCTCTGCCGAAAAATGATAAATGACAATGATTGAATCATGATGCTTCACCTGAACTATAGTACAACAGACGAGGCAAACCCCTCACTGCAATATGGTCATGGGAATGGCATCCTCCTCCACCTGGGTTACAGTTGGGAGTTATTACTCATCTTGATACAGAGTACTCTCTCCATACATGCACGAATAGCCAAGCCTATATAGTCCTTTTTCAGTAATGCAGGGATGATCTCATTAATTCGGAATCTTAGCAAACGCCGACGCCGAATAGATAAGTGCCCGTCTTCCGATGTACTACAATTCCGAATCCAGGTTCCGATAAAGCCAAGCCTTTTAGATCTCCAGAAACTACAAGCTTCCCAGACATATAAATACATATATGTCAAAGGATTGAGATTATTCACATGGTAACAGAACAAATCAGATTAAGCTTTACCCCAACCGTTTGGTGACTAACTTGACTAGACTGTTGCAGACCCTGTTGCCAAGTCCACCAGATGAGCATGTCCCATTGCCTCGGGATGGAGATAGTCAGAAAGTGGATATTGCCATCGTGAAGATCTTGATGCCCAACAACGTCTATCGTTCTCCTCTTTCTTTGATGCCTTTTTTCTGTTTCTGACGAATGAATGTCTTGCTTTACACGATCCTGAAGACGATCTACGAACTGGATGGACCCTTAATCTTCGGCACTAACAAAAGGGAGGCATGTCAGGGCAGTAAGCTAAGAATTTTCCTCCCTTTTCAGAAGAGGAATTGGGCATACCCAAGCTTCTTGTCAGGCGCAAACTAAGATCACAAAGAGACTGACAGGCCCTTTTTGTCTCACAGGGAGAAAAATAGCATAATTCTCGCGTCATAGGCCCGTGCTATACTTTTTTACTCGCAGCTTCGTTTTGTCACATTATCGTTGTAAGTGCTGGCGGATGTCTGCATCCAAGCCTCAGCTCAGACACAACTACCGTATATGCACACAAATCCAGCTCTACTCATCTCGTTAAATTTCCAACAGGTTGGTTCCGCAGCATTAATCCCAGTCTAGGATATAATAAACATAGCTAGGGTGTGAAGATGATGTGAGGCCATGCCCTGATGATCCTTCCAATGATAGGCCAACTTGGAGATACCTTGGCCGACAAGACAAGGCAGAAACTTCTTTTTACTTTTTCTTGCTTGTTTCCGTGACTGGTATGCTAGGGAGAGAGTCTCGAATGACCTGGGCAACCCTGAAACTGTCTCGGTACCTTGACTCTTGCGAGATAGTGGCCTTGTTCGACACTCATGATGTGCTGTCGGCATGGCAAATTGAGTCGCATGGGTGGAGTGATATTAGAAGAGTCACAACTACATGCCGGGCCTTGGCTACCTTGATGTCTTGATTAGGCACGCTCATGTCCGGTAACTGAACACCCGGCTCATAACGTGATTGTGTTCCAGTTCATCATTCAGGGCGCAAGCCATGTGATGGCTTGTATGATCCTGATAGAGGCATATCATTCCTCACCTGTTCAGTTAACGCTCAGTCACTCCGCAAGGCAACTAGCTACTATGAGAATCATGTTATCTTGTCTTGTTGGTGTAGGGTATTTGCGGCACTTACATGTTTGGAACCAAAACTCACCCTGAATACAACGACACAAAGCTACCAACATGAAACTAACTCGAATTAACAATGACATGACACTAAAGATTGAGTGACTATAGTTTAAAACGTTCAAGTCTTTACCATGAAACCCATTACCATCGTGAACGTTGGGTGCTTCATGTAAAATTAACGCACCAGGTTGACCGGTGAGCTAGTCGTCTTTACGGATACCTTCAAAAAGGCTTCCGTCTTTTTAGCGGTAGAATTCCGCTACTGCTGCAACAAAACGGAACTGAGATCTAAACAAGTTACATCGAAAACTCTGGGGTTGTGACAGCTTTTGTGCTTGTCTTGCATATCTTCCCGTCTGTAGCATTCACTTCCTGTTGAGGCAAATATCTCTCCCATTTATATTTCACCGTCAAGATATCGGGCATCAAACAAACAACAAAAAAAGGCCACCCAAGTTCGAGACTCTGTGATTATTATGCACGATGCATGCGTTGTTGGTATGGAATGGATCGCACAGCTGTCAAGTGGCGGTCTGGTGCTGCATCATCTACATTAGTGAACAATGCAATGCAATGTATAATGCACACTCCACAAAACGTTTGAGGCATTGTTTTTGAGCAGTATTTCCAGTTATTGCATACGCAGTATGAGAGTGTGACTGGCAATCTGCGTGTGTGTCTGTAGTGTATACCGGTAGTTCACTCGAGGAGGTCTGAGTTGGTAGCATTCGGTACAGAACCAACCGAGCTAATCTCGCCCTGGAAAAGTTAGAGGGTAGTAAAACTGGGATTGAGAGTTGTTGTCTCTTTTGTTTTCTCATTTGATCGAACCCAAGAGCTCGGGAAATCCGTCGCTAACTTTCTGGGTCTTCTGGGTCTTCTGGGTCCCTGGTCAAATTCAACACAGACCAAATGGATCAGCCACCGGCAGACGAGGGAGAACACGTTCTTGGGTCCATGATCTACTGCTGCCCGGGCGAAGAAAAAAAAAAAACCTTTCTCTTGCTAACAGAAAAGGTAAATCACCTGACGGTGGACAAAGGGCACAGCTCGACGGACGATCCTAGGCCATGACACCAAAAGATGGAGCCCTTTGAGTGGAGGCCCTGTCCGTCTGCTCGGTAATGGGAAGCTGTGAGCCAAGGCCAGGCTGAAGGATCAGGCTCAGGGTTATTACGGACGTGGCGGAACTTTACCAAGCAATCGGTGTAATGGAAACGGAACCATGACAGAATAAGGGTAGAGAAAGAAAGGAAAAGACCTCGATAAAGGGATAGCTCCGAGACATGGCCCGCGAGACCTGTCAAGTCAATGCCTGACGTGAATCCAAGCATCTTCTAGACCTGGTCCACGTCGCGAAGGGTTACAGAAGGATTGTCGTAGATGCAAGCTTCCCCCGCAAGGAGAAAGAAGAGGTAATGAAGAGGATGATCATCTGCACAGCAAATGGGCTGTACAAAGTACAAAACATGTGTCGTTTCAACTCTACCTAATATTGTGTTCAACGGCTGTTGGTTCGTTCACTTTCTTTTCTTTTCTTCATCAGTGTCAATGTCTCTCACTATCGATTTCGCTTAGAATGACGAGCTTCTTTTGAACCTTGTCGCTCATCCCACTCGCATACGAAACGACGTTTTCGAACAAGAACTGTGAAAAAAAGAAAAGAAAGGATGGAACGTTGTTGACCAACAAGGGCATTGAAAGTGCGCCCGTGACAACAGAGACAGCGTAAATCAGCAAAGCAAAGACAAGCACCGGGTCGTCACACCCGCCGCAGAAGCAGAACATCCCGAGGCCCGAGCCCGCGTCCTGGGAACGCCAAAGAAGAAAGCTGGGACGTGTTTGATTGGTTGGCACACAAAAAAGGCCCCCCTCGCCTGTTGCAACTTGCAAGGGGGGCCATGAATTGCAACTGTACAACGCGACTGTTACTAGGGGGAGAGACTCAGTCAGGACTTGGGTTGGCGTCAGAGGACAGGGAGTACTCAGGCCAGATAGCGAGCCTTGACTGTTTAAGGAGAATGGACTTTTGGTGACGGCTTCATCAAGGTGAGATTGGGGGTTGTTTGACTAAGGATGGAATGACATCCTTTTTCACTGTGAAAAGCAACGTGATGGGAAGGATCTTGACATGTCCCTGGTAATATTGGTCATGCAGTAGAGACTCACTCAAACAATTACATCAATATTCACATTCAGTTAATGACGCCGCTTCGGGACGGGGACAAGCTTCCTAGAGCCCGTCGCCTGCCCTCCTCCTTCCAGCCAGTCGGTAAAGTCTAAAAAGGGTTCCATTTTCTCCCCCCTAGAGTTTCAAGCCCATCAAGGAGAATGAGGTACAGTAAACTGCTGGTTTGCAGGGCTGATTGGATAGCGGTGTGAATGACGGCGTCGGACCAAGTGTGGGTTTGTGGAAATGATCCCATCCTTCCAGAAGGACTTTTCTGCTCTCTTGTTTTTGTTTATGACGCACTGTTTCTTAAAATTTTCAGGGGCTCATGGCCATGGTTCAGTGGAGAAATGACCTAGTATGGTAAAGCGAGTGTTGAGGGGACTGGTTTGAGATTCCGTGTCGGTTAGGATTGAAATGATATAACATTATCGGAGCCGTAGTCTATTACTGTATCGTGGAATCGAGATAATGTAGAAATGGCACAACAGGGGTCTATGTTCATTATCTGTGTCATTGGTGGGAATCCGCGGCAGGGTAGGACTGTATGCCAGCAAGGCTTGCATATAGCACTGCATGCATGCATGCATGCATACCTAGAGACAGACAGTCCAGCGTATTGACCGGTTCCTCTTTAGGAAAGTAAATGGATGAGAGGACCGCCAGAGTACAGGAATTTAATCATGTGTGACTCTTTGTACAGAATATTGGCATTATGGTCGTAATTCTAAATGAGCAAGAGTCGAGACCAAAAATAAACACAACGTGATAAAATACTTTATTGGCTCAAAAGCCCTGTCCAGTGTCATTCAACTTGATGAATCTCATCTCCCGGTAGCGGGTACTGTCTGAACTGTGCTTGTTTCGGCAGAGTGACAGGACAGGACAAAACAGCATTTATTCACCACATTGAGTTTGGCCTAAAAACTCGACTACTCTACCGGCATCCCACCACGTGTGCAGTGGAGAAAAAAACTGCAGCCGATGTGTGTAGTAATATGCAGCTACCAGTTAATAACTGTGGGCTTTTTATGTACTACTCCGTATGATGGGGCTGTCTGATGACTCTATTCCATTTCTGCTTGAGCAACTTCCAATCTTTGACAGACCGACATCTTCGAAACAAGGCCATTCCTCCGAATTGTGATACACTCGGCATTGGTGCGTCAAAGACGGTACAGTACGCGGTACTTGAGCGACAGAGACTGGTCTTGTTTTATTAACCAGGGTCAGGGGGGAGGGGAGGGGGGCATGACATGAAGGTGGATTAAACCATACGAGAGGAGAGTGGGATCAAGTAAAAAAGAAATGGCGTCAACTGTCCAAGCGCAACCTCATGGATATGAATCCAGAAGAACGTCTAGAAGGGAAGAAAAAGTCATGACATGAGACAAGACCGACTGGTGGGTCAAACTGTTATATGACCTGTGCTGGTGGTGGTCATGTCATATTAAACAGAGAGAAATAATAATTAATTCCCCAGTGGTAAAACAAAACTACAAATGACCGTGCACTGCATGTGCAATGCGAGCAATGCATCATCACCATCAAGGGAGGGAGAAAATCTTGTTCGTTCCGAGTTTGATGTGATGTGCAGTACGTGCACTACCTGAACTGACCTGAGCTCTGTCGGTAGTCCATGTCTTCTTTTGTCTTACATTGACTCGACTTATCTGATTGAGACCACTTGCGTTGCATTATTGATTCGGTAGATCCCTTTTTCCATGACAAGACAGCCAAAAAAGCAAATACGATACAATACCGGCAGCGGCAACGGAAGTAGATCATGATGTATCCCCCTTGATGCATGCAATGAATGACATATTTGAACATGACTAAGGTGAATGGCAAAAACAATTCTTTTTTCTTGTCATGACCTCCCAAAAAGCAATTATGTATTCCCTCCGTGATACCGCTTATGTTCTGTACCTGTACCGCAGCGGAACCGTTGTGGGATACCCTCAAACGGGGGATAGATGCTGATCACATGGGGAGGGGAGGGGAAATAGGTGGCACGTGAAGACAAGATCCCTTGTCGCTCATCTCCAATAAGCAAAATGAGACCAACAAACCAACAGAAGATAATAATTAAGCGCGAAAGATAATACAATTGATGAGGCGGTATCTGTCTCGTCGTCTCTCTGTCTGTGAGTTGCCTACCGTTGTGGGGATAGTTCTCTCTCGTCTCGACTCTTACTCACCTCAAAGAACGAGGCGGTAGGAAAGAGGATCTTTTGCTCTCGCCTGTTCTTTTTTTGTAAAAACAGGGACCCCTCTTTTTTTTCTTTCTTGACTCTCTTTTATCTCTCACCGGTATTCGCGATATTGGAGAGAAAAGAGAGAGGGCGCGGTCTGGCGGGCAGAAAGACAGAAAAACCATCCAAAGGGAAACAGCGCTTAAGAAGGGGACCATGTGGAGTAAAAAGAAACACACCCTGAAAGTGTCCCACTGAGAGAAAGAGAGAATGGGAATAGCGGCCTTTTTTTTTATAGATACTGCTGCGCGTTGTGGCAGAGTTTATATTTGTCGGTGAGTACCCAATCTTTATGTATGTGAGCCTTGTTTTCTTTGCAGACGCAGACAAAAAGAGGGAATAGCTTCAATGATTCATACCTAATGTATGTATGTGCTGTCTGTACAAAAAAAAACTGCGGTCCATCAAGGTTAAATTGACCAACTGCCGGCGGTCTCGCGATATGCTCGTGATTCTTGTCCCGTCTTGCGCGTGTCTGTTTTGTCTTTTGTGTTGTCTAGTCTACTCTTGTCTTGTCTTGTCTGATATATGTTGCTACAGCAGTGGAGTTTGATTTGAGAGAAAAAGGGTCCAAGCCATGTTCAAGACGCTGTTTCGTGCTGGCAATGCATGCATGCATGCGTTGCATTGCTATGCTGGCCAGTTGACAACTTACTCGCGAACGAATATGCCGGCGGTGGGATGTGTTATTCGTTTACACCTAATACATACTCACCTGCCTTGGGGAGTAGTAGTATCTGTGAATAGCATCAACTATTGAAACGCCTGTGCTTCAACTTGCCTTTTTTCACCTTGGGAGCTTCGGCCAGCGCTCGGTGAGTGAAAGTGAGTCAGTCATTAGTTGTTTAAAAAAAAAGTAATTCTTCAGGGTCTTCTTTTTTCTTTTCTGTCGTGTTTTTCACCTCCGTCATTTAATTAGCCATGACCACATTCATCCTCACTTCGCAGTCGCCGAAGCGCTCAAGGGCTCGTAGGTTGGTCTGTGTAACCCCCGTACTAAACTGTAGCGGTTCTAGCAGTCGTTCTAGGTGCTTCGTCTTGGGGAGGGGGGAGGCCTAGGGGGCCACCTAACACTGCCCTGCCCTGGCCTATTGCTCGCCTTAGATTAAGACCCCCCGGTAGTTGACAAAGACCTCAGGCATGACCTCGATAGCTGCATACTGAGAGACAAAGGGCGTGCATTTTTCACTCCCTCCCGCTCTTCAGCTTTCAGAACCAAAGAAACCCCAGACCCCTTGCTCACGGAATGTCTCCCACCCCCTATCACACACCCTCCCCCCTACGTACCGGTCGGTATTGGGTGTGTGGTTTTTACTCTGCTCCCTCGAGTCTGGTCCGTCATGACAGGGGTTTTTTTTCTATGGACTCCTCCTCAACTGGGAAGGGCCCTTCTTCCCTCTGGACTGGTTGTTATAAACAACCTTCAGCCCAGCTCATAGATGCCCCCGTCCGTAGGGATTCCGAAAACTAGCTTCTGTTCCGTTGTTTTGGGTCCATCTTGTCTTGTCTTGTCTTGTCTTTAAATACTCTTGACCTTTCCCTCGAGGCTGTCTTGACGTCGACGTTACAGCCGTGTATCATTCATTCATATCCATCAAGCTAACACAACACCTCTTTTACCGCCATTACTACCCAACAACTTTTATCCACTCTACCACTTGAGTTTATATATTGAACGACAGAATCTGAACTGGATTGGATTGGATATTCTTTCGACACTCTATCATCTACTCATCTTAATCAACGATTTACTAGAATCGAGACTTTTGATCCGCTTTTCACTTCACAATGTGCAACTACATCTATGTAAGTCATGGCACATCATGAGTCCATACTACACATGGTCATGATAGATGGATGGAAAGGCACAATACTAATACTATTTCCTCTTAAAGAAGGAGCTCAGCTGCCAACACCACTACCACTTGGTGGAATCATGGTGTCCCAAGTACATCGAGACTGAACGTCGGTGTCCGCCCACCATTGTGAGCAAGCAGTACTGGTGAGTCAACTCGTATATCCATTTACTTGCAGCACATTTACTAACGGTTTTTGATCAACAGGGGTGACGACATTTGTGGTATGTCTATTTAACTACTTTCCAAGGCTGTTGGTTATCTTATCCACCTGGCCATGGAAGATTAAGTGTTTTTATTTTATTTTTGGGTCCACGATACTAATTAATTCTCTAGCTGCCTGCCGAGAACGCCAACAACCAAGTCAACACCCATGGGCTAAGCTTATCCAGCGTCCCGAGTCACGCATGTCCTACTCTCCTCAACTCCGAGCATAATGAGAACGACACGACGAACGACTCGGCAGGTCGAGATGTGTATTGACGCCAGCCAAACTACTCGATCTGTTGTATCCAACATGAAGGGTATACGAAAAACCGACACCTTGGATGAGTTCATCAAGGAACGAACTACTCCATCCGCATTGTACGAGTCGGGTACTTGATATCCCATCTGGTGCATGCTTCCACCGGGTGGTCGACTCAAGTGAGACATTGCCCCACATGGGAGGATACACGACGAATCAACGAATACAGAACAAAACAAACAGAAAAAAGTCTATTTTATTGCGACAAACTCGATACCAGGCGCAAGGAAAGCATTATTATTTTATTATTGGGAAAGGGAAAAGAATTATTCGGCTCTATTGGGTGCAAACCTATTCTTTAGTCCGATGTGGACTCTCTTTATTTGGTTGTTGTCTCGAACTCTCACAAGTGGGGGACTCGGCGTTGGAATTGGTACCTTTTTTGGGAGGGTCAACCCGGGCGACCAACAGGTCAAGTTGGGCGTCGATCAACCCGACAGCTCAGGGCTTATGGGGGGGGCTCAGACACTGCAGTGATGCGCTCCACTGTAGTGCTCTGCACGCTACAGCTGCAGCACATCCTTTGCCACTTCACGGATCGAATCGAATCAATTCATTAGCGATGCGATGCGACACTCACAAAGATCCTTCCTCACCTATCAACGACACTTTACTTCATCATTCAAGCACTCATTAGGCGCCACATCAACCAACCTCAGGCGCTACTGCTCATCAATCTGCAGACCTCAAAAGGGTCTGATGACCACGCGCATCAGACAATCAAGAGAGAAAAGACCAAACAAAAAGAGAGAACAAAAACCACATCAGGCACGGGAGGGAGTCTTGCTATTATTACTTTTATTACTGGCGTGCTTTTATATTTTCTATTCAACCTGGGCGGGACATGCATGGAAGGAAATACGGGAAACCGGGGCATTCAATGGGAAAGGAATATCATTTGGGATGGAAAGGGAAACGGCAAACAAACCACACTTTTTTTTTTCCTTTTTCTTTTCTTTTTCTACTATACATCACCTACTCTACTATCTCTGTACTCGGGCATCGGGGGCGTTTATTTTACCATCAGTCTTTTCCTTCATCGCGCAAGGAGGACAATGGTTGTACTACAACTTGGGACACAATCAGACACAGGACTATAACCCACAAAGATTGGAAAGATAGTTTGCATATTGTTTGGCGCAAGGAAATGAAATACAAGATACAATTAGACCGCTACTGCTTGCCTTCCATCATTAAGTCTGTCACATTGGCTATTAAACGAAGTGATCATCTCGGCACTTGGTAGAAAAAACAGACTAATAAATCCCAGACACAACGTGATGATCTTCTGCCAAGTTTTTCTTATCATTCCTTCCTCTGCACTACACCTCTCTGCCGGCCGCGATACGATGATGATCGCAGGGATTCTTCATGAATGGGGCTAAAAAAAGGCTTGTTCATCCGGGTTGTTTTTTATGCCTAGTCCAGTCCATATGTAGTATGTCATGTATACAGCCTTGTAGTAATAAAGGATCAACATCAAGAAGAAAAGAAAAAACGGTGTAAACAAGGCACGACCAAGATTAATTCCAAGAATTAGGATTCTCATCCCGTTAGTGTCGTCGTTAGAACCCGCTACGGGCCGCTCTCGTGGGAATTGCCGGCCGGGTTTTGCCATGATTTGCTGCCTAGGCTGCTGCCTCGGAGAGCGGCATTTACTTGATCCCGTGGTTTGACAATATACGATAACCGCGTGTCCAGAGATGAGATGCACGGTAGTTTAGTAGTTGGTCATTTCGATAAATCATATACCTTTGTGATGTGATGAATGAATGGGCTGTCGAGTTCTGTGATACGATGGAGGATTGTTCCATCTGGCGCCGTTTGATGCCTGTTAATTAATTGTCTCATTCTTTTCTCTGGGTGCATAAATTCCCCAGTCATTTAATCTAATCTATTCTACACGTGCAACATCAAACTTAGCGTCAAAAGAAAAAAGGTGTTGCGATAGATGCAGATATCACATCACAACGTCTTAATGAATCTCAGACACTTTTCGATCTGCATCACTTTTTAAACTTTGTCTTATTACCTTACTTTTCTCTTTTCTCTTTTACAGCTCGGATCTCCTCGTTGCCGTATAGATTAAATAAAACGGTTCAACTCATATCCCCACGTTCTTATTCTTATCCTCTCCCTAGGCCGCCCCCATGTAAACCTTGTCTCCCACCATCTTTTCTTAATCATCAACGCTTCGTCGTTTTTTTCCCCTGTGGCTTTTCTCCCGCCGGTAGTTTTGCCCGTAAACATATTAGCTCCCTGCTTTGTCATTTTTCTTTTTCCTCATCAATTCAAGTGAGACATTTTGGAGGGCAGCCAAGGAATGTTTAATTCTCATCCTTCCCGATTACGTACATCATTTTTCACTCCTTCTTCTTTCCATGGACCTTCCACGGGAAGATTTACAGTTCGTGAAGTATCTCGGCCGTTAGTTTTCTCTTTTCTCATGGGAATAGCTAGTTAATGCAAAGGTTTATCAGAGTTTGAGCTAACAGCCTTGTACTAGTAAACGAAACCACACGAGATGCTTACTCTAAACGATTAAGTTTCTCTGACTCGAGGCTAATCGTGTGCTTGGACGTTAAATGAATATCATGTCATGCCCAGTCAAACTATTGAATGGAGTAGTGACGATGAGTAATGGATGGGGTCTATGCGCTTTGGTGTAGGAGGCAAGAGGCCATTGCTATTGTTCAACGCAAAGCGCGGTTACTTCGCTGTTCGCCGCTTGCCGCTTACCGTTACACGAATACTGCAATTCGTAACTGCAAAGGTCAGTCAGTCATTTACATCTCATCTTACCTCTTCACCTTTGACTCTCTACTTGCCGTATCTGAAGATGATGCATGAGCTTTGATCCCTCAAACGCGGCAACCGGAAACTTGAGACGAGCAGATAGCCTCCGAAGGCCACACGTGCCCCAAGCCATCTTTTATTCTTCTCTTTTCATTCGAGAATTTCTTTCGGCCCTGTCCCCGGCCAAGCTGAGGGTGTACGAGTCTCGGCAGTTCGCAAAGAGTCAGTGGCTTTGACGTATCATGTTGAAAATCCATCTCTAAAGACGTCGACGTGAGATTGCATTGAAGACTTGGCACTTCGGAATCGGAACGAGAGTCAGATGATGACCAATATATGTGCTTTGCCTGAATGATTTGCAACGCCCCGTCGCACTCGTATTGCGATTGTCGTTCCAGGTATCTGGTAGGTACAAAGGTAAGCTGATAACAAGCAAACTAATATACCTACATCATGTCGAATATTGCATCTCCGTTTCTCCTTCAGCTTCAGCCTCAACTTTATCAAGGGTTGCGATAGACCCCCATCCTACGTCTCACATCCTTCGACAGAGCGGGAAGGTCACATGCCAAGCGAACCTATTTGTTATCTTATTCGTCACCCCCCTCTTCATCCTCCGGTATCATCTTTGTCAAGAAAACACCGCGTCCGTCTTATCTTTTTCTTCTTTCACCTTGTCGTTCCGTTAAAGTGATTGCAGGATGAGCAAGAATCCCACCTTGACCAGCCCTTACGAAAAACGCCTTCCATAACCAGAGATTAAAAGAAAGACAAAAAAACAAGATAATATGAAATGGAATTTGGCATTTAATTTGAGAAAGAAAAAAATACAGGCCGCAGACAAAGCAACCTTGAAGTGAAAAAAGCCTTGATGCATGTCACGCAGCGCGTCTATCTTTCACATGCAGGACCTTAAACCCAGCCAATGTGTGATTCAACGGATGATCCAGGGTTTTTTTCTCCACAAGTTCTGCCTTTCTCGGTCACCGGGCAAAGTCGTGATTACTTCAGCCATTACCAGTTCACTGAGGCATTTGTGCCCCGGATTCCGTAGGACCATTTTTGGTAGTAGGTGGGTGGGTGTCATCACGTCAATATCGCATTGTTCATCATGTAAAGGTATAGACCGTTAGCTATTAGGCAAGGATGGCGGGTTCTCGGGAACGGAGATGACAGCCAGCTTTAATACAGTGAGACGCGTCGGGCCGGAAGAAGATCATGGATAGTCTGACCGAGATGCTACTCTAGTCTAGAAGAAAGGAAGGTATCATGAGTGATAATTTGTCATGGCACAGTCATGATAAAGGGTACCAGATACTTCCCTCATGGCTGACAAACAGTTGTCTGGTGATAATAGCCTTGTTGTCAATAGGGTGGGATGCCAAAAAGCCATTACGTTCCCAAATGCCCGATATCTTGTCTTGGGCCTTGGCTTTTTCTCTTTCTTGCGTCTGGGGAACACACACACTTTTGGACAAATGTACACTTCATCATACTTGCTTGGTGATGGTGGTTAAGCTGCGCTGCAGGATCGACTGCTGCATGCACGCACTGGCACTGCAGAAAAGCGTGCATCCAGCCAATTGAGTATCAAAAACACAGTCGCGGAGATGAAAATGCTACCGAAAAGAACCGCCAATGAGGCCATCTACCCCACAAGAATGGCTCACCGGTATGGAAACCCTGCCACGTCTGGGGAGAGTCCCCAATCGAAGCACGCAGCGGGAAAACAGGGCCGCGGCTGACATACACCTGCTTCATTCGCTATAAGAGATCCCATGGACAGGTAAAGTAGGTAGCCAGCACTTGATTGCATTGCATCCCCGATGAGCCAGGGTTGTTGTGGTGTCTGGGCAGCAGCACCGTAATTTTTCGGTCGGGTGCCTCAATGGCGGTGACAAGATATTTCATCACTATAAAGTTTCAATACCGAGGTAATGTTCAAAGAGGCAAATATCTTGGACTTGGTCTTTGCTTCTAAAAAGGATCGGATGCCCGGTTTTCCAGGGGTTTTCCTTGGGTTCCAAAAGCCTGGGCCTGATCTTCACGTTTTAGCGGAGGTAATTCGTGTTGAATAGTGGCTGATCTTTTTAGGAGGCTCTTTGTTAGGGGGGTGCATTGTCAAAGTGGCAAAACCAAAGCGTTTAGACTCAAGCATCATTGAATTGATGTATCTCAAGTTGCATCATTGATCATCAATATCGGGTTGCAGTTATTTAGCCGGGTACAGGTTTGACAGCTCTTTTACAGTTGGGTTGGGCAGCTAATAAGGATCGTAGCCAGGGGATGCACTGCAACTGCAGCCCCAAGTGCCGGTTATTTGCATTAGTTAGTGAGTCTGCACATGACACCTGCATTAGTCCCCGTAAGATGCATATGATCCTCTAGATTCATACCAAAACTTCAAACGGGAGCATTATCTATTTCCTAATTTGTCTACTTGCAGTTTCATTTGATACACTTTTCCTGTTCTCTTTTGTACACAATGATATCTACACCCTTCCTTTTTCTTCCTTGCTTGCTGTCAATTCCAATTCATCCATGGCAATATAACCAACCATCCCTAACCCAACAGATTTGCGGCGTGCGCGCGACATTTCTTCTTGGATCGATTCCGTGCAGAAAGCCCGAGATCTATTATTCCTAAAATGACTTGATACATGAAACCTCCGCCGACCGGTGAACTGGGATTGCCTTGAGGAAATTTTATCTTCCTTAACAAAAGGACCCTGAAACCTTGGTTTGGCCCATGATGCCACTTTCTGTCAAAAAATGATGATGGACAAGTGTCTGTTGTTCGACACCCTTTCCGGTTATTCTACCAGAAAAAGCCTCATATATCTGGTCGACTTTCCTTGTATGGGCTTCTATTCTAATCAATAACCGGTCTATGGAGAATTTTTCAAAAATCCCATCTTGGTTCATTCACCCGAAAACAGCTATCTAAAACGTGATCGTGGTCTTGTGTAACTGCAAGCTCTTTTGAGACTTTTTTTTATTCTCTCCACGATCGAGATCAAACACCCCCTGGGCCCCCTTAACTGCGTGGTGTCCCTATTGTCTGTCAAATATGCTTGCACCCGCACAAGCCTTTGAGCATGTGACTTGACGTGTGGTGTATGACGCAGAGTCGCGTCTATTGGTCTGTTTTCGAGGCGTTTATTCATTGACCAACAGTTTGGAGCATGTCTAGAAACGACGATAACACAAACTGTCGCCCTTGCCAAAAAAGACATGTCATTCGGTGTCTTGAGCTCAATTAATGCGCGCTGCCAACAGTAAACATGTCTTGACGGCGGCCGATGCCAGTTGCGACGGCATGCCGAGTACATCCGCTGATCGTGACCCTGTGCCATGCTCACGCTTCGAGTTGGCAACTTCTCTTTCGTTACCAACACACTGGATTGAGTCGTGATTGGTTCATCGCAGACTCGATGAGTTTTCTTTGCTAGGAATCGAGTTATCGCGAGACAAGCGTCGGACAAGTTTGCTTTCTCTCCTGCTCTGCTATTGGTGTGTTGGTTGTGACAACTGTTGGCCATATCTCAACCCTGGCTACAGCTCTCCTCTTTCATTAAGGATTCTGCGCCGTGCATTGACAAAAGTCTCAGCCAACGTTACATGCAAACGTGGAGAAAACAGTGCTCTCGTGAAGAACCCAAGCCTGGCGTTGCTATACATCGTTTCACGGTCATGTGATGTGTTTGCTACTCCCCTGTCCTTTATGTCTTTCTGACATTAAGACAATTATTGGTCAATCAACTAATTGAATTGTCGAGACTATCACATATCATAATCGATTTCGCCCATCTCTGTTGCGCTAAGGAAAGACTGCATTGTGCGCTCGTCACGTTGTGCCCAGCCGCTATATGTTGGGGAGCGATGATTATCACCTTGCGGGGATCTGACTTTGTCAGATTGCCGCGATACAATGCTCAACTAAAGCGGCTACGATCGTTCCGTTATACGCTAATTGGCCGTTCAGCTGATCAACCCCGACCCGTTGGCCATAGCACAACAACTATCCCGAGGTAGTGAGATCCAAAGTTACATTGTGCGGACGCCACGAGTGATTCGAGTGAATGCACCACCAACGAAAGCTGCAGGTGTGGGATGAAGCTGAGTACGGGGTGTTGTGTCCGCACCGCAGTAAGCATTCGAGTTACAGAATATTCTCAATTGTGATAGCCGGTGCATGAACACAAACATCCAAGGATCCTTCAGTTCAATGTTACTCTGACGGAAGCGACTGTAGATATGTCATAAATTTCTCTTATCCTGTTTCCTCCGCTACAGTGGCTGACACGAGCTGCCCCCCATATTTCGTTGCCGCCTTCTATTGATGCTTCTTCTCCGCTTCCGTTAGTCTTCTCCCATCTACGAGGCTCCCGTCAGGCAGAACCTTTTCCGTAGTTCGGACATGGGCCAACAGAAACGGGTACGCCAGATCGCAGACCACCGATGTACCAACGAAGAACAAGGCGAGAGGGTGAAAGACGAATCCGTGAGCCTCTGGCCAATACCACCAGAGAAGTATACAACAAACAGGGAGGCCCATAACGGTGCCTACGAAGCGACAGAACCTGAAGGCATGATTGTCAGCACGGCTGGCCGAGTTTGTGAATAAGGCGATTGCTGCCCAAATTTCTTTTTTGATGGCGAGACAACAAGTAAATACGAATCCTACTGGTAACCAAACCGTCGGGTCTGCTTGCCTGGTCGTGCTTCAATTGACCGCCTCGTAATAGAAGCTGACAACCCAGCTCAAGGGTATAATGAAAAACACCCCAAGAGCATGCTTTAAAATAGCATAGACCAACATGCTAATTTCGTCTCTGATGCTCTTCGCGGCCTAGCCACGACATCAATGTGAGAGATGAGATCTCGCTAAGCTTCGATCAAGACACACCCTCTGCAAGAACCGACAATTGGATACAGACAGAATAGAAAAGTGAAAACTCACCAGATTGCATAGCTTTGTCCACCAGAGTGACCACGCTGAAGAAGCATAGCCAACGCCGAAACGCTGAATATCATCTGCGCCACACCAGCCGACCAAAATGCCAACTCTGTAGTATCTCTCGCTTCAAGACCCTTCCACGTCTTGCCCCATTTGATACCATAGCCGCGATGCGGCTCCTTGAGCCACCACCATACAAACGTCCCGTTACCTACCAACCCCGCTACGAAGACAATAGCTAGTAGTAGCGGTATGTTGCGCGCGACGAGTGGGCTGGTTGAGAATGATCTAGGTGCTGTTTTAAGCGTGGCGTATAGAACGGGTATGTCGAGGAGGAGCCAGCAGGTGAAGCCAAATGTTTCTATGGGCGCTTCGCAGACGCCGAACGCGTAGACGACTTCCCATGCGAGGTTGAGGCCTAAAGCTAGGAGGGGCGCGGGTGTGGCGTGGGTTGCAAGGCTGCGTTTAACCATCAACACGTAGGCGATTAACCAGAAAGTTATGCCGACGGAAAGGCAGGCTGTTGAGGCTGGGACGAGCCATGTTGGTGCTGAAGGCGGTGGAATGTCTGAGGAGCCCATTTTGAGGTCACTTGATGATGTGTGCCGATGTGCAAGACGTCGGTTGTGTTGAATGATTGATTCTCATCTCATGTCATACGTGCGTGTGTTGGTGTTATGTGGGTAAGATCAGTGGTGGACTGCTTACCCTGTATTGCTCTCAATCAACTGCCGAATGTGTTTTCGCTAGCCTTCCCAATCTGCCGACGTAAATTGTAAGCGAAGCAGCTTGCACCAAGCAGGTTATCTATGGATATTCTATAAGAAGAAGAAGATCTTTGATCCATGATTTATGTTTTATTTTGTCCTTTATGATAATACAACACGTTATTGAGTTGATATTGCGACAAACAAGTGGTTCCTCCCAAAAATGACATGATAAGAGCCATGAAATGGGAAGGGTGTGGTAAGAATGCTCACCACATATCCTGAGCGCTTTGGTCGAAAGACCATTGTGTTTGTTCGTGTGTTCCTACATGCGATACCAGCTCTTCTGTGTGCTAAAGAAAAGACCGAACAGAATGCCTGGCGGTTGTCAGTAGCACTGAACGATAGGTAGGAGGGATGTGGTATGTAACTCAATGTCGGTCTAGATCAGGGGAGTAACGATGTTGCTAATGTGCTTAGAAGTGTAAGCCAACTGAGAGAGATTGTGATACGGGGGGGCAAGAGAAAATGCCCAGTTGAATCTTGTCGGGAAGTGCCTCAAGCATGGAAGACATGACTGAATAATGTTGAGTCAAGGGGATTTGATGGTATAGGCTTTGGGTACGCTGAACGAAATCCTGTAGCTTGCCCGGGCGGCGTTCCAGTTGGTAGGCCCCTGCGATTAAATTGCTGTCGTTTCGTGCTGTGGTTCATTGGTACTTATGCTGGAAAAGGAGTATAGTCTCCTTAAAAGGGTTTTTACTTAGCTGCTTCTCCTTGAACCAGTAGAGTGTTGAACCCCTGAGGCCCTGCTTAAAAGCTTGCCCTTATAAATGTGTCTTTTAGCCTCTGGAAAATCATTGGATGATAATACAAGTAGGCTTTTGTGTAGATATTCAACCTGTGAAGCTCAGTGTGCAAGTGACGAGAGAAATTGTTCATAGACCTGACGACCAGCTACCTCCATCTTTCTCTTATTCTCAGCCTGTTGCTCTCGCAGATCTTCTGGGACCCAGGACAGGACGTAGGTCTTCGACTTCCTCTATGAAACTTCTAGTCGTCAGGTTGAATCACACATTGTATTGCAGTATTGGGGCTACTTACTAGCGACGGAGGAGGAGGAACCCTCGGGGATGGAGGACCTGACACAGCCACATCTGACCCATACTATTCACAGAGCTTCTAAAAAGTGATAAGAAAGGAGCATATCCTCAAGTTGACATTCTTGTAGTTAATTTACGCGCTTCCGAGTGAAGCTACACCCAAGGTCTCGAGTTGGACAACGTAGGCCACTTCAGCAAAGATCTCCTCCTACAAGACCTCTACATCCATGACCTCTTGATCCCAGATCTCTTCATCCGAATCCTCTCCCGGCCAGACCTCTTCATCACAGGCCCCTTGGACCCAGGTCTCCTCTCCCCATACGTCTTGATCCCAAGCCTCTTTGGCCAAGGCCTCTTGAACCAAAATATCTCGGGTTAAGGGCTCTCGGCCCATCTCCTCCATCTTCTTCAACTTATCGTCCTGCTGCTTTTGCAGCTCCCTCCCTACGCAATAGTTAGACATGCTAATGCAAAGCGCAAATACTAGCTCCATTGGTATAGTTGACTCACAGGGAACAAACGAGACCAGCGGCTCCTCAACTGGAACAGGGAGTTCCAGGGCAGGCTCATCAATAGCCATGCTGCCATCCTCGGGCCACTCCCAGCCCTCAGCAATTGAAGTAATTTTGGCAGCCATAATTCTGCAAGAAAATTGGTAGAGAAATTATGATGGGCAAAACAAAGGATAAAAGCGTTTGGCACAATGACGCAGATATGTTCAGCGGAAGTTTTGGCCTGAGATTTTGTTTCTGTGTTTGAACTCCCGCTTGGGTGCAGCTGCCTGGCACCTACTGGGCTCTTTTTTTCTTAAGTGTGCATCGCAGCATCAACTTTAAAAAGATGACATGATTTTAGGAGAATTATCATAAATAATAGAGAAAAACATAAATCATTAACTAAAGATTGTCTAAAGCTGCTTATCTCAAAGTTCAGTCTCAGACCCCTGATGCCGAGCGGTGATTTCTCCCTCCAGGCGCTTGTGTGGGAGTTCAAGTGGATGTGAACTCTCAAGGTATGCCAACATATCCTTCCCGGTACTTATATACATACAAAACTGATAAACCTAGACGCCAAACACCAAGATACCAAATACATGAGAGGCCTTTCACGCGGCAGCCTTGACCATAGGCTCCCAAGGCTTAGCCAAATTCCACAGATATACCTCCCCTCCGATCGACTCGTCGACCCCCAACGCCTTGACGAGAATATGCTGAAAAAGAGGAGTGCTGGAAAACAACGGCGCAACTGGAAGGACTGATCCTCGATCCCAACCAGCAGAAAGACCTTGCGACCACGAAGGCTGTCGCACGAAATCCTTGACTTTGTCGTGATAAGCGTCCCAGTCGTCAGAACGATTAACAACGATCTGGAACCTCACACCCTGAATATCAACCGTGATGCGCTGCACCATACTCGGAAACCCATGTTCCGCGCCCGGGCTCAAGATCCACGAATAGTCGGTCTGGTCGCCGTTGCTCTCCCAGTCATACCAGACCTGCGTACCAGCCTGTGAATAGTCGTTGAGCACAAGACGTCCCTCAGCATCGAAGCTCAACTCGCAGTGCCGTGCGTCGATGCCCGGCATGGTGGGAAGGATGATGTCGCACGTGGAAGGGTCAGAGCCCAGAACGAAAGAGCCCGGGCGCTTGGGGGGTGAGTCGAATGATAGCTTGATGGCACGGGTTGGGCGACTAGCCAGGAGATTTGGGAGGCGTGAGGAGAGTGTTGGAGAGGATGATATTTGGACGGTGCGAAAGATGTTGGAGGGGAGGTGGGCTGTTTTGTCGGCCAGAGAGTTACGTGCCGTAGGGACCAGCCAGGCGATAATATCAGACATTGTGTGAAAGAGAGAGTTGGTGAAGAGAGTGTAGTTGCGGTGAATTATGAGTGAGAGCTGACACTGGATAGTGTATTGACGATGGTATAGTAACAGAACAGAGGCTCAAACGAGAGAAGCCAAATGATCAAAAATGTTTAAGTAATGAAGTGAAGTGAAATGTAAAAGAAGAAAGCACGCTGAAGAAAAGACTGTCGATTTTTGTCTCTGATGTGTTGTCCATGTGGGCTTATATCCAAAGTCAACACCACTTCACCAGTCCACGTTGCGCCGACAATCACTGGTCCTCAATACACCGCGCCCGACGCGTCGCTGATACCTACGAGTATCCCAGAGAGGCAAATGTTCGAAAGCACTTGTTTCATTATGCCAGGTCTGTCTTTGGAGAGTTGAATGTGGTGGTGTTTGAGCGTGGGAGCACGAGAGCCAGTCATTTTTGGTGGAGTTAGAAGGGTCGGGTTATGGCAGCCCCTAGACCAAGAAAGTGAAATGGTTAATGAAATAGGAAGTATCAAAAAATAAAGACAGCTGTAGTATTGGTTTTGAATGGATTCGGATTAATGTGGCGTTTCGGGAGTGGTGGGCTGAGAGGGAGAGATGCATGGGGATCGCTGTCGTGGAGTTGGACCCTGCATGCACTTTACTGACTCATATATTGTTTTGTTTCGTAGTCTATATTATTTAAAGGCTGCATCGAATGAGCATGGTTTTTTTCTAGAAGGTCTGGGATAATAAGAAACTTAGCCAAGTCCCTTGGTGAATGGTTATCTGATCTGGCCCAGTACGTATTGCACATCCTCAAGAGACACTGCACTGTTCGACAGAAAGCGACTCTTCTGATACAGAAATGGATTCATAGGTAGAATCGAAACCCTTATTCAGCGTTTACATCTTTCTTTAGGCAGTAATTAACTGGGAATAGAGACAAGACACAATCCTAAACATTGGGATAAGAACGAATGGAAAAGGCAACCCGGCCACCAGAAAAGGGCCTCTGCGCTTTAGGGCAGAAAATAAATATCATAAGACGTTTTATCTAAGTTACATAAACTGACCTACTAATTTCGTTTCTTATGCTCCCAGTGGCCAATTTTTATGATGCACTGATGCCAGCCCAAACTCGATTGACACTCAGCGTTTCCGCACCTGAGCCTGGCTAATAGACTGAGTAAAACTCTTATTAAGAATAAGATATACTGGTTAAAATGAAATGGAATAAAAACGCGCATATATACAGGCTGTCGTCGCTCAAATGCGGTTACTTTGAAGCATGGAAGCGGGTGTCCTCACGTCAAGCCAAGGGGAGCCATCGCCACCTCTGTCTGTCCACCATAAAGATACCACTATCAGGGCAAATGACGCATTTCCATAGAAACAGGACAATTGCCGATAAATTCTCCGTTCATTGCTACATACAATTAGACTAGTTTCCTCGGAGTGTCGTTATCGGGGTTTATCTCGCAATGGTGGGGAAGTTAGTGTTTTGGTGCATATTACACACAAACACTAACACTGACGCCATGGGAACCTGGTAGTTCACCATACTTCATAATATTGAGGATGATGTTGGATTGGGAAGCGATATTCAAGAAGGTAGTGATTGCGAATTCAGTGATAAATAAGTGATTTCTTAATTGAGAGACAGTTGCCAAGCCGTAGTAATTGTCACATCAAACAGCACTCATCCTCATAAGGCCAAAAGCACTTGCACAACTGATACAGTCGAGAGTTGCTTAGTATGCGGTCTTCAACGTGGATTAAATCGATACTACTGGCGAGTTCGTTCTCTATCCCGTGTATCGGAGCGGCAACTAGCAATGGTCATGATGTCCAAACCCGTTTGTCGTCCAACAATGACATTGACCACAACCGACCAAAGACAAACAATGCCGGCAAGAAGAATATTGTCTTCATTCTTACTGATGATCAAGACTCTATCTTAGACTCAGTATCTTATATGCCAAAGCTCAAAGAGCACATCATCGACAAAGGCACCTCATTTGTCAATCACTTCACCACCACAGCTATCTGCTGTCCAGCCCGCGTGTCACTTTGGACCGGGAAGCAGCCGCACTCCACAAACGTCACGGACGTAAGCCCACCATATGGTAAGTAGATAACCCAAAGAATCTAGAGCCAATGCTGATCAGAAAGGTGGCTATCCCAAGTTTGTTTCCCAAGGTCTCAATGAAAACTATCTGCCTGTGTGGCTGAGTGAAGCGGGCTACAAGACCTACTACACCGGAAAACTCTTTAATTCTCATACAATCAATAACTACAACTCGCCATATCCCGCAGGATGGACTGGAACTAACTTCCTTCTCGACCCTGGAACTTATGACTACTTGAATCCGATCTATCAGCGTAACCAGGAGGCCCCAGTTCATCATAAAGGAGAGCATACTTCAGACCTGATCTCCAAGTATGCTCATGAGCTCCTGAAAGAAGCGATTGACTCAAACAATCCATTCTTTGTCGCTATTGCTCCTATTGCACCGCACTCGAACATCAACGTCGACCGTGAGCCTGGGAGTGCTATGACGATACCCATTCCTGCCGAGAGACACTCACATCTCTTTGAAGGGGTAAAAGTACCACGGACTGGCAACTTCAATCCGGACTCTGTAAGTATTGCCGAGCCCCAGCGTAGCAGAAAACTAGCCTCTTGAAGTATAAGGGACGAAATTATTAGGCGAGCTTATGTTATTTATATACATTAGGCTTCTTAGGCTATTTATTTCTGCACCCTAAGATTTAGGAGGCTAATTTTCCTACTACCTACTGCCTTACTGAGGAATCATCGCTTACAAGACATAGCCCAGCGGAGTGAGCTGGATCAAGGAACTCAAACAGCTCAATGACTCGTCTGTGTCGCATCTGGATGACTACTATCGCGCACGTCTTCAATCTCTCCAAGGCGTCGACGAGATCGTCGAGCAGGTCGCTCAGCAACTTGAAGACGCCGGCCTACTCAACGAGACATACATCATTTACAGCTCCGACAACGGATTCCATCTTGGACAGCACCGACTGCCTCCTGGGAAGGAATGTGGTTTTGAGGAAGATATTCGTGTGCCCCTTTTCATCAGAGGTCCAGGTGTTTCCTCTGGTGCCGTGGAGAAAGCTGTTACAACTCACATCGACCTCGCGCCTACCATTCTCAAGCTTGCAGGCGTTGAGTTGAGAGGGGATTTTGACGGTACTCCTATTCCAGTGACGGATGGCCATGAAGGAAAGCGTCACGAGCATGTCGCTGTTGAGTATTGGGGCGTTGCCATCGCTGAGGGCGGGTTTGCTGGCCTTGGTACGTATGAGCCTTGGCGACTACCTAAGTTGCGGTCATTGACCTGATTATTCTAGGTGCGGAGGGCCAAATCCAAGTACACAACAACACGTACAAGGGTGTGAGAATAGTACACGAGGACTACGATCTTTACTACTCGGCTTGGTGTAACAACGAGCACGAGCTCTACGATGTCAAGGTCCGTTGACTTTACTCCCCGGAAATACTGATACTAACCTCTCACAGACGGATCCAGGACAACTGAACAACCTCTTCCCCGTCGATGGTAAGGCGACTGCCGACAAGGCATTCCTGGGAACCACCGTCCAGCAAGTCGTCAACCGCCTTGATGCTTTGATGTTGGTGTTGAAGTCCTGCAAGGGAAATACGTGCATCGAGCCCTGGAAGACACTCCATCCTGATGGTAACGTGGCGAACCTCAAAAATGCTCTTGGGGGCAAGTTCGATAGCTTCTATGAGGAGCAGGTAAAGGTTCGGTTCGATCGTTGTGAAGATGGATATTTGGTCGCTGCTGAAGGGCCACAAGTTGGATATGAGTATCGCGAGGGTCTTAAGTGGCACCATTGGACTTAGGAGCCGATGGCAGAGTCTCACGCCCTAAGCTCCTGCCGACCTCAGGGTGTCAGAAAAATTAGTCACTAAGAGCATAAGGGACGAAATTATTAGGCCAATTTATGCTACTTATAACATAATTCTTAGGCCGTTTATTTTCATACCCTAAAGCTTAGAGCAACGTTTCTGGTACCCTCGAGACAGACTCTGAATTTTACGGCCTTTGTCGGTATAAAGAACAACAAAAGGACAGCATCACAGCCTATCGGTAAAGACTAGAGCCCATAATCGATATGATGTTTAATCTGGTTCGAGTTAACCATATGCTGATGCGTCCTCGTTGTGATTGGGAAGCGAATGTCCTGGTCTTGGATTGGCGTAAAGCGGCATGGCGGTTGAAGTAGACCTGAGCAATGGCGGTGTCGGGTGAGTGAATTAGCTGGCAAAGATGATGTCGAATAAATCACTATAGCAAAAGGTATGCGTTTTGTATTTGTATTGGTGTTGTCATGATATTCGACATCAAATCGTGAGTTCAGAATGGTGTTTCGGCGGGTTAATCGGTTGATGTCGATGTGTTGTTTGATGTGAGTAAAATTGGGGAGAGGATATCGTAAGCGTTTGTACATATGTCAGGTTAAAAGAAGAATCCCAGATCTTAATAATATTGAGGCCCAGTTGCATCATTTATCGTCTCTTCGCCTTCACCTAGGTGTACAGGTGAGTCAAGTCCGGAGCCGGCAGTGGTCCGGCCCCACCTTTTGTCCGCTGGGAGTTGAAGCTGAAGTTGCGATCATCCTCAACCATCATCGTAAAATGACAGATCTAGGCGTTAAGCATGCAAATGAATATTTCCCGGTGATAGTAAAGAAATTAGAGTAACTAATCAAGTGTTGAGGATGTTTTCTTTGGTGATATAAATTCGGCGTGGTAATTCCTATACATTCATTGGCCAAAAAATGGTTGCTGCCGGAAATACAAGGCACGAACCAGGATGCTGCCGACCTTGAACCGAGAGAGCATCTCACGACAGCTCTACCAATCTACGACAACCTCACCTCACGAAGCTCAATTGAATCAGCAACCATGGCTTCCGACGCAATCACCGAGCCGCGGCGTACGTACCGACTGCTGAATTGATCTCCAGCAGATATTTTGTATACCGACCGCTGACTTCCTGAGCAGAAGCGACCCGCGAGGAGATGCGCGATGCCAAACTCCCTCTGGCCTACCGAGACAGCTGCGCCCACCTTCTGATTCCTCTCAACAAGTGCCGTCGGGATACGTGGTATGCCCCTTGGAAGTGCTCCGTAAGTCATCAATCATTATCTAGAGCAAGCCCAAAGCCCCGAGCGCCTACACCGAACGTGCTCAGCCCAGCCCAACCGACCCAATACAAAAAGCCGATCATTGCCGAGATATCAATAGAAAGAAGCTTACACATAGGGGGTTGACTAGGATGAGCGACACAGCTACGAGAAGTGCCAATACGTCGAGTTCAAGAAGCGAGTCGCCAAGATGGACGAGTTGAGGGAGTCGAAGGGTGGTGCACGAAGCAACTAGAGAGAAAGACAAAGAGACCGAATTCAAATCCCGGGTACGAACAAACAGGGCCGGGCCGGAATTGTACATTTACAAACAAGCCAATGTGTTTGACGGAATAGAAAGAGGCATTCCACACAAATGAAACGATTCAAGACGAGAGGAAACAAAAAGACGACAAAGTGAAATGATGGCGGAGTCTACTATGGCGTTAACGACTGGGTTTGATGCATTCGATGGGCTAATGGAAATAGACATGCGACGACTTTTGACAGAGCCTCATGAGATGTATGAGCCGCGCACTCCAACGGCATAAAGCAAGAGGCCAACCACAGGCCATATTGCGAGCTTTCGAGGATGGAATGGACCGGAAAAGAGTGGACTCACCGGGGACATACAAGTGGGACTCATATGTTGGATGGTGACAGGAACAAGACAAAGAGTTGTAATGTTGTAAGCAAATGGGTTTTGGCGTGCTCATCGTGGCGGACAGTACCCTGTCTGTGGTCGGCTCAAGAAGAAATGCGCCGACATGGTGTTTTAGAGAAAGTTATATATATTGAGCTCGTTAGCCACTGGGACTTTGTGAATCTGAGTTGGAAATGTATCAAGCGAGTTGAATCGTGGCGTTTGTCCACCATTTGCAGTGATTCTTCTTTTGTATTATCAGCCTTTTTTGTTCGTCGATCGTCTCATCGGCAATTGACTTCCACAGAGCCTCAACACCAAGATATCTTTTTATCTATCGCCAAGGTCTTATCGGGACTGGTTGCTGATCGACAGCTTGAGCCTCGACTATGACTATGAAAGCGTCACGATAAGATGTGGCTGCTATCGACAACTGGACAGCAATGGCACAGCCATGATGAAACCGACGATCAGTAATGGGCATCGGATTTTATCGGCTCACTGAAGAGACAAGGAAGATTATCAAAGCTCCTTTGTCTCAATCTCGCATACGATAGGGCAATGGCAGACGAGTCGTGGATCTTATTGTGAGCGACATGGTCTCAGCTTTCAGCGAGTCAGAGTCAGACCACAGCCTCGCCTCACAGGCCCTGAAAAGAGCCGCATGCAGGCGGTTCTAGCAAAGTTGTGCGCTATGCAAGGTCCCACTCGCACTGAAAAGCCATCCCAGCGGGTGGCTTGGCGGCAAGCCCACTGATTTCCTGACCCTGGCTAGCCTCTCTCTATGGAACAGGCATTAGCAAACCTTTTGTCAACGTCGATCCACTGCCGGTCGGTTTGGCTCGGTATATACATCCAACAGTGAACCGGGCCGGTTCATCGATACATATCGGCCGGTTTGTGGATATATCTCCATTCTTTATCAATGCTTGGCCCAAGGCTTGTGTCTTGGAATTACTGCCAAGACTTCATTCTCGGAGCCTCCGTTTCCCCCTTCACCATTCAACTGGTCCATAGAGGGACCATCATGATTTCTCTTATGCAACACTTTCTAACATCTCGGCGGAATGACACACATATACAAGGATGGCAATATTCAGGAGACAAACGTAATGCTCTTACAAAGAGTGAAAAAATGATATGATGCTATGCTGTCTAAAACTAACGGAAAATAACTGGAGACTTTACACGAAATGAGACCTGCTCAGAAGATGGAGTTGCTACCGCAAGAGAAGACTCCCTGAATGGAACTGGAAGCGTTGGCAAACAGATCCAACAGCTCAGTGATGGATGACCACAAGCCAGCAGCGTTCATAAACAACGAGATTCCAATAAGGAAGCTGTTGAGGCAGAACAGCATGATGTTCTTGGGGCTGGAGAAGAGCTGGTTCCAGTTCATGTGGAACCAAAAGATACCGCTAAAGCCAAAGGTGAACCAAGAGATGGTGGTAGCCGAGGCGATGGACAGGATGGAGTCAAAAACGGGGATAGCGTTGGAGAGGATGAAGCAGAGGATCCAGAAGACGGTCACAATGGTCATCCAGATGGACCAAGAGCGGACATTGTTGGCAGTCATCTCGCTCTGGAGCTTAAAGTGCTTCATCACCTGGACGTACACATACTTGATACCAGTGTGGCCAAAGGCAAGTCCAGTAGAGAAGATAGCAGGGAGGACGATTCCGTAGGCAATCTTGGCGATGAGCTCGGGGGCTGAGCCAAGAGCGGGCGAGACGGTGTACTCTCCAGCAAGGCAGTAGATGGCGATGGCCACGACGACGTAGAAGAGGATGGAGACACACTCCAACCAAGCCAAGGCAAAGCCAAAGTCCTTGACGGGGTCAATCATCTCAGCCATATAAGTGACAAAGTTGATGTTGCCTGAGTAAGCGTAGCAGATCTTGAGGCAAGCGTTGAGTCCAGAGCGGAAGTCCGGGTTGGCCACCACCTTGATCTCCTTGTGCCAGTCTGCGGGCGCAGCAGTGGGATTCTTGACTCCGAGCGAGACCATAACGAGAATGGAAGCGGCGATGACGGAAACCATGCAGGGGATACCTGACTGGGAAACGAACTTGGATGTTCGGGGTGCGCAGAGGACCCAGCAGCACAGGCAAGCGATTCCGATGAAGCCCACTGTACAGACGGCGTGACTAGAGATGGTATTGAAGGCAATAGAGAGCGTAACACTCGCTGAAGCAGCCGTCATGATAACTTGGACCATCAGACCAATGCCACTTATGATACTCAAGGGTCGTCCTCCAACAACCTTCGTCATGTCAACTACGTTGACCACGTGCTGATGGCGACCATAGAACTGTTTTAAGACGTAGGCTGTATACCACGAAAGTAAACCTATGCCAATAATAGCAATGAGTCCAGGAACTGGAGTTGTCAGTCAATATCTCGTGAAATGGTGGTTGGGGTGAAGCATATTTTCTCCCCCCTGGAGTATCAACATACTGATTCCCATGGTTTTCAACACGCTAGGAAGTGAAAGAACACCCAGACCCACTTGATTTGTGAGCAGGGCAAAAGTTGTGTCCCATTTCGACATGTTGCGAAAGTTCTTTGCGCCCTCACCTCCACCGAAGCCGTTCTCGACCACGGGGACATTGTGAGCGGATTGGAGGTCATCAATGTGACCCTTCTCGTTATCGAGAGGCATCTTCTCCTTGCTATTTGTCTTGCTGGAATCATGACCCTGATCCGAAGGGTAGATGTCGTTGTGTGCGTCTTGTGGATATGTAGACATGATGGGCGAGTTTTGTATATATGACCGGGTATATCAGATGAAAGTTGACTCGCTTTAAAGAATGATACACAGAGAGTAAAGAGTTAACAATGATTCAAGAGACTATAAGAGATGAGATGAGAGGAGGAGGAGAGGGAGGAGAGAGATGAAGAGAGGACAATGAAGTGTTATTCAAGAGCAGATAGAAAGAGAATTATATAAGTTCAATAGAGTAACAAAAAGGCTAAACCAACAACGGTCAGATAAGCAATCACCCTCTCGGAATTCCCTCATTAAGCTCCGCGTTTTCTTTCCTTAAAGGCGCGTGGCCGGTGCTCCAGCAGCTTTGTTCAACTCACACGGCGTATATCCTATCCTGGGGTTCCACACCCCAAGATAGTGAGCGTGTGTGTTTGTAAGTAGTATTATCGGAGTTATAAAGGATAAAACCCATGCATGACAAGGGGTGTGTGTTAGCAGCGAGCGAAGATTGCAGTCGGACTAGACCAGCCTTGGACTTTTTCTGGGGTGACCCTCTTTCTCTTACATCGGCGGCAAAACTTGGTGCCTTGCTTGACTTGTCAGAGACTTTTTAGTTAGTGTTGATGATCATTACCGCCGGGAATTCCCCAACTCGTGTCCCTCATTTGTGGGCATGTAATTCTTGTTTTCTTCCCCTTGAGTCTTGAACCGCAAGAACACACAGTTCCCCGAGGTAGAGTTTCCAGGTATCATGATCAAAAGACACATAGAAACCCTTGCGAACCGACAATGCATGTGGGATGAGGGACCTTTTCTCTCCACCCCGTTGTGAGGGATTACATGGGGGTCTCCACGGTATCCATCCATCGTATCTGTCTCTGTTTACTTTTTTGGAAAGGAATTGACATTTCTGTTAGGTATTTGCATGATGCCAATTGGGTGCCTGTGTAAAAAGCTGGGGGACAGACACAACAGCAGAGTGGTGGAAACGCGCTAGAAGCTCATCATCCATGTTTGATACTGTACCTCCTTTCCGGGCCGTTTTTTTATCTCTCTTCTTTTTCATTTGCTAAGGTGCTGTATAATATCTTGTTAAGTCTTGAGGCGGATCCCGATGAGCTGGTCAGAGGTATCCATTGGGCTGCGTATGTCTATGTCTATCAATCGACGGAATGTCATCATCATCTGTCGGTAGTTTAACTTTCTATCATGAATAAATGATCAACATCATGGTCCAAAGGGGCTTGAATCTCTTGTCCTTCTCCTCCTGTTGTAGTTCGCCTCTTTTTTAATTGTGGTTCTACCTCGAATGGCTTCCAAAACAGGCAATTATGCTACTAGTATCTTTACAACCTAGTTTCAAAACTTTTCATCCTCCGAATTCGAGGCTGACGGGCGCGTTACCGAGAGAGGTTTAAAGTCTGCACACGTTCAGGGCAAGGACCAGGTTTAGTACGGAGATCCGAAGTGGAGAAGGACGTCTTTTTTCTTTCTCTTTCTGGACCCTCATTCCGCTTTATTTCCCTTTTTCCCTTTGGTATCCTGAGGATCATAACGGTAGTTGACCACGGGAGCGGAAAGACCGTAACCCTGATTTAGTACGCCTCGAATTTGCGGAAGTGTTTTTTGTCTACTGTAGGTAGCAGATGATGGATCATGTCATGCCTTTGGGGAAATTGGAGAGATTTTTTGGAGAAGGGAAAGGATCAGGGATGTTAAAATAACCATACAGCATAAAGTTCATGTTAAAGCCGTTAAGTCTTGTGTCCCAAATTACGAGTCAATACAAGTCCTCATTAACTTGTCAAGAGTCAGCTGAGAAAGTGTCTCATCCAGTCGGATTCCCCCAAGTCTTTCCCTTCCAAGAGTATACGGAAATTAACCCCTGTTCATGTCGTCATCCCTAAACCCTGACACGCACGCTTCTTTGCCTCTGACCAACATATTTCTAGTGGTTTTCTAGAAGAAACTGGTGTGATAATATGCACGCGTGCGTGGGGTGTTTGTGACACAATCCCATGTTGAACTCCGACTCGTAAAATGTCCCCTTTTGCTAAATGACAACTTCAATACGGAGTAACCATTAACTTAATGCTCTTTGACCCTTGAATGGGGTCTTGCACGACATATTCTGGGGCCCGGTCCGATTCCTTGGCTGCTTGGCCTCATTGCCAAAGGCAACTCAAACAATGGAATGGGTAATCACACGTAATTCCATCGATTTCCCCATGACTTTTACGTACAATAAACTGACACAACGCAACAGTCCCCATGGGACATTCTCCATACTTTTCTCCTTTCCCCCATCAAATTCGCGCGGGTTATCCGGGGCATGCACTCCAGATGTCTTCCCTTGACTGGATACGTGATACATCAGTCTAGCAGACCGAGATATTATCGATCAGACTTACTATCTGTGCGTAGACAAGTTTTGTTCTATATCGCCGAAGATAATTCGCCTTTTTCTTTGCCTAGTCTCGGCCATGCCCGGTTCTTTGTTTTGACCCTGCAGATCTCCCACGAGTATTCTGCAGCTCAGCGAACAGGGGTTCGACTTTTTCTAGTGCATTGTTCGGTGCAGATTTAGGTGCCCGAAATCAACACGCCAAGATCGGAGATATGTTAGTGTGAAGAAATATCTGATGTGTAAACAAACGGTTCGACTATCGACAAGTCCTCCTGACAGCCTATCGGAACTGCAACAGAGAAACAATGATATCACTTGTGCTCAGATAGTCATCCATCCTCGCCTATTTGCTCAAATGCCAGACTTCTCAGTTAGGCAAGTATCGACCCGTATAGCAGTTTCACGGTCAGTCTATCCGGACCGTTACAATGCAGATCACACTCCTTATCATCAGCTGCAAAGTAAAAAGGATCATGAATGAACAAGCCTTGCGAGGCATATCTGGTAAATGTGATGAGGAGTGATAGACGCGAAGCACATCATGGCATCGGGATCTCACGGGGGTCTGAGCATGCATCACCTTGTTTGAGATGACGGAAAACGACGGTCCTTGTAATAAGGGTCGTCCATGCTTCTCAGTGTCGTCTCCGCTTCCAATAAGTTCTGATGCGCTTGATATCCAATAGGCATTGCTATCCTCCGTACTGGAGCTGCATGTCGCCGAATGGCCTCCATCAGTGCCCAACTTCAAAGCCGCCGATATCCTTGATATAGGATTGGGACGAGCTTCTATTACTAGTACTTGCCACGGCGATTTCTCGGATGTGTATTTGCAGACCCTTTCTCGTGGCTAGTTAATGTCGGAAACTGGTGACGCCAGAGGGTCTCCCGGTCCGGGAACTCGCAAGTTGAAGCCGCCCCGGAGCTAGCAAAGGGGCTGTCTGCTATTAACAGAGATACTAGAGTAGGTTACATGATCTGTAAGATGATACGTAGCAATGTCATGACATCGGTTAACATCAAAGGGTCGCTGGTTTCCCAAATCTTACGTTACGGTAACTACTCGTGCAGTTTCGACCATGTCATCAACCCCGATTGCTGAGAGTTTGAAAAACAAAACTAAGAAGGTATTGCATGATATTCTAGAGCGGTTTTGGACTATTTGTGTTCGTATTCTCTGATTCCCCAATCAATACAAGTATAGGAAGAGAAATGAAAGCTGTTTATGGCAAACTTTCCAAGTTTTGAGCATTCCCAGACATTCCTCTCTAGCAGGCAGCAGAAGCCTCAGTCTCAAGCTTTGGGGTATAGAATAGGTATCCTAAAGGTCTAGTCTAAATAACATAAACTGGTCTAATCATTTCGTCTTTTGTACCTGGTACGATCTCTCCTGGAACTTCATGTTCCAGGAAAGGCTCATCGAGAGTCATAGTGTCGTCCACTGAACGAAGACGGCTTCGGACATCATGATTCCGCACGTAATGATATAAAACAAACAAAACTGACGTAGTCATACATGGGAGGGGCTGCGAAAGTAGCAGACTGAGAAGGACAACATTATAGAGTGCTTGGTCAATCGGGCCACTGCCACGGCCACCTCCCAAACATCAAGATGGATTGGGCCCTTATAGACTAATCTATTTGTTGAGTTCTTCTGTATCCTGTGTCTTTGTTAGAACACAGAGGTCCCAGATTTGGAGCCTAGATGAGAAGCCAAACGACAAGTGCTCGTTTGGGAGAAGGACGATTGTCGAAGGCGTGAGGAAGACCACTCAACAACGATCCGTCATCCCAACGGATATAAAGGTAAAATTTACCGAAATGAACGTCCTATTTTAGTTCTGTTTCTCAGATGGCCTAGTATTTTCACTCGAGTTGTGTCGTTTTATAAGTTACATATATGACAGAGTATTCTTGGAGTTGCGAGCTTAGTACTGCACTGCACATAGACCTCAGCGCAGCGACACTCTTCACTGGATCAAGCTGCTCACGCTCCTAGGCACGCTTAGTAGCTTGTATTCAAACTCCAGAAGAAGGCCTTCTTGACGATGTAACGATACCGAAAGGGAAGTTGAATTGACGCTGTATGTTCAGGAAACCCCTATGCTTGCCCAACTCAAACATGGCTGCCTGGGAACAATACGAACTAGAATAGCAATTCTCGCTACTGTTTTCCTTTCTAGTCAATCGATATCCGCTGAAAACGTTTGGTTGTTGTTTATCGATGTGATTCTAGTATCAAGACTCCAACTTCAACGCAATCAACAGTCATTGCGCCTGCTGCGCGATTCGCTTGAAATGGCAAGATAAGTTGTCCGTCACTTTTTGTAATTGCTTCGGGTCCAAACATGGCAGCCTAGCCGCTAAGTCTGCTTCCCGTTTTGTGTATCACGGCAAGCGGCAGTAGTCCAGAGATAAACAAGCACTGTCGGCTACCAACATCATCGCTGCCTGCCAGCTGTACTTCACTGCTAACAAATAATCTGTCACCAGGCAGATTGAAACACGTGTGATCCTGAGGTCCCTCAATTACCTAATCTTCCCTCTTCCCTCTTCATTTCCCTTCATCATCTTCCTCCGTCATCTTCTTCTTCCACCATCTCACCTTCTCCATCCTTCGTCGAAGTCAACTTTCTTCTATATAGACTGGTCTTATATCCTTATTGATCCTGCTATACCTACTATACGCAAGAGTATATCGACTACGGACTAGACAAGTAAGACTTATCTGGACAGCTGCATACCCAACAGATGGTGTTGAGCATGGGGCTAATCGTGAATGAAGGGTCAAGGGGGAAGTGAAAGCGACAGCTGGAACTTTACCCGCCTTGACTGCTAGACCACAGCAGACAAACTTCGATGCATCTGTTATCGAGTTATCTATTTGTTACCACAAGATATATAGCCTTCTTACAACCCCGCAGAGAGCAGGGCCATTTCCATTTGCGCCAGTAAGATTCCCCAGCTCGAGAAGAATGACCTATACCACATACTACTCGGGACTAACAAGTTATAGAATCTTTGCCTCGGTATCTTCGATCGAACCATGTACGATTGTCTCCCGTCTGGGACCAGGGCGCTCTTCTTTCCTGTCACCCTTTTCTACAAGTGACACCGCACTACCGGCGTTTTGTCCCTTCAATTGAGAACTCGTCATCGTCTTGCCGTGTTCACCATGTCCAACCCTGGCGCTGTCATCGCCGCCCTCGAGTTCTATCCCTACGATGCGGATGGGGGCTTCTTCGACACCTCCGAAGGCAGCATTGCTTGCCTCAACTGTGTGGTTTTGAGAACTCTGTCACGAATCGCAACACACACAAAGCACTTGAACACCTCATTGCCTTTCCAGCCATGGCGTTGTCGACAGTTAACAGCTATAACAATCTGTCGCGAAAGTTCAAGTGGCATATCCAGCTTTGGACTTCTGAGTTCACTCAGACAAAAAGAACTGGGACCTCGATATGTCCATTGACGCTGCGTTTCGCAGATTTCCAATGATCGACACACCAATCAATGTCCAACATCGCCACATTTTCGGCAACACGCCTATAGCCCCAACAGTCCTTTGACCCAAAGAGAGGTCAAGAAGCGGTATTTCAAAGTAGCCAAAGACCTTATGACACTTGCCAACCAACTCTTTGAGCTTGAAATTTTAGAGTATCCCATATATTACCGGTGCAGACGGGTCAACGACACGTTGCGAGTCTCCAAATTGTCATTTGTACCTTTGAGAAGTGAGCCAGCTGCCTGAAGATTGGAGGCCATTCATGTCTCTCATGATGAGCCAGTATGTATAGATGTTGCAGCATGTATTGATACATTCACGATACTTGGGTGTCGACCAGCATGTCAAGCGAATATATCCGGGCCAAACATTCCCATGCCTGTTTCCAGACTGCGACAGACAGTGTTCCACCCCACTACCTGTCAGCAGACATATCAAAAGGAAACACGAGGGAGAGCAAACAATGCCTTGTCCCACACTGAGTGGAAGCGACAACGGAATGTACAGTTTCGGTGCTACAGGAAAGCAACCACCATACTATATGTGTCTGAGAACAAGTTGAAGCCTGGAGGTTTCATGGATCACACCAGAATCCGGACAAGCCCTTATTCGCTCTTAACAGATACCTCCCAAGAATTCACTGAGCAAGGCGGCAACAGTTTCCGTCTTGTGGAAGGTGCCCATCTCGGAGCATTCGTCGCCTCTGCGATCGAACTTGGGCGATACGGCATGTCGCCTGGCCACCTCATTTGCAACTTTGTCCACAACCCTTGGATGATCAGGGAAACAATATATATGTTGACTGTTCAAGGTCTTGTGTCTCTACATTGATGAGGCACTATCAGTTATTCGCATCCCCAGGCGCCAGGTTGGTGGTCCAGCAGTCCAACTGAATGGCAAATGGAGTACCAAGTGAAAGAAGAGGTTGGAAGCACAGCCGGTTACGATACGATACTGGTTGCGAGGTGCATTGCGATGGATATTTCTCCCATCTTCCGAGACACTGAAAGCACGTCCACTCTAACACCTGAGGATGGCTTCGCCTGTTGTTCAGAAGAAGGCGGAAGAAAGCGAAGTAGCACACATTTTACCCTTCTCTTGGAACGAAAATGAGGCCAATCGAAGGTACACCAAGAATATTCTCCGTGCCGATCCTCTCCTGACATCCGCTTATCAGCTGGCTATGGCCCTGAACAAGGGCTTTGAGCAGCTTCTCGTCTGGGAAAGCGAGCAGATCGACGAAAATGTTAGACTCGGTCAACTACAACACTGACTTCAGTCAAGCTTTTCTTCAACATGGCCAACCTTGGATTCTGCATACAGTGGTCCAGGAAACCATTTTGCTTTGTCCCGAGTATCCACTGAGGCTGACCAGAGACCCTTTGAGGCTCCAGAGGACAACGGATGGCTATCAGATGACGGGAGTTCAGACAACTCCTCTACCAGTTTCCAAGGTAAAGGTGATGGAGAAGAACAGTCACGACACAGCCTAGCCACACTGCTCCCTAGACGTCATGTTAAGGCTTATGGGAATGCAAAGGTCACCAAGCTTCTGAAGGACGTCAGCATTCAAAAGATCATTGGGTACAAGATCAGCGACACGCCTTTCTGCCCCGACCCAACAATGTCAATTCCAGGCACCCAGGTCAACGCCTTGATCACACCTTTGCCAACGGCCTTTGGGCAAGATTCCGCTCAAACCTCACTGATGCTCAGTTATCCTGTGGGAAGCGCATGCTACGATACCTGTTAGGTCATCTTTCCTCCGGTATCAACTACACAGGAAACATTGATGAGCAAGATACGTAAAACCCGTATGGGCTTCACGCATACTGCGACTCCGACTTGCTGCCGTTCCTGACATATCACGATCCTTTGGCGGCTACATTCTCATCACGAGCGGTGGCCCAATACCATGGTCAAGCAAGTGTCGGAGTATCCTGGCCAAATCCACAGTGTGATATACGCTTACATGGACCATTTAGCCAACAGCCACCAACCTCATACTAATGTGCGCAACAGAAAGGTGTCGTGAAGTGCTATCGATGAAAGAAGGAAACGAATTTGTCTCCATACACTGCCGTAAGTCACCCACTTTGATATGCAACACATTACCGACAGGCTTCAATAGATAATCCACCCTTCCCTTTTTGACATTGCGGTTGCTCTGCGCAATTCTGTGAGCGAAGCCAAGGACAGAAAGCATATGCCAAACGGAAATACCTGCCCAACCACCTCTACACCCATTCCATCTACGCCAGTTCTCTTCATTCTCTTCTGATACTAGATATAAAGGAGGTGTATGGTGAGAAACACATGACTGCTCCATCAGTCACCTACATCAGCCTTATTCCACATTACTCTTGGCTCAGGAGAAGACATCGCGAAATGTATGTTCCTATTGTATAACTTAATTGGGTTCTTACTAATCTTACTTAGTTAATGGAGGTATGCGAGAAGCAGCTCCTTTTCCTACGTGCTTAGGAGATACTGATGATTTACAGAGAATGACACCACCCAAGGACACTCCATGATCGACAATGGATCTCCGAAACCCTGAGCTATCCAGCGCTAAAGGAAATCAAGAAGCCGGGCTCACGTCAAGAATTCCACAAGAAGTTCAAGAAACTGGATGGATGAATAGCCACTCATCGCCTCACCGGGACAGTGCCCAATCCCTAGCTCTGAATTGAAGTACCTTCTGTCGGCCACTTTGAGAATTTTGACCAGGCATGAAACGTGGAAATTGATCTAGAATGGTTTTACAATTCTACGCCACAACACCTTGTTGCCAAAGAATGAGCCAAGAATTCAATTTTCTTTGGCGACCCTGCGAAGAGTCTCATATCTAGAGTCCAGCTTGCATCGCTGCGTATGCACAAAACGGGAACGATAGCCTTCTATCGCTTGCTTCAGATGATGTGTCAACGTTGCTTGGTGCTGCAAAGTGGCACGCTCAAAATCCTGCAGTCGCACGGGAGAGAGTCCGACGACTTAATGGCCATCACGCAGCATTACTACACGGAATGCCGCTTCGACCAAAGAATGTCGCCCTCATTAGATCTTTTGAAGGTCTCAACCGGGCACTTCCTATAAAGTAGATTACATTTGACCGAGACATGAATAACCAGACTTGGTAAGCGCTAACCACGGTAAACAAAGGTAAGTTGGCGGCACTATTCACAGTAGCAGATGCTAACTTGGCAGTGTTTTCATGATCCACATTGCTCAACACGTTTGTTTTCTTAAGTTTCGAATCACTACTGCCTACATAGGCCAGTTGAAGCAGAATGGAAGGACTCCAGCCGAGTTTCTGAGGGTGCCGGCCGAAGATGATGGAGGCCTCCGCCATCGACAAGCAAATAAGGGCTTCGTACTAGACAACTTTATCGCTTCCATTGAATCCAAACGGGAGTTGAGCGTTCATAACAACGAACCTGTTATTTCCGATGACGCTCTTGCACAGATGGTTTACAAAGCCATCGTGGTCGCCACGAGCCTAACCTAGCTGTACCGCATGACCCGCAAGGACGAAGCTATCCTTGCAGAGTTATATGGCCGAGTTGTCAATCCTTCGACTTGTGGAACGATACCTTACACCAGATTTGCAGTATCTTCAGCTTCTGTGGATGCTTAATCCCGACCTATACAAGGCTGCAGGGCATAAGCACCACTGTGGAACGAACTTATCCCCCTGGGTTGTGCGCCCTATTTCCGAGTACATGCACATTCTAAGAACGATACGAACACCACTAAAGCTGAACAACGGCACGATCTTGTCTATCATCGATCCATGAACACCATCAACGAACATCGGCCTGTGCAAGTACCCTTCGAAGAAAGACTTGCCCTTTAGGTTGACGAGGAGGATGCGGGGGACTGAGATGGCCTACATCTGTACATTGTATCAAAAACTGAGATTTTATAATACTGGATAGAACTTATGAATTGGAAATGGATGTATCTTGGGTGAAAGCGTACCACCTACGCCTCTCTTATTGTTGCTCCGATAGACGACCCTTGATTAGACAATAGACTACAGAAGCCTGCCATCGCCAATCGACCACTTGCTACTCCACATTAAACTTGCCTAGAATATAGGCATATATGTCTTTGTGTTGTAATCAACATTCTCCTCTGCTGACTCTATGCGGTCACCACAAGTCCCAAAAGCGCGGTCCCAGAGTCGACTTTGTTTTCCGCAGTTGTGACTCTCTTGCCGCCCCCTTCGGTGGTGCAGATCATGGTCTTCGACTACCATTTCTGCACCAAGACATCTGAGCACCCAGATAAGAGTTGAAGGCGGTGCCCAATGTACTCTCACGCCGCTATGCCCCCAGAGCTCCGTGTATACAACGTACTGGTGAGTACTGAACAAAAGTATCCATAACCGAAGGGAGAATTCTAAGTTGAAGTGGGAAGAACTTCATCCTCCACTTGTGTTTGAGCCAGGAACTAGCTGGGTGTATGGTCCGGGAATCGACTGGGCAGGACAAATTGTATGCCATGCCATTCTTTTCCCAACTAACTGGTCAAACAATGGTTCTAATGTTTATAGATCGAAGTGAAAGCACAATGCTCTCTTGGGCAATTTTGCAAAGACAACATCTGGGATCGGATCGGGGTCTACAACACTACATTTCGTCCTGCACTGCGACCTGATCTTCTATCATGCCGCCTGGCTCTTGTCCAGGTAGTTCGGAATGTATCTACTGTAGGTGAAGATCTATACCCTTTAGCACCTGAAAAAGACTTGGGTGGCTGTGGGCTTTGGACAACCCCCCACGATTTTAATTCTTTCTTGTGGCATCTCTTCCTTAAAGAAGATGGTTTGCTCACACCTCAAAACTTGAGCCTCATTACTTCGCAATAAGTCTCCTCCTCTGAGATGGTGACGAAACAGATCCGGCTCTCCAATGGTGGAATGCTTACTACAGCGTATCCAACTCAGATCCCACTGAACATAGGGGTCGGGAGTACTATTGCATTACAGGACATTCCTGGACGACGATAAAAGGGTTCTGTCGGCGGCGTCGGTCTGCCTAGTGTCCACTGGGTTCGTTCCAACAATACCTATTTAATAAAATATTAACTGCTAACATCAGAAACCAGTGGTACGATCCTACAGACCGCATCTGCGGAGCGCTGTATATGCAGTTGGCCCCCGCAGGATTAGATCAGGTAACTGACCTTTTGGTTCAACTTGAAACTGCTGTTTATAAAGACATCAGGGCTGGAGAAGTTTACAAAAACAAAATATGATGCAATGGCGTCAAGGGCACAGCTAGGCGGGTTTGTTGATAGGTTACTTATGTATCGTAGATTCTCGAGGTCTGCATGGCATGAACCTCTTATAGCAACCAAGACAGTGGCTTTATAGCATTAGTGCAACGCCTATCGAGCTTTGTTTTGGTAACAGTGTATCATTAAATCGAGGTATCACACAACTCCTGGCTCCCTATAGTCCCATGCTTTGCTTTTATTGATCCTCAGGAAGCGCCAACACCTCGCGCTTCTCCTCCTCGTTGTCCTGCGTCTGCTCCTCATCATCCACAGTGAAGCGCGTCATGGCGAACTCAGGGATATTTCTTCTTCGACCCTTCTGGCCACCGCTCTTGCCCTGTCGCATCTTGGCAGTCTCCGCCTCCTCGGCCACAACGGCCTTTTCGCCAGCCTTGTCCAGCATGGTACCCTCCAAGCTGAGATAGCTGATCTCGCCGCTGGTGCCGACGTCAAAGTTGCGTATCCGGAAACGGATCTTACCCTTAACCTTGTCGCCGCTGCCGTCGGCCCAGAAGCCAGTGCTGTGGATCTGGCGGACTACACCGTGGTCGTCGGCGGTGATGACTGAAGCGGTCTCTTCGAAGCCTTGAGCCTCAGGGGACTCGTTGGGAACCCACTTCCAGTCGGGAGGAAGTCGACGAGCCTCGATCGAAGCGTTGAACTTGCCGAAGCAGACAACACCGATGTGTCCCTCGGTCTGCAAGTTGACACTTCCCTCCATCCAGGCACCACGGCTAGGAACGAAAAGGTCGACCTCGGCGGTGATCCATCCCCAACCGACAGCAGCCTCACCCTTGGCCATAACAGTCGTGGGTGTCTCGTCATCTGTAGCGGCACCGTTGCGACCGGGGTTCTCGCCAAAAGCGACATTCCTGTAGTCGAGAAGAACACCGCGCAACGAAGGCACGTACTTGTTCTGGAGGTGTTGCAGGTGTTGGAACTGGCAGTTCGTGACGGGTTGCGCCCAGCCAATCGGGAAGAGAGGCTCGTAAAGCGACACGGTCTGGGTGAAGAAAGGGAATTGAGGGTTCGCGGGGATATCGGGAGGTTGGTAAATATTGTCGCTGGACTTTGAAGGTTTGGCAGGAGGTGGCATGTCGATATCCATAGCATCAGTGTCGGCGGGGGCGGCATCTTCACTATGCTTCTGCTTTTCGGAGTTATCTTCAGTATCCTTATTCTTCTTGCTCTTTTTCTTCTTCTTCTCTCCGTCTACTGCCTCTTCGGTAGGTTCTGCGACTTCAGCATCGTGGTGCTTCTTCTTCTTATGCTTCTTTTCGGGCTTGGCTTCGTCGACTGCAGCTGATTCGCTATCTTGTGGCGCAGCAGAATCCTCGGCGTGCTTATCCTTCTTGCTCTTCTTCTTTTTCTTGTCGGCCTTCAAGTCTTCGGTCGCAGGAATATCTACTGCGACGACACTCTTTGACTTTTTATGCTTTCGCTCTGTTTCGGCAGCTGCATCTTCTTCGCGGGCTCTCTTCTTTTCCTTTTTCGCCTTCTTCTCGGCCTTTGCGGCGGCGTGGTCGATTGGCGCCATTTTGTACGTTTGGCTGTTTGCGAGCTATCGCGGACTTCTGAAAGTAAAGAAGCCGGAAGATCTCGAAAAATTCTAAAAGTTTGGCTTATCTTATCGCGGAAGCTCAATGCTTCACCGAGAAGGTGGGGCCTCGCCTGCTTCACCTTGGAATGTGCACATGCCAGTCTAGGGTAACCGGAGCTCAATTAATGAGGTAGACAAAATTATCAACTAAACTTTTCACGGTTAGAAAGCACATGCTACTGTTGGCTTATTTTTTGACGCCATTGATCACGAGTCTTCTTTCCCACTCTATCACGTTCGTGGTCGGGCTTGGCGATATGCTGCGTCGTAGCAGCTTCATTCATTCCTTCCAAACATCATCTTACCTCTTCATCTCAGGTTTGTTCAAGAAACATGGTTTCTGCGCTTCTTCATACACTGATGTCGTCTTGATTCATGTTCGCATCAATTACCGTCGCTCGGACTTCCTGATTGGTTATCAAGGTTTCTATTCAGCACGATTTCCAAGAGTCTACGTGCTGGATGCTAGTGTCACCAGCTATTTTATCCGGACCATTTACGGGCAGGAAGGTATTTCGGCATGCAACTAAGCAACCCCTCCGGCGAAAAGAAGATTCTTGGACGACGCTTGGGAGACCAAGTCGTGATCAACAGAATGCTTCAGCCGCTCGTCCGGTTAGCTCGCCGTGAAGACACACATGCACCTTGAGCGAGTAAGATTCTTCTCGAGACCCAGGACCTACTGCATCGTTTCTGTCGTTAACCTGCGAGAACGCCGGGCGCGGGATGCTTGTTGCTCAGAAATCGCCGTTGAGAAGGGCAGAGACCGTTACGTTCTCTCACCACGTTGAGGAAAGATCTCCTCACGGTCCACTCAACGACTAATCATGTCAACATGCGGTCGGAGGTTTACATCTCGTATTTCCCCAGATGAACATCAGTGGAGATGATATACAGGAGTCCCCCATGCATCGGAACGGCCCTTCAAACACTGGCCTCAACGAGAAATTGGGCACGAGCCAGTGTCCATATTGCCCCAGACTCGTGTTAATAAATGCCCGAAAAACACAACTACAAGTGTAGCTATCGCGTGTTCAACAGTGACTTTGTTGATGGTTGCGTCCTGGGAAACCAGACAGGCCTCAGGGCATCAAAAGTTGGTTGCAGAGACAAAAGACGACTCAGTGAGTTGGGACATGTCACTTTAGACGGATTCTTAGGCTCTCCAAGTTTGATCACAAGACCTGCTACCTGATACAGATCAAGATGTCCGATGCCCTCTAGTCAAGACAATGCAGACGGGCATGCGCGAGATACTGAAAGCGACACCCCGATGCCCCATCCTCTGCGTTATCGGACAAGCAGCATTCTAGATTCTCGATAGAGCCATCGTCACTACGAATCGCCATGTCTGCACGAAGTTCAGTCGGAACGACAATGGAACCGGTCTGATGCCCGAAAAACACGTCTTCGGTCGAATTTCTCAAAGCCGGAAGGTGAGCAGTATTATGTTGAGAAGGAGTCCACCCTCGAATGTTTACAGCCACCATGTAAAAACCTCGTCTGCCGAATGAGAGCCCATCTTCGCCTCTAGATCGAAAAAGTGGGAGTCTGACTCGATATACCAGTCTCTGTTCAGAGGACCAAGTGGAGAAGACTACGAAGCGTGCATTTCTAGACGGCGG